ATGCCTACTAAACTTAATCTTACTAAGCTTAAGCCTACTAAGCCTAAGGGTACTAAGCTTTAGCTAGACAAGAGGCCCGACCCGATCTAAATTTTGCTTACATCAGGGTCGGCCAGGCATGAATTTTTTTTAGTACAGACGGGCTGGGTTTTTTGGGTCGGGCCTTGATTTTCAGGCTTGGCTTGACTTAAATTTGAGTCAAGACCGGCCCGTTCCTTATGTCTAGTTTCAGCCACAGCTTTTAGTTTGATCTTGAGTTTAAACTTAGAATTGTTAAGCCTAAATTAAAAACATGTTTTAAACTTTTACATTTTCTGTATTTAGAACTTTATTGAATCAAAGATTCCAATTAAAATTGTGATAAACATTTGGAATGTGGGGGGAAGGAATCTCCACTTTCAGACAGTTTTTTGTTTGAAATCGTTGAAAAATAAACAAAACGGGCATACTTGTCCAAATTTTATGGTTTTGTATTGTTAATGTTGTTGTATTCTATATGATTTTTGAACGCTTCAAGAATATTTTATTAAATTTTAATTTGTTCCCGCAATTTATGCTTATCAGTGATATGAGGGAAGATGGAATTGGAAGAGGGCTGAATTTTGTGTATTTTTGTGATTTTTCTCAACTCAAATGTAAACATTTTGCTGTTATTTGGATAAGAATTTCGATTTTTATTATTTTTGACATCAATTTTTGAAATTTTTTTAAAAATTTTTTATGAATTTTTGGGGTTTTTAGGCTTAAAAAATTAAATTTTTATCCTTTTAAAGTTTTTAACACTCTGTTTGTAATAGATACCATTTTGTATTACTATATTGGATGTTTATGTCGTGAATGTGCTTTTTAATTGATTTCAATGATTTTTAAGGGGTAGGGCAAGTCAATGTTAAGAATGTGGGGTGCGGAGGTTAGGTTAGGGTAGAGGATGGTATGTTATGTTTAGACATAAGCAACAAACTGGGCCAGACTGTTAGGCCCGGCCTGATGTAAATTTGGGTCAAGGTCGGCCCGTTAAACATGTTTAGGTGGAATAGGGCAGGCTATGTTAAGGTAGGAGAGGTTATTTTAGGATAGGGTAATGATGTACAGGGTAGAGTTCAGCAAGTAATGTAAGATTAAAGCAGGTTATTAAGGGTGATGGTAGGTGAGGGTATTGTAGGTAGGGTAGGGTAGGGTAGGGTAGGGTAGGGTAGGGTAGGGTAGGGTAGGGTAGCGTAGGGTAGGGTAAGGTAGGGTAGGGGTAGGGTAGGGTAGGGTAGGGTAGGGTAGGGTAGGGTAGGGTAGGGTAGGGTAGGATAAGGAAAGGCAGGGTCATATTTTGCCGCGTAAATACAAATTTAAAATAAAATTTTTTTAACAAAAATATAATTTTTTTGATTTTCAGAATCTACTTCCACTACATCAAATACGCTAATCATTCCAAGCGTCTACAACAATCCTAACACTACCTGACCGTTCCGTACCATATAATTTCAGGTAGGTTTAAAATTTCTAATGTAAACTACGAATACTTAAATAATTTTAAAAATTTTAAACTTAAAAAATGGTGTTTGTTAGTATAATATGTGTAATGTTTGTATAGTGCTGATTTGATAGATATGCACATATAAGATTAGCGACAATACAAATTATGACTCATTGTTCTTGCTAACTGCTAAAACTATTAAAAGTTTTTTTACCGGTGGGTGTGGTAGGGGAAAGACTTTAAAAAATGAACGGCGGTGGTGGAGAGGGGGGTTCTAAAACTAAAATGTGGAGGAAAAGAGGGGGGGGGGAGAAAGCTTTTTAATTTTTCTTGGGCATGACAAACCAGTATAACAATTAATTTTGTAAAACTTGCCGTGATTTCAATACAAAAACGGCTAGAACTTTCTTTACAAAACAAAAAATGGCAAGAACTTTCTTTACAAACTAAAAAATTGCAAGAACTTTCTTTCTAAAAGATGACAAGAACTTTCTTTACAAACAAAAAGTAGCAAGACCTTTCTTTACAAAACAAAAAATGGCAAAAAACTTTCTTTACAACCGAAAAAAAGGTAAAATATACCGTTATTTGATCAAAAGTTTTCCGATTAATCCAAGGCGGTAAATGAATAATCAAAAAGGCTTGGCAAACACATACTGTAATATAACCGAGATGGATTAATACGGATTAATATAGGTTTTTATGGATTTTAAAACTGTTGCTGCGCAAATGCTTGCCCCGCCCTGCCTTTGCCCTGCCTTTGCCCTGCCTTTGCCCTGCCTTTGCCCTGCCTTTGCCCTGCCTTTGCCCTGCCTTTGCCCTGCCTTTGCCCTGCCTTTGCCCTGCCTTTGCCCTGCCTTTGCCCTGCCTTTGCCCTGCCTTTGCCCTGCCTTTGCCCTGCCTTTGCCCTGCCTTTGCCCTGCCTTTGCCCTGCCTTTGCCCTGCCTTTGCCCTGCCTTTGCCCTGCCTTTGCCCTGCCTTTGCCCTGCCTTTGCCCTGCCTTTGCCCTGCCTTTGCCCTGCCTTTGCCCTGCCTTTGCCCTGCCTTTGCCCTGCCTTTGCCCTGCCTTTGCCCTGCCTTTGCCCTGCCTTTGCCCTGCCTTTGCCCTGCCTTTGCCCTGCCTTTGCCCTGCCTTTGCCCTGCCTTTGTTCTGCCTTTGCCCTGTCTTTGCCCTGCATTGCAACGCTTTGATCTGCCTTGCTCGAAAAAAACTAAAAAATTTAAAGGCCACCCCCTAATTTACCAAGCCCGCTTATATTTTAACATTACAGGCTAAACCCTTATTGTAATGCCATTTTCTACCATGCACCATGTTCTCATAATAAAAAACCGATTAGAATAATTAATAAAAAGCCATGCCGAAACTGGAAATCAGTTTCTTTTTTTTTTGAACTCATTGTTTTAAAAGACGAAAAAGGGAATGTTAAGACAAAATGATCGGTCTTTAAAAGACATTGACATTTGGGTCACCTTGGTGTGGCATTTGGAATTCAAGTAAGCGCAGAAAGTAAATACCACGAAATAGAAGTGAGGTTCAAGTGTGTTTTTTGATGTCATTACTTTATATAAAATTTTATTTTTTATAGGTTTAGACTTGTAAATGGTAGAGGTTAGGCTCAAATGAATTTTTTGGTCTTAAAGGTAGGGTAGAAGAATAGGGTAGAGTATTGTTAATTAGAGAAGAGGCATTAAAATCATGTTTCAGTTTCAAAAATAGAAATCTAGGCTTAAAAATGAATGATTATGCTTAAAATGCGATTTTAGGCATAAAGATTAGTTTTTAGGCTAAAAAGTTAGTTTTAGGCTTAAACTGATATTTTAGGCTGAAAAATTAGTTTTTAGGCTAAAAAGTTTTTTTTAAAGTTAGGAATGAAAGATCAGTTTAAAAATGACATTTTAGGTTTATAATTAGGCCCTTAGGCTTTCGAATTATATTTTAGACTTTGAAGTAAATCAATAGGCTTTAAAACGATATTGTAGACTTAAAAATGTAAATTTAGGCTTAGAAATAAGTTTTAATGCTCAGAAGGAGACCTTGTTGCCTAAAAACAATATTTTAGCTTAATTAATGAAATTTTAAGCCTAAAGAATCACGAAACTAACAATTTTATTGTGAGCTTTGATCAAAAATTCAAAATCTTTAACTATTAGCCTTTAAAATACGCGAAACCTCTTCCTTTATTTGCATTTCGACCATAACTTTGAGCAAAGCGGTGCTTCCTATTTGGTTAAGCGGGTTTTTACCATGTTAGAGCCAGGCGTTCCACCAGATATTAATGAGTTTTTTGCGATTTACATGGCACCGAATTATGCGTTACAATCTCGGACAAGGAAAATCAAAAAAAAATTAAAAACTCAAGAACTTCGATGGTATAGTAATTGCTTTAAAAATACAGTACGATACTTAAGAACACAGTACAAAAGGGAGAGGATAGATTAAGGTAGAGTAGGGTGGATGAAATGAAAGGTAGGTAAGGTTAGGTGAGAGTAGGGCTAGAGTAGGGCCTAGGCAGGGCTCATGTAATGCTTGGGATGGGTCGAGTAGGGTTCGGGTAGGGCTTCGGTTGGCTTAAAGATTAGGTGAACGTAGGGCTAAAGTAGGGCTAGATTCCTAGGATTGGACTAAAGGAATGGTAGGGTAGGGTAGGGTAGGGTAGGGTAGGGTAGGGTAGAATTTTAAACCGTACTCACTCAAGAAGCTTAAGTTTAAAACTACCATAATAACTCGAAACCTTAACCTTTAATCTACCGTACGCCTGCACTTTAAAATCTCATTAACAAGCCAAAGACGGAGTGGGGGAGAGAAATGTAAATTGGGCCAAGAATTCTCTCGGCTTGGCCGAATGAGTCAATTTTCCGTCGAATCATTGGCGCCGCGAAAAAACTTGCGTCAGCCCAAAACTGTCTAACCACTCTCCTTGATCTACGTACTCTATCACTTTTGTATCTCTGGCACTCTCTTTGATTCATGTTGTCTATGGTGGGTACTGTGTTGAGCTACCGTGTCTACGGCTTCTTGTTTTACATTGTCTTTGGTCGGTTTCGAAAATCATGGAAGCTCATTCGGATGGAAACCAAAACAAAACAGCACGACCTTTGGGATTCTATCGTGAAGTTTGATTTTGTCAAGTTTGGCCGAGATTTTGGTGTTGAGGGTGATCTACTATAATATAGGTTGGAATCTACTACAATATAAGCTTATATCTACTTCAATATAGAGTTATATCTACCTCAACATTGGCTTTTATATAAGCTTATATCTACTACAATATAAGCTTATACTTACTCACAATACAAGTTTTTATCTACTACAGTACAGACTTACACCTACTACAATATAAGCCCATATCAACCATAACACCCCAACTACCCTATAGACCACTACTGGCTCCAACTGAAGCTTCTAGCCAAAAAATCTTGATTCAAAGCTTTGTAGTCATCATTCGGCTACTGAGCCATCTTTGGCACAATCACTAGCTGACTAAGGCTACTTCATTGCCGTTAATCATTTTTACTTGATTTGTTGTTAATCATGCCGAGCGACCAGCATCAGCAGCATGACAATGCCACTACACGTCAGTCTGGAGCTGATGACGATGTAGCTGAACGGGCTGGAGGGTATGAAGGTGGAGCTGGAGAGGTTATACGGGCTGTAGGGTATGAAGATGTAGCTGGACGAGCTGGACAACCGGATGGCTATGATCATATTGAAAGGCTTACTGCTAATGATGATGGTGTAGGTGATCAGTCTAGAGCTGATCAGCCTGGAAGTCATAGACTACCTGGACCTTCCAAGCTTTACAAGGATGTAGCCAAGTCTTCTAAGCCTCATTACGATGTAGAACCTCGGTCGCAGAAGCTGCTACAGCTTTCAGAAGATGACCAGAAGCCAGATGAAGGCCTACCTTACTGTCAGCACGAGCTACAACCTAACGAAGAAGCCGTAGGTCATGAAGACAATGTAAATGAAGTTGCAGCTCATGATGATGTTGAAGTCAAAAAAGTTCATTTTGAAGATGATCAGCTAGCCAAATCAACAGACTTCAAAACTTTATCAAAAAGTCATTTTGGCCATCAGAAGACTTCAAAAGGCTACAAATCTACCGTACAACCCAGTAGTTTTTGCTCAGTACAACAATATGATCAGCCTGGTCCTAGTCGAGTTCTGAACCATGGTACAGAAAGCTTCTCTACATCATCGTTAATTCAGAATCAGAATACTGGGTCATATTCCCATCTTCAAAACAGAGCTACACCGTCATCTTCAAGCTTTCAAAGCCAAACTACACCGTCGTCTTCAGGGCTTCAAAATCAGGCTTCATCGTCATCTGCTGGCCTTCAAATTCAAGCTACACAGTCTTCATCTGGCCTTCAAAATCCGGCTACATCGTCATCATTTCAGCTACCATCTTCAAGCCAAACATCGTCAAGTTCAGCTAGTTTTTCTAACCTTAACTTTGGCTTGGCTACATCAACGTTCTTTCAACCTAGCCAAGAATTAAGCCATAGAATCGCTAGTCAAGGCCTAACTAATCAAAGCCTAGCTAGTCAAGGCCTGGCAAGTCAAGAACAGGCCAGCCAAGGCTTATCAAGTCAATCTCTAAACAGCCAAAGCCTACCCAGCCAAAGCCTCGCTAGTCAAGACCACACAACTCCAAGCCTACCCAACCAAGATCTAGTAAGCCACAGTCTAGCTAACTTGACCATCCAAAACACTAATACTACAAGCCTATCACTTGACCAAAGCCTAGCTCAAAATCTACCACAACTTTACCTTCAACCGGTCGATAATCAATCCGAAGAGACGGAGTTCTACTCTACTATTCCAACAGCTTATATCTACTCGAATGAAGACCAAATGGCTTCTACATCATCGTTTACACAAGGATTCTTGCCCAATTATAATTATGCCTTAACTCCAACTTTGGACTTTAATATGCTTTGGACTCCGTGGTCTTTCGAAATGGTAAGGGTGGGGTGGTTAAGGACTTTAAAATTTTCAAAAATTGTTAAAACAAAAAAATACGGGACAGGGAGGGTAAATTTTCATTGACCGGGCTTTAAAAAAAATTTTTTTGGTTTTTGTATTACCTAAATTAGTAGATTTTTGGTAGTGCAGGCTCTAGGTGATTGGCTATAAGCTGGACGGAAAACATTAATTTTAGCATTTTGTAAAGAAAGATCTTGCCATATTTTGTTTTGTAAAGAAAGTTTTTGACATATTTTGTTTTGTAAAGAAAGTTCTTGCTATTTTCCGTTTTGTAAAGAAAGTTTTTGTGATTTTTTGGTTTGTAAACAAAGCTTTTTCCAGTTTATGTTTTGTAAAGAAAGGTCTTACCATGTTTTGTTTTGTAAAGAAAGTTCTTGCTATTATCCTTTAATTTATGAAATTTTGAAGTTTTGTTCAAAAGTTTGAAGCTTTGACGTCATTTTACCACACCCCAATGCCTATGCCTTGTCCGCATCCCCTTCTTATTTCTCGCCCACACCCCCTTACCGTACCTCTTCGTCTATTTGCTATAGTATAAAAGCCATAACAACTTTTCTTCGCCTATAAATAAACCTTAAAAACTGCCTTAAGCCCGAAAGCAATCCACGAAAAGCGCCCCAAAAGCATTGTTTGCGCATTTTTAATATCAAGAATAATATTTTGTAGGCAGACAGGTATCCAAAAAGGCTTGATCTGGTATTTAAGTTGAGGAAACCGTTGGGTAAAGAAGGTAAAATTATGTTTTAAGTCGATATATAAAATGTTTAATTTAAAAATTTTTTTTTTATTTTTTAAAAATTGGCAAGAATTTTCTTTACAAAACCAAAAATGGCAAGAACTTTCTTTACAAAACCAAAAATGGCAAGAACTTCCTTTACAAAACAAAAAATGGCAAGAAGTTTTTTTACAAAATAAAAGTAGCAAAAACTTTCCTTACAAAACAAAGAATGGCAAGAATTTTCTTTACAAAACCAAAAATGGCAAGAACTTTGTTTACAGAACAAAAAATGGCAAGAACTTTCTTTACAAATCAAAAAGACCAAGAATTTTTTTTACAACGCCATATATCAAAATAACTTCCAAAAAATCACAAATCCTAGATTTCAAACAATTCAAAAAGCATAAAAAATGAATTTTAAAACTTTAAAATCTCCAAAAATTCAAAATTCATCCAGTATTGACTTTACAATTTGAATGCAAAAGCGAGAGTTGCTACCTAACACTCGGAACAAATTTTACAATTATTTTTCCATTGTGCGTGACATTTGGCACGTATCACCGATTGTAATTGAAATATAAATCTAAGCGGCTTTTTGTTTGTTACTTTAGTATGTTACTTTAGAACGGGAAAACATGTCTTGCAAAATTTGGCAACTGTAATTGTATTCATTGTTTTTGACATTTTTTGGTTTGTAAAGAAAGTTCTTGCAGTTTTTGGGGTTGTAAACAAAGTTTTTGCCATTTTGTGTTTTTTAAAGAAAGTTATTGATGTTTTGTGTTTTTTTTTAAATTTTTTAATGGTAAAAAAATAAAGCTGGGCAGGCTGCGTGTGACATGTTATACGATAAATCACAAATTTTGAAATGTAAGCAAAAATGTGGGTTTGTAAAGAAAGTTGTTGCATTTTTGTTTTGTAATGAAAGTTCCTGCCATTTTTTGTTTTGTAAAAAAAGGTTTTGCCATTTTTTGATCTATAAACAAAGTTCTTGCATTTTTTGTTTGTAATAAAAGTTCCTGCCATTTTTTGTTCTGTAAAGAAAGTCTTTGCCATTTTTTCTAAAAACCAGAATTTCAAGACTCTTCTACACCATAACACAGGCCAAGCCTTTCCTTATACAGCCAAAGCCATTCCTTTTCCTATCCTCAAACCTATGCACTAACTATAAACACCTTTCCAAAGGCCGCTCGGCCAATCAGCGCGCGTCTGTTTTTAATCTGCACAGGGTTATGACCCGGCAAATATGAATAGATTTTATTGCCGCCTTGTTTGACCGGTCAATCGCCCCGCCTTTGGCTTTTTCTTCGAGGCGAGGGAGGGGGGATTTGGGTAGGGAATGACTGTAAGGATATGTCATCGCATGAGTAAGGGTTTCGGATGGGGGTGACTAGGACTAGGAGTTCCAGGAAGGGGGGGGGGTTAATTAAGGGGTGATAAGGGGGTGTTTTGGCTTTGGATTTTGATTTACTTTGGGGTAGGGTAGGTTAACGCAGGGTAGGGCGGGGCAAGAAAAAAAGATAGGGTAGGGCAAGAAAAGAAGGGTAGGGTAGGTATGTTAGGGTAGGGTAGTTCAAACATGATTTTAGGTATTGCACAGTCTTATTTGTTATGTTAGTCTAATTAGATTCTGATGAATAGGTAACCAGTTCCGGCGTACGATATGAGTAAGGCTTGGACAAAACCGGGATTAGTAATTGTGTTTTCGTTTCTATTCTTTATGCTAATTTTGTGTACTGTTCTTTGTTTTACGATATTAGTTGTCTTGTTATGGGTTGGTGTGGGTTTGATGACTTTAGCAGGTTTAAAAGATGCTAGAACTTTCTTTACAGAACAAAAAACAAGCAAAATTTTTCTTTATAGAGCAAGAATTTGCAAGAACTTTTTTTACAAAACATAAAATGACAAAAACTTTCTTTACAAACAAAAAAAATACATTTTTTAATAATAGTGGTTATGACAAAATCCAGTACAACAATACTAAAACACTTTTTTTAATTTATACCACACCAATCCCGTATTTTATTCTGTCACACCTTGATCCCGTGTTTCCTGTCAGAGGCCCTGTGTTGTTTCTTTACAATTCTTCCAGGCTCTGTTTCTTATTTTTGTTGTTTTGTGTTCAAAAGTAAAGCAAAGGGCCAGAGAAGCCGAAATGGCGTCGCGGTTTTCACCTTTTCACTATTGTAATTCCCAGGTCTCGCCCGGATTGTGTAGCCTTATTTCCAACGGTTTTTACTTTTACCTGCACCTTGTTGTAGTTGAGGGGTATTTTTTAATAGTATAAGGTACGAATTGTTGACAGATTTCGTCTGAAAAGGCAACGTTTTTGTTGTGTTTTAATAAGTTTGAGCTACTTCTTAATAGGTGCACTTGGGCTGTCGTTTCATATGTCTTATTGGATGAGGGCAAGGACCAGTTTGTCGTACCTAAAAACAGTAAAATTAGTATTTTGTATTAAAAATTATAACAACAAAGAGGTTGATGACGATTTTTTAAGGCTGTGTGTATGTTAAAAGAGAAAGGCGAGGGGTTTGTACAAGGGAGTTGCACCAAACACCTCGAGTTTTAGAACGAGTCCCGTATAGGATGAAAGAGCATAAAGTTGTCAAGAAAACCGTTTTCAAATGCTGAAAGGTTTTGGCTAGCAATTTACAAATAAGGTCAGTCGAGACCTTATGCAGCTCCTTCAGCCACTATTATCTTTGCTAGCCGAGACCATTTTGCAGTTTTTGAAAATATTCATCTTGGCTTTAAAGCTCTTTTGTCCTAAATAGGTCTTGTGCTAAAACCCAAGAGATAGTTAATTCAGCTCCTTTAGTAATAGTGTAAAGTGGTAAAGAAACCGACTTTACGCTAACCTACCTTACCTTACCCTATAATACTTGAACTTTTTACAAATCGTTTTAAAAAGTGTCTACTAATCAATGTCTTTGTGAAAACATTGATCTATAGACACTTTTTATTCGAAACCATATTTGGAATTGACTAGTTTTATCTGATTTCGTACTCGATATCAATATGATTATTAGTAGTAGTAGTAATAGTGAGTAATTTTGGGAACTTTATGATGAATTTTAGTTTCAAACGGTGGAGAGATTACTGTAGAAAGTTCAATTTAACTTTAAATAAGATTTTTGACTACTGTAACATAAAAATTTGACTCTTATGACTATAAACTTAGACTATGAACTGCTTTACTATGCGTTTCAGAGTTTTTGATTAAAATTTGTTATTGATCGTTTCGCGGCGAAGAATTTCGAGTTTATAAAAATGACTTTTTTTTGAAATTTAGGTGCTGGGTCTTAAACTCAAGGTATATATATTGCAAAGATATGGACGATCCAACTACCCGGTTACCTGCAAATCCATATTTTGGATTCTTTTCGGTCCGTATTTTAGATTTTTTTTAAATAGTAGTGGTATTAATAGGTCCACTATAGTACAAAAATCATTTTACTTAGACTTATAAAAGTAAAAATATATAAAAGCATTCGTATCATACAACCTAGCCTTAGCTCTAGCTATAGCCCTATGCTAGCGTTTTTATCCTCTAGCTCTCCTTTTGTTCTACTATAGCCACTGCTAGCTTTTGTATTTACTGAAGCTTTATCCTGACTAACACTAGCCTTTTTTAGCTTATCATTCCCTACCCAAACTTTTTTGCCTTACTTTAGCCACATTTAGCCTTTTCTTAATTTACCATGCCCTACCTAAAGACATTTTTGTAACCTTTTTTGCCTTACCCTAACCGTCCCTAGCCTTTGTTACTCTTTGAAAGCTCTATCCTAGCCATCCCTAACATTTTTTTACTTTACCTAACATAAGCCTTAATAAAAATTTTTTTTTGCTGAAACCCCCTCATTACAAAACTTGGCCATTTTTTCCGCAAAATCGATAAACAGGCCTCTCGTTATCACAATATTTATCACAAGTCTTTTAAACAAATTCGCTGCTTCCAATTCCCACTTCGGTTTTTTGTATTTTTTGGTATTTTCATGGGACAAAAAAGGGGGGGGGGCGGCAAACCTTTTATTCGATTGTTACCTAAAAATGGCAAGAAAGGGCAAACGAGTTTCATTAAGCCGGCTGGCAGCAAGAATGGCATTAAAATGAAAAAAAAATGTGAAGGCATGGGCATGTGCTAAGACAAAAAAATATGAAAAAATGAAGGCAAGGGTAATTTTTAAGGCTTAAAAATGAAGGCGTGGGTAAATTTAAAGGGTTAAAAATGAAGGCAGGGCTAATGTTTAAGGCTGAAAAATGAAGGCAGGGGTAATTTTTAAAGCTTGGAAGTGAAGACAGTAATAACTTTTGTTTTAAGGGGTGATTTTCAAAATATAAAAAGTTGGGCATGGGTAAGTTAAAAATATCAAAGCAAGGGTAATGTTGAATTAGAAAATTCACACTTGAACTTTATATGGGCACTATGCAATATTATACTAACAAACTTCTAAATTTTTTTAAAGTTCATACTTAAAATTGAAAAAATATAAAAAATGAAAACTTTTGATAAAAAAGACTTTAAAAATTCGAATTTTATTCAAAAATAATCAAATCCATTTCAGATAAACGGTAACGACTTAACCTCGCCGTTAGCTGAATATCAGCCCGCATTTCCCACGCCCAACCCACTCCAGCCTCGTCTACCACCGATTCAGGCTGGTCTACAGGATTTTCAACTCCCCTTCATGACCCGCTCATCCACTTCAACTGCGCCCTATGGGATGCGGTCGCAGGCCGCGGCCGGCAGGAAAGGCGGCCGGCGCCCCAGGGAAATTGAGGAAAAGGTAAGGGATGGGGGATTTTTAGGTGGGGGAGGGTAGAATACAAGCTTAAAAATTTTTATTTAATTTAATTTTAAAAAATGGAAAAAAATGACAAAGCTTAGTAAAGGAGTTTTAAAATCCACCCCCAAAAACCCAAACCCTTTCCCATTCAAAGCACTGCCAAATCCCGACTCACCCGACCCTTATATATGTTTTATATGTGTTATAACATTGCTCATAACTTGATTTGTCACAAAGCAAACCCAAAAAAAAGTATTTATTTGGGGGTGTTTCATCGAATTTATGTATCATAGTTGACAAACTTATTAATACACGCTTATTCACTTTGTGAGTAACCTGAAAATGAAAAAATATGATATGGCTTGGTCATCATTTCTATAAAAATCGTGGCAAAATTCATAGTTATGATGTTTGGATGGAATTTACAGCAGGGTAGAGTCAACAGTAGGGGGGTAGAGTGAAGTGGGGCAGGTGTTACAGTAGGATAGAGGCAAAAGTAGGGTAGGTGCAGGTACGGAAAGTAGCAAAAAATGGGATAGGGTAAGGCAAAAAACATAGTACAGAGTAGAACAGACGGTAGGGTTATTATGGGGAACGGGCCGGGCCCACTTTTTCAGCCCGGCCCAATCTGTGCTTTTCTCAGACCCGGCCCGATAGTAGACCCGACTCGTTCCCCATGTCTAGGTAGGGCAGGATAGGGTGAAGTAGCTTATTGTAGGATACGGTACGGTAGGGTAGGGTAGGGTTGGGTAGGGTAGGATAGGGTACGGTAGGGTAGGGTAGGGTAGGGTAGAGTGGGGTAGGGTAGGGAAGGGTAGGGTAGGGTAGGGTAGAGTGGGGTAGGGTAGGGAAGGGTAGGGTAGGGTAGGGTAGGGTAGGGTAGGGTAGGGTAGGGTAGGGTAGGGTAAGGTAGGGTAGGGTAGGGTAGGGTAGGGTAGGGTAGGGTAGGGTAGGGTAGGGTAAGGTAGGGTAGGGTAGGGTAGGGTAGGGCTAACTTTCTACTGTACCACTAGCATTTTTTGTTTTTCCTTGTTTTTAAATTGTTAAAACTGGCAAAAACTTTTTACTAATCAAAAATACTGTAATTAAAATTTTTTTTATAATTTTGATCAATTCTTTTTCAGGATTACGATCTAAACGATGAAGAAAAGGACAAACGAGCAAAACGACGTCAACGGAATAAAGAAGCCGCGGCACGATGTCGGAAGCGCCGCCTAGACCTCATGGAGTCACTTCAAATCCAAGTCGACGCACTACGAGAAGAAAATCGACAGAAGCAGTTGATAATCGACCAGTTGACTCAGCAAAAGAACAAGCTGGACGAGATGCTGAGACACAACTGTCAGGTAGACAACCAGATGATCAAGGAGGACATGATCTACAACAACGACCTTATGATGAAGGCTCACAACGGCAACGACCTCATGATGAAGTCGCAGTTGAAGACCGAGGTCGAGGAGTACGAGCACCAACAACAGCTATATCAACAACGACTACAGGACATGGATATGTACAAGGATGACATGATGGAGGAGGCCAGTAACTACGCCATATCATCGAGTTCAATGCTCATCAACAACGACCCCATCATATCACAGGCTGCCTTGAAGAGGTCGCGACATTCACCCCTGCCTTCGATCAATGAGATCGACCCCACGGTCAGAATGTCACAGTCACATCCATTTGCAAGGCCTACCAGTCTGCCCTTAAGCACAATGTCACAGTACAGTAATGAGATGAATCTACCATCCATCACGACGCCTAGCAGTGGATTGGGTAGGTTAATATGGCTTGGTATTCTTTACTAGTGGGGTAGGGTGAGGTAATTGGGTAAGGTAGAGTGGGGTAAATTAGATGAGTTAGGCTTAGGAGATTTAGAATGTTGGGTAGAGTAAAGTAAATTAGGTAGGGTAGGGTAGGCAAGTGTAGGGTAAAATGGCACGAACTTTCTTTACAAAGGAAGAAATGGCAAGGACCTCCTTTACAAAACAAGAAATGGCAAGAACTTTCTTTACAAACGAGATTCTGTTCAAAATCAAAAAAGTTTGTTACCTGTCGTATAACTTGTCACCCGCAGTCTGCAGAGCATAAACGGGGCCTAAAATAGCCGACAAATAGCCTAAAATTAGCCTAAAATAAGCCTAAAAGTAAACTAAAATAATTTTTTTTTAATTTAAAAAGCAAAAAGTGTAAAATACGTTATATATAGCTCTGAGAAATAAATTTTCAATTTCTAGGTGACAGCTACAACCTCCTGAATCAACAAACCTTCCTGACGCCACTGATTCCGGGAGCAGTGCCAGTCCCCCTTCATACTCCACCTCACAACGGCGAGTTGCGGCAACTTTAATCCGCAACTTGGGCGACAAAGCTTTTGTAATTTCTTAAACATGGCTTTTAATTACTGTAACATTTTGTGACTAAAACTTTGTGTTACTGTAACTTTTTTTTAAAGAAGCAATGGGCTACTGTAATTTTTTTGATAGAAACAATGGGTTACTGTAACTTTTTTTAAAGAAGCAATGGGTTACTGTAACTTTCTTGAAAGAACTTATGGATTACTGTAATTTTTTTGAAAAAAATTTTTGGTTACTGTAACTTTTTTAAACAAATATTTGGTTACTGAAACTTTTTAAACAAATATTTGGTTACTGTAACGTTTTTGAAAAAACGCAATAGGTTACTGTAACTTTAGCTTTTTTTATTAAACCCAGTGGGTTACCGTAATATGTTTTATTAAAACCAATGGATTACTGTAACTTTTCTGACCAAAACAATAAGTTTTCGTTGCATTATGGAGAATATCAATCAATCTATACATATTTTTTTGAACTCTGACTTTATTTCATTTAAATTTCGATTTTTTAAAAATTTTTTAAAATTTTAATTTAAACTTTTTAAATTGTATGAACCGTCTTACCGAAATATTTTCCCAGGCCATCTCAAACCCTCGTATCATTTATCATGCCTAGTGCTAATCGTGTTTAAAAAATGCGTTTTTATGACGGATTTGAATGCGTCATCATGACAGATTAAAAAGTGTCATCATGACACCTTAAAAATCTCGTCACTCCGACAAATTTTTTGAACGCCAATATATTTTTAAACAGCAAAAATCATCTACTTCAAATACGCACATTAACCGTCCCTTACTTTACTATGCAAGTGCACTTAACGTTCTTTGTTACTACTGTAATTTACTTTTACTGTAACTTTTATTTATATATAAATATTACCGAGAATTCAAATACAATCGAACGGATTATGAGGTATTCATTGGGTTAAAAGTGTTGGCAATCGGGTTTCGTATGATATTTTGTGGGTTAGACGAAATGGCACAAAGTTATTGGAAATGTTGACGAAGTGTCACAAAAGTATTGGGGATGAAGGGAATGACGGTTTAAGGTATAAATAGGTTTTCACTGGGCTAAAAGTCTTGGCAATGAGTTTTTTAAACAAGATTTTGTGAGCAGACGAAATGTCACAAAGTTATTGGAAATGTTGGCAAAATGTCACAAAAGTATTGGAAATGAGAAAATTACAGTTTACGGTATAAATAGGTTTTCACTAGGCTAAAAGTCTTGGCAATGAGTTTTTTAAATAAAAATTTGTGAGCAGACGAAATGTCAAAAAGTTATTGGAAATGTTGACGAAATGTCACAAAATGATTGTAAATGTGTAAAATGAAGTTTATAAATGCTAGATTTAAATATAAATAGAGTTCTAATAAATTAAAAGTTTTAGAAATGCGTTTTCTACTAATAATTTCATGTGTAGACGGAATGTCAACAGATTATTGGAAATGTTGACGAAGTATCACAAATATATTGGAAATAAAAAAGATTGAAAATATAAAAAATTGAGGTAAATAGAAAGCTAGAAAGATTTAAAAAATCAAAATTAAGAAGTTTCTTCCAACTTCATGTTGTAAAAAGAATGGCGCAGTTTGTTGTAATCAGCATAGTGCTTGTTTTCAATTGAACTTATAATATAGTTTTCGTTCAGTTTTGCTCCAATTATCTTAAATTTCAATCAATAGATATAGACAAGCGTATTTTACATTGAAAGTTTTAAAAAATTCTACTTACCTCAGCATCTCTTCTTAACAATAGTAGTTGCCCAAATCTGAAATTATTTTCACCGTACTCTTTCCTACAGTACTCGGTAAGCTCCTTAGTTATGATGTCGTCCATCTTGTAGGCAATGTCCAATGCGTACGTGGTTTTCACTAAAAATAAATTTTTAATCTGAAATTTTATTCGCTAGCTGTAGCCTTAGTCACAGCCCTAGCCCAGAGTCCTAGCCCAGAGCCCTAGCCCAGAGCCCTAGCCCAGAGCTTTAGCCCAGAGCCCTAGCCCAGAGCCCTAGCCCAGAGCCCTAGCCCAGAGCCCTAGCCCAGAGACCTAGCCCAGAGTCCTAGCCCAGAGCCCTGCCAGCTATAGTCCCAGTAACAGATCTGTCCTTAGTTCTGGGCCTAGTCTCAATTCTAGTCCTGGTCTTAACCCAAAGCCTTAGCAGTACGCCCTTGAGTCTCTTAGCACTCCTAGTCCAAAGCTCAAAGCTTCTCTTCTTCTAACCTATGTTCTAGCCTGACGTCGGTCCTCTTTTGGGCCTGCTCTACAAATATTAATTCATGGCTTGACCTTAACCCCAGTCTAGCCACACCCTGTTTTAGCCTGCCATACCTAAAAAAGTCTAAAAAAATGTTCCTTACCTTCACCCCAAAGAAGCAATCCGGCCATAGCAGCAAGTTCAAATTTAGTCACTTTCAGTTGTTTATACTTCTTGACAAACTTTAACATAGCTTGAGCATACGGTAGATATAGCCTACAAAAATAAATTGCAAACTTAAAAAAAAATCTCAAATTTTGTAAAATTGATGACAAAAGAAGAAACTATTTAAAATCGCTCTTACTTGCTAGACTCTTTGCTGTGCTTATCATCCTTGAAAAAGGCTTCATAATTTACGATATCAACCATATCATCATACGCATACAGTATGCGAGTTTCTTCTAGTGATGGGAAGTATTTTGAGGTATTGTAAGCCACTTCAAATGGAGAGAACAAAGTTTCATTCTTTTCGATGATTGTTAGCTGAAACTATTAGCTATGAATAGGACTTGGTCTAAAATTAATATTGGTCTGAACTGTGCGGGACTGACCTGGATTGCGCTAGGCTGGTATGAGATGATATAGCATGAGCGGCTAAATAAACCTAAGCCTACTAAGCCTAACAATTGTAAGGCAAGGGCTAAGACTATTGCTGAGCTGAAATAGGCTGCCCTAGTCTGAACTGTGCTAACCTGATATAACTAGGCTGGGCTTAGCTGGAGATGCGAGGCTAGGTTAGGCTGAGACGGATTGGGCTGTGCTGGACTGGGCTGGGCTGAGCTACACGGGGCTGGGATAGAACTGAGGTTAGGGCTAGGATTAGACAGAGTTGGGTTAAGCTAGGCTGGGCTGGGCTGGGACGATATGGAACGAATTGGACTGGACTTTGGCTCAACCTAGAGCTGAAGCTAAGACTGGGGCTGAAGCTAGGGCTCTAGGCTAAAACTCTGGTTTAGAGCTCTGGGCTAGGACTTCGGGCTATGGCTTCGAGCTAGGAACTTGGGCTAGGACTTTGGACTAAGGCTTCCGGCTATTGCTTTGACCTAGGGCTAGGACTCTTCGAAGCACTATACCTACCTGTTGAGTTTCACTCAGTTCATCAAAGCCATCGAAATGTTCTACACACATACGATGCATCAGTGGTAGTAATGCCATTTGGCTTTGAACATGTGTTACAATAGTTGAAGGCTTAAACTCGTGATCTTCTCCTTTAAGCTCAGGATATCTACTATAATATGCAGCTTTCTGACTGTTCCAGTAGCTCTTCAAACCGTCGATTATTTTATCGACTGCTGATGCTGACGCTCTTTTTCGATTCTTATATGAATCATTCGAAATTCGTTTGTTTTTTCGAATTACTGGCGATTCTGAATCTGTAAAGCTTTCGCTAGATAGACATGTTCCACAACTGTCACTTCGAGAGGTGGTGCTGGATGCGGACGCAAACTTGTGTTTTCGTTTTTGGACTTCTGAAAATAAAAGGTTTAAAAACTGTTTGAGACCTAATTTTTTCTACCCAGCTTACGGGGGCGGGTATCTGCTTCGACGTTGGCTTTTGGCTAGAATAAAGGGCGTTGGCTTGGCCTCAATAAAATTTGCTATAGCCTAGCTTTTTGAACTTAATTTAAAAATTATTTTGAAGTTTTTTTAATATGCTGTCAAAGCTTTCATTGCGGGACCTAAAGTAAGCACCCCCCCCCCTCCCACCAGTAAGTAAGCAACACACCCCCCCCCCTCCCCCCCCCCACCCCTAAGTAAGCACACCCCCCCCCCACCCCTAATTTTGCGTTTTTCCTAGCTTGTGGGTCTATACACTTCCCGCGCTAAGCCTCTGGCTACCATTTGGTTCAAACCGGAACTTTTGTTTAGATCCGGATCTTGGGCATGCACAACAATATGGCCTGACCCAACTTCTTTCAAATTTGCTTCAGCGAACCTTTCTTAAATATTATTCAGTCCCGCAGGTGCCGAGTGGGTCTCGTGCCAGGTCTACCCTTATCCACTTACACCCACCCTTTCTCACTAAAGTTACCTTCTTGATTGTATATAGAATTGCCCATAAATAGAGCCTACCACATACTAAAATTTCTAAGTCTTACTTTCCGCCATCATGCCACATTCGTAACATTTCTTCAAACGACAGCTTCTACAAATGGTACGATCTTCTAAAACACAAAAAAAATAAAAATTCAAAAAAAAACAAAAATAAATAATTTTTTTCTTACACGGTTAATTTCTTACCCTACCTGTCCCGCTCAGAATCAGCTCAAAATTTTTATATGAATTCTTTGTACCACCAATAGTACCCGTAAAAAATTTAAGCTTGCGTCCTTGAGTTTTAAATTTAAATTATTTGGGATTTCCGCCAATTTGGCAAATTTGGCATTATGTTGCAAGCACTTTTTTCGGCTTTCCAGACAAGATACGCTTACAAATTTAAAAATGTAGGTTCATTCAAACGTATTCTACTAGTATATCAAAGAAAAATAATTAAAAGTCAAAAAATGACAAAGTTACAAGCTTGAAAGACAATGCCAATTTGGCGAGAAATTCAAAACTTAATTTTTTGATCTCTGTTTTCACGAGATTTTTTAGTAAGCGCGATTTAGTACTTTGCTGAACATCTTATATTTACATGATCTTTCTTTATAAAAAGTTTGACGTCAATCAGAGCGGGGCAGGTCGGGCACTTTCCTTGTTAGTTATTAAAATTTAAAAAATCAATTTTATAACAACAAAACAAAAACTGCACCTTAATACAGTACGGTTCTTAAGACAAATGTGAGCAAAAGTCATCAAGAACTTTCCTGTCATTGGGTAGTGATAAGACAAAAAATTGTTTATCTCATTGTTTGGAGTATATTAAAAGGGCTCCTACAACGTTTATTGATTTTCCTATAGTTTTTAATTTTCTTTACGAAAGATTTGCACCAAAATCCACCACCCCCCAGAGCCGTACTGTACGCGTAAAAAAATTTTTTTTTTGTTATGCACAAGATCTCCTGCAGGCAAAGATTAATTTTACCGTCATTTATAGGACAGTTGTTTTGTTGCTGGCAATCGTAACCTCGATTGTCTGAGACGGAACGTCGAAAAAAGGCAGCGCCTAAAAGTATCTTAATAATAAAAAAATTTAAGCATTTCTTAAGAATAAAAAATAATTTTAAAGAGATAAAAAACTAAAATATTTGACTAATTTTGTCTAAATTTTTAAAAATCATTAATTAAAAAAACTTACAAGCTTTACAAGCAATCACACCAAAATGATATCCAGAGGAAACCGCACCACAAATACAGCACGGTGGAGGTAAAATGTACAGAGAACTGAGTTTTAAGCCTTCTGTATGCGGCATAGATGATAAGGCACTTCTAAATTTTAAAATTATTTTTTTCTTTTCATTCGACCAAAGTACAACAATTCCAAATTTTAAGTGAATGTACAAATCTTCAAAACTTTTTGTATCTGAGACATAAATGATGAGATTAGTGCTATACTTAAAAAAATGAACTAGGATCTGATAAGCAAAATAAATACTTTTACCTTGTACTGTAAATAAAAACCGCACCATTATTAAACGCCAAAAGCAAAAAAGTAGTCTTAAATAAAGTATCGTACACAAAGATAAAGCGATTTATATATTTATAATAAGCACAGCATAGGTTAGTTGTAGACAAATTTTAGTTTAATAATTATATTGTATACAGCCGTTGTCAAAAAACAGGCAACCTATTTTTTTCAAGCATAACTTTTTTTAAAAAGGTGTTAGAAACAAAATTTTTTTTGTGATTTTAGATTGGTCTATCATACAATAAGCGCACCAACAATAATTTTTCAATTTGTTAATTTTGAAAAGTTACAGTAATTCTACCGTACTCCTATTTTTCAACTATGTGTCTAAATTTTTTTTTCAAAAATCAGAGATATACGTTTTGTAGAGCATAAAAATTTGTACATATTTTGTAAGTTTCATTACTTAATCTCTTTTACTAACCGAGTAAAGATTTTTTAAAAATCTAAAAAACGGCCATTTTTCAAGCGGAATCGAACTTTTCTTGTTTTTCGATCTTTTTTTCAAATTTTAAAAAATGGTAGCTCGTTGACTAGATAAGATGAAGTAATGAAACTTATCTAAAAAAAAATTTTTGTTTCTAACACCTTTTTAAAAAAAGTTATGCTTGAAAAAAATAGGTTGCCTGTTTTTTGATAACAGCTGTAGCATACGTAAATAGTATGAAGATAAAGTTGAACATAAAAAATATGAAAGTGGAACGTCCGAAATGTTTACCCTTTTATTTATAACCTCATACCTAGAAATTTGTAGGCTAATAGATACAGCGCAGAAGTACATTTGAGTTGACTGACCTTAAGAGCTGTAGTTCAAAACTATTGTATGCCTTTTTGTCCTATTTTTAGTTAAGATAAGAAAATTTGACTTAGTTTTAGGACCAGCTTGGGTTTAAATTATTGTACGAACCTAGTTGAGAACCGGTACAAAATAAAGTCCTACTTAAATTCTGCATAACTTTTAAGCATAACTCTAGCCTTAGTTCTAGCTTTGTTTTAGCTTTATCGGGATCTTTATTCTAAACATATCTTACATTCTCTTAAAAAGGTGGTTATATCTTGCATTTATTATAACGAAAAACTTTTTTCCAACTCTAATAGGTAAAATTTAAACTTTTTTAAATTTGTAATATTATTCAACATCACTTACTTATAGAAACATTAAAAAGTTCTTTAACAATTTATGAAATGATAAAACTACAATTGTTTACCAACCCCTAATCAATTGTTAAAATGTAGGCCAGTAGTGTTAAACTTGTGTATTTAAAGTAAAGCATTGTTATCATCAACTTCTTTGCAGGATTCTTATAAGTGGGTTGTGGTGACTGATAACAAGAACATGGATCCATGTTGCATAAGCCAATAAAAAGTCAATAAGTTCGAAGAAGGCTGGCCTACCTGACCAGGGTGCGGCGCCGTAAACAAATATTGCAAACAATACCATTAAAGTTTAGAGGAGGACGGTAGATTTTGAAGAGAGGGCTACAGTACGTCAGTTTTTATTTGCTTTGAATTACCTTAAGCCCTGCCCTGCCTTTGCCCTACCTTTGCCTTTGCCTTGCCTTTGCCTTTGCCTTTGCCTTTGCCTTTGCCTTTGCCTTTGCCTTTGCCTTTGCCTTTGCCTTTGCCTTTGCCTTGACTTGCCTTGCCTTGCCTTGCCTTGCCTTGCCTTGCCTTGCGTTGCCTTGCCTTGCCTTGCCTTGCCTTTGTCCTGCCTTTGCCTTGCTTTGACTTACACTGCTCTTACCTACTCATACCTACCCTTATCTATCTTTACTTATCCTCAATTACCTCTAATCACCCTCACGTACCTTCACTTACCCCTACCTACCCTTAACTACCCCTATCTACCCCTACTTACATCTACCTACCCCTACTTACCTCTACCTACCCCTACCTGCTTTTAAATCTTAGTTACCCAGCTTATCCATACCTACTTTTACCTACCCTCACTTATCTTTACCTACCTTCAGCTACCTCTGCCTACTCTACTCTACCCTGCTCTTCTCGTTCCTATGGTAGTAAGTAGTTCAATTCAAAGCGATTACATATGTTGTAGTTAAATTCATTATCTTGACCTGCATACATTAGTGTACATGAGCCGTTTAACCCACGTAAATTGTCAAAAGTTTTGTTTATATTATAATTAGCATGTTTAATCCTCTTTTCGCTGTCATTTCTACGTCACCAAAACTACAAATTTGGGAATCAATGAACATGACCTTGTTTGGGTTTGTTTTGATAAAGTTTATCGTTCTCGCCGCTCATTCGGTCATTGCGACCGTTTTTTAATAAAAACACACGGTCATCATGAGGTCTCACCGGCGTTCTAATGCTGCTCTTGGCCTTTCTAGAGCGTCTTCTTTGATCAGTGGAGAGTAGGGTATGGTAGAGAAGGTTTGGGTAGAGTAAGGTAAAGTAAGTTAGGATAGGATAGACTAAGATAAAATAGGATAGGATAGGATAAACAATATGTTTTACCGTCGCATAGAAACTAACAAAGAAAGTGCCTAACCAGTCCTAACAAGTATCAACCAATCCTTTATCTAACAAGTACCAACCAATCCTTAGACATGAAGAACAAGCCGGGCCGAGCCAGACCTAACAAAAATGTAGGTTGTGTTGAGCTTGGAAATCTTGAAAAAGCCCGGCCAAGAAAGTCCGGCCCGTTTCCACGTCAAAATAATTGGGCCGGGGCTTAGGAAACCTTAAATCGGGCGAGCTTAACATTCATTATTTAAAATTTCAGCCCGTTCCTTATACCTACCACTCCTACTCACAAAAATATATCCAACCTACCCCACTCATAATCAGCTAAAAATTTTTATAGCAAGTCTTTGTACCACCAATAGGACACATTAAATTAGCTTGCGTTTTTAAGTTTTAAAATTTCAAATATTTAAGTATTCTGCCAATTTAGCAAAGTTGGCATAGTGTTTCAAGCACTTTTTTCAACTTTCTAGACAAGCTACGCATACAAATTTAAAAATTTAGGTTTATTTAAAGGTATTCTACTAGTATATCAAAGAAAAATGATAAAAAGTCAAAAAATGGCAAAGTTATAAGCTTGAAACACAATGCCAAGTTGGCGGAAAACAATTTAGTACTTTGCTTAAGATCTTATATTTACATGATCTTTCTATGTAATGAGTTTGAAGTCAATAAGAGCGGGGCTGGTCGGGCACTTTTCATGTCAATTAAAGAGGAGCAGGTAGGCTACTTTCCTTGTAATTTTAAGTTTTTCAGTGAAGATATAATCCTGACTTTGAGCTTTTGATACCAATTTTGATACCGTTTGATATCATGTGCAGCACTCTATGTGAAATTTCTATTCTTATGTTAGTCATGTATGGAAGGAAATAAATTTTGTTTTTAAAACTGTAGCTTGTGAAACGATCACTTTGTTAAGACATTATTGACTAGAAATGTGTTTTTAACTTTCAATATTACCATAAGTCATTAATATAAACAAAATGGATTCAAAACAGTTTTTTGATCAATTTCAAATCGCTATTGTAATAGCAGTTAAAGTTTGTCGTTTGCACTCGGCCAGCAATAAACGTTTTCTACACATTTTTAAGCCATGTCCCTCAAATTTAACGTTAACTTAAGCTTAAAACTCTCTTATCAATGAGCAAACTTAAGCTTAAAAACATTCAATTTGCGTAGGTTAGAGCCTCAGTTTTCTAACAATATAGGTAACTACGTTAATATTAAAAGCAGTTATCTATATAATACTTTAATACCATAGATAACCGCCTCCATTTTTGTTGTTAATGACTTCTGAACAAGAATAGCTACAATATGATGCAAACTAAGGCAATGTCACTAATGGCCTATCCTACCCTACCCTACCCTACCCTACCCTATCCTACCCTACCCTACCCTACCCTACCCTACCCTACCCTACCCTACCCTACCCTACCCTACCCTACCCGACCCTACCCTACCCTACCCTACCCTACCCTACCCTACCCTACCCTACCCTACCCTACCCTACCCGACCCTACCCTACCCGACCCTACCCTACCCTACCCTACCCTACCCTACCCTACCCTACCCTACCCTACCCTACCCTACTCTACCCTACCCTACCCTACCCCTATCCTACTCCGCCCTACCCTACGCTACCCTACCCTACCCTACCCTACCCCATCATACCCTACCCTATCATACCCTACCCTATCATACCCTACCCTACCCTACCCTACCCTACCCTACCCTACCCTATCATACCCTACCCTATCATACCCTACCCTATCATACCCTACCCTATCATACCCTACCCTATCATACCCTACCCTACCCTACCCTACCCTACCCTACCCTACCCTACCCTACCCCTACCCTACCCTACCCTACCCTACCCTACCCTACCCTACCCTACCCTACCCCTACCCTACCCTACCCCTACCCTACCCTACCTTACCTTACCCTACCCTACCCTACCCTACCCTACCCTACCCTACCCTACTCTACCCTACCCTACCTTACCCTACCCTACCCTACCCCTACCCTACCCCTACCCTACCCTACCCTACCCTACCCGACCCTACCCTACCCTACCCTACTCTACCCTACCCTACCCTACCCTACCCTACCCTACCCTACCCTACCCTACCCGACCCTACCCTACCCTACCCTACCCTACCCTACCCTACCCTACCCTACTCTACCCTACCCCTACCCTACCCTACCCTACCCTACCCTACCCGACCCTACCCTACCCTACCCTACCCTACCCTACTCTACCCTACCCTACCCCTACCCTACCCTACCCTACCCGACCCTACCCTACCCTACCCTACCCTACCCTACTCTACCCTACCCTACCTTACCCTACCCTACCCTACCCTACCCTACCCTACTCTACCCTACCCTACCCTACCCTACCCTACCCTACCCGACCCTACCCTACCCTACCCTACCCTACCCTACCCTACTCTACTCTACCCTACCCTACCCTACCCTACCCTACCCTACCTTACCCTACCCTACTCTACCCTACCACGGGCCGGGTCTACCGCCGCATCGAGCTGGGCCTGAGCAAAATTTAGGTCGGACTGGGCCTGGAAATCTCAAAAAAAAAACACGGCCTAAAAAGCCCGGTCCGCTTGTACATAAAAAACATTTTGGCCACGTCGGACTTGAGCAAAACACAGATCGGACCTAACATTCAGACCGGGCTTGCAAGCCGAGCCTAAAAAACTCTAAAGACTTACTTTGCGTTATTCTACAATACTATACCCTACCCTACCCTTCTTTACCTTAACCGACTTTACCCTACCCTACAAAATCTACACTTCATACCTATTCAATTATTATATTATTTATTATTACTCTATATATATACTTATGTACAATCCAAAAATAATATACATATACATGACGATTCGTATGAGATACTTAATTAAAAGCTTCGGTAAATATGTACAAAAATCATTTTGAGTTCATAGTAGTAGTATTTGGTAGTTAAGTACAGCGGTTTGTTCATATTGCACAGTTATTACTTGCTAGAATGACAAATTTCAAACATTAGCCAAGTAGCCATGCCAATGAATGACAGTGCGCCAGTCTGATGAACAGCCGATAGCCAGCCTGGGGCGGTCAGTAGCTGAAAATTGCAAAAATTTTATTTTGAAGCTTTAAAATTTTAAAAAATTTTGAAATTTCTATATTTTGAAAAAAATTTTTGTAAAGAAAGTTACTACGGTTTCAAAAAATCAACTAAAAATGGTCGATAAATATTTTAAAAAAAGTAAAAAAAGTATGTAAAAACTTACCAAGTTAGTAATTCCAACCACAACTTGCAGCAATCCCAAGACTAACATGCCATTAAGGGCCATTAGGGCTCTCTTGTGTAATGTCATACGACGGCCGCGAACATAAGTGAAAATAACCAATCCTAATGTGATGTAGGCCTGAAATTAAAGTAAAGTTAAAATTTGTACTATTATTTTATATAACATATGTTTTTGAACATCTTTTTAAGTATTAAACGAAATGTCAAAAAGTTATTGGAATATGTGAAGAAGTGTCACAAAAAGTATTGGACAACGTAACAAAGCGCTATATACTTAGAAACACTATATACGTAATCAAAACCTTACAATAAGGCAGGTTAAAAGTTTTTTTGCAACTTTCAGCAACTTCAAAAAAGTGTCACACAAATTATTGGAAAAAGTGACGAAATGCCACCAATCCTATCAATTTTTTAATAATTGAAAAATTGCTTCTGTACCTCATTTCAAACTATACAAACTATAAAATTTTTTTTGAACATAAAAAGAATTTTATTTAGACGTCAAAACTTACCATATTTCTGTGCAAAAACTGGACTGTGCCAGGGTTTTCAAAGAAGTTTCGAATCATTGGCCGCTCCACATTCATGTTTTGTGGGAAGAAATTGCCATTATAGAGTGGCCAAGTGTTATAGATCTTTCCGGCCTCTAGTCCAGCAACAAAAGCGCCAAAAGTTACAGTAATCAGCATTGAAGTAATGGTGAATGAGACTAGGCCACGGTAGGCTTTGATCGATTGGGCTGCTTCTACGTACTGAAATCACAAAGTTAAATCAATTTCATAAATTTTTACTTTTGCCTTTGCTTAAAAATAATTTTTCTTACCTTGCCTTTTAAAATTTTTTTCCCCAAAAAAAAACTTTTTACCCGCCCAATAAAAAAAAATATTTTTTTCCTCCTCCTATTTTTTTTAAATTTTCATATTTACCCCTCCACCCCACTCCCCTCCCCCCCCCCTAAATAACGTTTTTACTCCGCCCATCATAAAAACTTACATAGACAGGCTTAAACAGATGAGCAAAAGCGGGTAGCAATAACAGCATGTACAAGAAGAATCCCAGCAGCAGATGTAAGGCTAGTCTATATGGGCAGATTAGCTTTGTCGTGCCGGTTGCGTCAGACTCCAAGCCTGATTTTACCACGAACCAGCCCACTACGGCTTGTAGAGCCAATAGTACTCCACAAGCGATCATTAACTTCTTGGCTTTCGAGTTGAACTTGCCCTTGTACCAGAAATAGGCGCATGGAACGAAGAATACGATGGCTAGAAGGTGGGATAGTAGACGATGAAGGTAGGCCATCATCCACATGGACTTGAATTCGTGTAGGGGGAGATCGGATTGAAGAACAGGAGTGGCGTGCTTACTGTAATATTACAATTAGTACTTTGCCTTTCTGGAGGTTTACCTTACCCTGCTCTACTCTACCCTACCGTATTCTACCGTACTCTATCCTCACTACTGTACTCTACTCTACCGTACTTTACCCTACCCTACCCTACCTTACCCTACCCTACCCTACCCTACCCTATCCTACCCTGCCCTACTCTCCGCCACAATAAAAAACTACCGTAACCTACAGTTTGTATTCAGGAGTAAGTTTGTACAAATCCAATTCACTCTTCCACTGATTCTCATTCAAAGGTGGTATAATGGTACCAATTGGGTCCCATCGAGTGATACTCAATCCGGCTCCAGAAAGACGAGTTGTACCACCAATGGCCAAACACCAAAAGAGAACGGTGGAACAGAACATTAGCCACATTCCAACCGCCTTATCACGTCGATCTTCCTTGACATCGTCGGTGATAAAGCTATGGGTTTCTGGAGTGTCTCTGAAAAGTTTTAAAAATTAAAGTTTGTAAAGAAAGTTTTTGTCACTTTTTAATTTGTAAAGAAAGTTCTTGCCTTTTTTTGTTTTGTAAAGAAAGTTTTTGTCATTTTTTGTTCTGTAAAGAAAGTGTTTGTCATTTTTTAATTTGTAAAGAAAGTTCTTGCTATTTTAAGCCAATTTGTTAAAAAAATTTTTAAAAAAAATTTTTTTGCACCCCCATCTATAAAATTGTTTTAACCCCTCCGTCTACCATTCTCCAAAACTTATTTTTTCGAAAAAGTCTTTCATCGGCTCTATTTCTATATTAAAATATTCCCCCCCCCCTCCCCCAGCCCCTAAAACAAAAAAAAATCTACCCCTCCCAAGATAAAAAAGTAAATATACCCCTCCAAAAGTTAAAAAAAAACTCGAGAAACAGTGACATAGCTTCATATATAAATAATTTCGTTTTCGTAACATATTCACCATGACAAGACTCTACATTCTACAGATAAAACCCGAAAAATCTTGAAAATCCTTACTTGGCATGACTGTAATGAGCCTTGGAGTAGAAGGTCGCTGACTTTGTGGTCATGTTGAATATATTTCCGCTAAGCTTTGACCAGAAACCGCGTGGAGCGCTCAGTTTTATTCGAAAAAACACTTCAAAGACCAGAAGGGGCGTGGCCTCATGTTTCCAACCGGCTGTTTACAAATTTCGAGGGGAAAGCAGGGCTTGTTTACTCCCCGCTTTCAACATCGTCGTATTTCGGGCAACAAAAACATTGGAAATAGAACGTTCTTGAGGGACAGAGATTGGCGTGGTGTTTGATGCCATAAATCCGGTGGAACGGCCAACAAGGTTTGCTTTTTGATTTGAGAATAATGTTGTTGATGCACTAGAATTATGTTTTTTGGAGCCATGACTGTTGCAGATGAAATATTGTGAGGTTTAACATACTAAGCTTAACCTTAATAAACTTAAGCTTAGACTTAGGCTTGGAGTTGATAAGCTTACGCTTAGTAGTTGTAGGCTTAGAAGACAGGCTTACTAGGTCCATGCTTAGAAAACTTGAGTTTAGTAAGCTATTACTTAGGTTTATTAGCATTACGCTTACAAGGTTTTGAATTAGCAGGCTTAGAATTTGTAGAATTAGGCTTAGTAGGTTTATTGTAGTAGGCGTAGGCTTAGAATTAACAGTCTTAGGCTTGGTATGATTGGTTTAATAGGCTTTGACATATTAAGCTTAGGCTTAGAAGGCTTAGGCTTAGTAAGCTTAGTCTTTATTAGATTACGCTTTAGTAGGCTTAGGCTTAGTAGGCTTAGGCTTAGTAGGCTTAGGCTTAGTAGGCTTAGGCTTAGTAGGCTTAGGCTTAGTAGGCTTAGGCTTAGTAGGCTTAGGCTTAGTAGGCTTAGGCTTAGTAGGCTTAGGCTTAGTAGGCTTAGGCTTAGTAGGCTTAGGCTTAGTAGGCTTAGGCTTAGTAGGCTTAGGCTTAGTAGGCTTAGGCTTAGTAGGCTTAGGCTTAGTAGGCTTAGGCTTAGTAGGCTTAGGCTTAGTAGGCTTAGGCTTAGTAGGCTTAGGCTTAGTAGGCTTAGGCTTAGTAGGCTTAGGCTTAGTAAGCTTAGGCTTAGTAGGCTTAGGCTTAGTAGGCTTAGGCTTAGTAGGCTTAGGCTTAGTAGGCTTAGGCTTAGTAGGCTTAGGCTTAGTAGGCTTAGGCTTAGTAGGCTTAGGCTTAGTAGGCTTAGGCTTAGTAGGCTTAGGCTTAGTAGGCTTAGGCTTAGTAGGCTTAGGCTTAGTAGGCTTAGGCTTAGTAGGCTTAGGCTTAGTAGGCTTAGGCTTAGTAGGCTTAGGCTTAGTAGGCTTAGGCTTAGTAGGCTTAGGCTTAGTAGGCTTAGGCTTAGTAGGCTTAGGCTTAGTAGGCTTAGGCTTAGTAAGCTTAGGCTTAGTAGGCTTAGGCTTAGTAGGCTTAGGCTTAGTAGGCTTAGGCTTAGTAGGCTTAGGCTTAGTAGGCTTAGGCTTAGTAGGCTTAGGCTTAGTAGGCTTAGGCTTAGTAGGCTTAGGCTTAGTAGGCTTAGGCTTAGTAGGCTTAGGCTTAGTAGGCTTAGGCTTAGTAGGCTTAGGCTTAGTAGGCTTAGACTTAGTATCCTTAAGCTTAGTAGGCTTAGACTTAGTAGGCTTAGGCTTGGTAGGCTTAGGCTTAGTAGGCTTAGGCTTAGTAGGCTTAGGCTTAGTATCCTTAAGCTTAGTAGGCTTAGACTTAGTAGGCTTAGGCTTGGTAGGCTTAGGCTTAGTAGGCTTAGGCTTAGTATCCTTAAGCTTAGTAGGCTTAGACTTAGTAGGCTTAGGCTTGGTATGCATAGGTTTAGTAGGCTTAAGCTTAATAGGCTTAGGCTTAGTATCCTTAAGCTTAGTAGGCTTAGACTTAGCAGGCTTAGGCTTGGTATGCTTAGGCTTAGTAGGCTTAGGCTTAATAGGCTTAGGCTTAGTAAGCTTAAGTTTTGTAGGTATAGGCTTAGTAGGCTTAAGCTAAGTAGGCTTAGGCTTAGTAGGCTTAGGCTTAGTAGGCTTAGACTTAATAGTCTTAGGATTAGTAGGTATTGACTTAGCAGGCTCAGCTTTAGTAAGCGTAGGCTTAGTAGGCTTAGGCTTATTAAACGTAAGCTTAGTAAGGCTAAACAGTTTTAGGTTTAATAGGCGTAAGATTAGCCGGTTTGAACTTAATAGGCTTAGGCTTAGCATGCGTAGGCTTTTTAGGCTTGATAAGCTATTTTTAGATGTTGTAGGTGCTTAAACGCCAAAAATATTATACATATTATTTTTGTTTTTATTCAAAGGAAATGAAGAGTAAATACGTATATTATTCTTGCAAATGAACCTGAGGTCATTAATAAAAGATTGGAACATTGGTTATGTGGACAAGCTTGCGAAAACATGTTTACTGTTCTTAAAAGAATGTGTGCAAAAAGAAAAATTTGGCTGAAAAAATTAAAAATTGACTAAAAATGTTTTTAATTCGAACAATAATATTTTTGAAGATTCAGTCATACAATTAAAACCCACATGATCTGACCCAAGAGAATCAGATGAAGCTGAGGTGTGAAGTTCTTGATCATTTTCTGTACTCACGGTACAAAAACTACAAAACTAAACATTTTAAAATCTTGAAATGATCTTCTGTCTGCTTTATTTTTCTTTTTGTGATTTGTCCGACCGCTCGTAATGGGTTGTTCGCTGAGTTCTCATACAGAACCTTTAGATTCTGAAGTCGAATTAGAGGAAAAGACTGAAGTAAAAGAAGCGTCAGATGTTGATGTTGTAAATAAGGTAGAAGATGTGTCTGAGGCGGGGGATACGACCAAGGTAGAATGTGGGCTTGAAGTTGAGGATGTGAGCAAGGTAGAAGATGTGTCTGAAGAGGATGATGAGGCTGATGTAGGAGATGTGTCAGCCCTTGATGATGGGAACAACGAAGAAGGTAGGGCTGAAGTTGATGATGTGAACAACGTAGATGATACATTAGAAGAGGATGATAGAACTGATGTAGAAGATGTATCTGAAGTTGATGATGTACCCGAAGAAGATGATTTCTCGGAAGTTGAAGTTATGACCGCAGTAGAAAACGTCAGTGAAGTTGATGAAGTATCCGAAGTAGATGATGAGGTAGAAGATGTCATTCCTGTTGCTGAAGATGAGCCAGTTACCGAAGCAGGTGATGGTGATAACGACGAAGCTCTGGTTGAATATGTTCCCAGTCTTAATGTAAGTTTGTTATGTTAAACGTTACTTTTTGAAGATTTAGGTCGGAGTAAAACTACTAGACCTACAGTAGAAGATAGGCTAGAGTAAGGAAGGGTAAGGTAAGTGACGGTAGGATACTTCAGCGTATTGTAGAGTGACTTATACTTTTTTGTCAGGATTCCACCTGGCCAGATGTTGTGCTAAAACCAATGAAAAAACTTTCAATCGGGATTAAGAGTCACAACCATGAAGTTACAGTTAATTTAAAATTACACGACAACCAAGTAATCTCGAGTATTGAAACCTTAGATAGAATTGTAAGCTATACCGCCGACGTGTACGAAAACTTCAAACTGAGTATATTTGTGGGCGAAACATGCGTGTGGACAAAGTCTCAACTAAACGAACTCGCGGATTACTGTGAGAGTAAGTGGTTAAAACATTGATTAAAATTTTAGTCCGCAAGGGATAAAAGATCAGCACTGATAACTGCGTCAACTAAAATGGAAATTAATGCATTTTTCAATTTTTAATGAAGTTTGTGATATTTTCTTAAAAATCAATAAAATTTGTGACATTTCGTTAAAAAATCAATAAAATTTGTGACGTTTTGTTAAAAAATCAATAAAATTTGTGACATTTCGTTAAAAAATCAATAAAATTTGTGACGTTTTGTTAAAAAATCAATAAAATTTGTGACATTTCGTGAAAAAATCAATAAAATTTGTGACATTTTGTTAAACAAATCAATATATTTTGTGACATTTCGTTGGAATTGAAAATTGATTTTATAATGAGCATACTCCGCGAAAAACAACTTATATTTACCTTTTTTTAATTATACTATAATATCTGCAAGGTCGGGCATTTTCCTTGTTAGTCTCGATTCATATCTCCGGAATCAGGAGAGGCACTTTCCTTATATAATATGAAGCGCTATAACTGTATAATTTTATTTTTTCAGGAAACTTCCCGACCATGGAATTTTCAGCCTATGTTCTTCATCAAACTCCAATGTTTGGCCCGTTCGTTCCGCTCTACAGAAGGCTACATCCTGTTGTTAATACACTAGCAATTGAAAGCCCTGATTTCCTACGTTATTGCATGGATTTAGAGCTGCAGGAGTTGAATATATTGAAACCGAATTACTTAGGTTATTGTAAGTTATTTTGAAAAAATGGATTTTTGGGTAGGGTAGGGTAGTGTAGGGTAGAGTAGGGTAGGGTGTGTAAAGTGTATTTTTGCCAAACAATGTGACTTTGTTTTCAGTTACCCTACATCAAAGTAAAAGATGTTAGGGTTTGGGATTTTCAACTTGTAAAAGAGATGCACCATGATATGCTGGTAATGACATCTGTTGAGAGGGTCATTTTTGTCGTATTTCCTGAAGATATCGATGACAAATGGGTTTTTAAGCACGCTTGTGACGTTTTTCCGAGTTTAACCCGGGTGTCATTTACTAGTAACATTTCTTACAATTTGGATGTATGCAAGTCTTTTGTTTAAACCTTCATCATGAAGTAAATTTTTAAGTTTTAGACGAAATGTCACACAATTTATCGGCTTTTTTGACGAAATGTCACAAAATTTATTGGATTTGAAAAGTGTGCAAATTTATTCCTTCTTAGTTGAGTATTTTTCTCAGAAGGAACATTTTTTATTTTTAACGAAATGCCGCAAAATTTATCGACTTTTTAACGAAATGCCACAAAATTTATCGATTTTTTTGACGAAATGTCAAAAACTTTAGTAGATTTTGAAAATACTCAAATTTATCCTTTGTTAAAAATTTTTTTATTTGACAGCCATCACTACCAATCTGATACTATACTTTAGGTATGAACGAGGGACTGCTTGAAGATATCGGTAATGGAATGAAACTCTGGAAGAGCGCATTGAAACGTAATCAGAACCGCCTAAACGTTTCTATTTGTTATATTTTCAAATACAAGTTTGTGGTCAATAAAGCAGCGGCAGTAAAAATTGCAAAGCACATTGGCCACAAAGTACAATATGTTGAAGGGAAAGTTTCGCTAAAGTTGCGAGAACCTAACATTGACCTGGAATTGACTGTTATAACTTTGTGAAAATAAACTAAATAAACTGTCATTTGATAAAAACTGTAATTTTTTGTGATTTTTGTGAATGTAGGGTAGGGCTGGTTTTTAACGTCACCATTCTGCTATGGGTGAGTTAGATCAAAGGTGAAGGAACCCTGTTCTTTAGGCATATAATAGAGCGATACTGACTTCTATACGGCGGTAACCAGTGTTTTGCCCGGACCGGTCCGGAGCTTTTTCACCGGTCTAGTCCGGCGATTTTCGGGTCCGGACCGGTCCGGTCCAAACTTCAAATTTTTGGGTCCGGTCCAAACCCAAAATTTTTGGGTCCGCAAAAAAATTTTTTTTTATTTTAAAAAAGAGCCAGGAGCGCTAAAACTGCTTTCTTTACGTTTAAAAACACTTAAAAATACGTTTTCTTTGCAATTTTTAAAGCAGTTTTAATAAAATTTTTAAAAAATTTTCTTCCGGACCGGTCCGGAGCTTTTTCTTCGGTCCGGGTCCGCAGGATTTTGGGTCCGGTCCGCAAAAATTTTTGTTTCGGTCCGTCCGCGGACCAGACCGGTCCGGCAAAACACTGGCGGTAACGGGTCTTTTCGTAGTTTCGGGCATCAATTTTTATTGCTCGTCCAATCATAGAAACGACTCGAAATCGGCCCGTAATATCATAAAAAATGGCGTTAATTCAAATAATAATATTCGTAAAAACCCAACTCTAGGTTTTAGAGACCACATGGCCCAAGAAGGACTGAAGAAGCTATAAGGGAGAGGACTTAACCTTCTCCACTCAGGGGGGGGGGCAAGTCGGGCACTTTAGTGGGTGATTACTGTTACCTAGTTTTCAACTTAACTTTTTAGTGTGTATTCTACAGTACAGTAGTCTACAATCCTTTCTTTCCATTTTCACCATTCATAACATAAGCAGGTGCAACACCTTTATCACCAATAAATGGTACCAAGTGATGGAACCAGTTGGATGGCAGTAGTGACAGTTTACCCCAAAGCCATTTCGAATTGAAGCCGGCTTGGTAACGGAATCTAGGGTATTTGGCAGTCACAAAATGAATGTACGACCAAATTACTGGTGAGATATCTTCACTTCCTTGGTCGTGCATCACTCGGTTCCAGGATTCTATGACTGAAAATGACATGTTATAGTAATCTAGACTAGATTAAAGCAAGGCACAGGCAAGGCACAGGCAAGGAACAGGCAAGGCACAGGCAAGGCACAGGCAAGGCACAGGCAAGGAACAGGCAAGGCACAGGCAAGGCACAGGCAAGGCACAGGCAAGGCACAGGCAAGGCACAGGCAAGGCACAGGCAAGGCACAGGCAAGGCACAGGCAAGGCACAGGCAAGGCACAGGCAAGGCACAGGCAAGGCACAGGAAAGGCACAGGCAGGGTATAATACTTACAATCCTCTTTGAATTCCTCTCCATACACACTCTTGATATCCTCATCAAGAGTCTCCCATACTGAATCCACCCTCTTTCTTTTGGCTTCACGGTCCAACAGTAGAGTTTTAAAGATGCCAGGTTCAATGATGCCAAGATATATGCCGAAGAGAGTGTTTTCAACATGTGTAGCTTCAGCCCAATGGTTTAGTGCAACTTTGGCTGAGGAGTAGGGTGTTCCACCAAAGATTCCAATTCTGGCTGCTACTGATGTTGTCACTCCGATTCTGCCACAAGATTCACGAAGTAGGGGGAGAAAGGCCTGAAGGTAGGAGATATTGATATAAGCTTATGTTATAGTAGGCTTTAAGTGTAGAAAAGAGTAGAGCAGAGTAGGGTAAGACAACTTTTTTAGGCTAAGGTTCTGGGCTAAGGCTCTGAGCTAAGACGCTGGGCTAGGACAAGGGCCAGGGCTACGGCCATCGGGCTTCAAGCTAAGGCTTTAGGCTAAGGCTTGGGTTTCGGGCTAGGGCTTCAGGCTAGAGCTTCAGGCTAGGGCTTCGGGCTTCGGGCTTCGGGTTTCGGGCTTCGGGCTCTGGGCTATGGGCTTTGGTCTCTGGGCTTTGGGCTTTAGGCTAGACTAAAATTGACATACATTAGAAACCCTAACAGCTCCATAAAAGTTCAGTTCCATTGCCTTTTTGTAAACGTCAATATTACACCATTCTGAAGGCCCAAACGTGCTGAACACTCCAGCATTGTTCAGTACTGCCCATAGCTCTAAAAATAAATTTTAAATTTTGAAATATTAAAACTTACGAACACCGTTTATCAGTCGACTTTTCACAAATTGTACGGCATTTTTAACGTCTTCATCACTGGTAATGTCACATTTTACTGCAGTTACTGGAGTTTTTAGATGTTTTGTTTCTTCTTCTAGTTGAGTCATCGACTAAATTTTAAAAATTAAAAAATTTTTTTCGAAATTAAAAAAAATTCTCTTACACCACCCTACCCTACTATACCTCCTGACTCAAGCAACCAGCGAAAACAGGTATTCCAAGTTTAGCCAGTTCAGTAGCTGCTCGCTTCCCCATTCCATAGTCACAACCAGTGATGAAAACAGCTCTTTTTTCCAAATTTGGCAAACGCAGCTTTTCCAACAACCATGAATATAAGTTGTATGAAATTATGGTTGAACCGAGAATTGTCAGCCAAGGATGGTTTTGGTATAGCTGATGAAAGTGGCTTGAGAAATAAGTGGCTAGCTGAGAAAAGTTGGTTAGAGACATCTGAAATTATTTTGTATAATATTATAGTAAAGTGGCTTTTTTTGATGAAAGTAGTGTAGGATGAAGCAGAGCAGCTTCATCAAACAAAATACGGTAAAAGAGCAAAGTAAAGTACGGTAGTATTTCACATCCCCTTCTCTTTCTCTCCCCCCCAACCCCCCCCCCGCTTGCTTTAATTTACCCTTGTTCTCACTTCGCGGTTCTACCCTACTCTCTACTCTCTTTTATGTATCCCTACCTGTTTTCTCTCACTCTCCATCAACACACCCATTTGTTTCTTCAACCTAAAACTACATTTCTACTCTACCTATGCTCAAAACAAACAGTAAGTGATAGAAAAGTACCTACAATAACAAGTTGCATAAAGCGATTTTCAGTTTTTTTTTTGCAAATTAAAAGCAAAAGAAATTAAAATAAAAGAAATAAAACCTAAAAAATACTGAACACTAATTAGGTATCGTTGTTCAACCATAAAATTTATTCGTTTCATTTGATCAATATGTATACGACGTCGACACATGTTTTGATATCATGTTTATTGTGATGGAATAAAAAAAACAAACGCTATATTTATTTTCTTATGTCATATCAATTGTGTTTTGTGGTTTTATACAAGAAATACTATAATATAACACATAAAAAAAAGTCTTGTCGTTTTTTTTCCGTGAAAATCTGTGTAAATTAACGACAAGTCTTTTAAAAATGTCTTTTAAAGCCTTGAAAGTCAATAAAAATTAATATAAACCTCAAGATACGCTGACAAGACTCCTGGTAGTAGCCACACTGTTGTCAATTTCAACCTGTTTTGAACAAAATATTAATCTAATTGAGTAGTTTCTAAATGCATCCATGTATAATAAAGGAATCAGGGCATTAATAGCGCCAAACCAAGCGAAACCCATCATAGATGGAGCTCCAAGGTAAGTACCATGAAGTTGAAGAGCATAAGTCATGGAGATGATGCCAGATGGGATTAAAGCTAGCACGGCTATTACTAATGTCTAAAAAATTTTTTTAGTTTTAATTCAACCTTGTTTCCTTAGCCCTAGCCCAGAGCCCTAGCCCAGAGAACTATCTCAGAGCCCTAGCCCAGAGCCCTAGCTCAAAGCCTTAGTCCAGAGCCCTAGCACAAAGCCCTAGCCCAGAGCCCTAGCCCAGAGCCCTAGCCCAGAGCCCTAGCTCAAAGCCTTAGTCCAGAGCCCTAGCACAAAGCCCTAGCCTAGAGCTATGAGCCCTAGCTTACAGTCCTAGCCCTAGCCTGACTAACACTGTCATGCCTTATCTTTGCCTTTTACATTCTGCCTTATCTAAACTACCATGCCCTGCCCTAGCCCTACCCCTAACATATTGCTTCTTATTCTACCCTGCCTGATCTTGACTTACCTGAGAAATTAAGCACCTGTTAAACTGCGATCTCATCTTTTGTGTGCTAGCCGACACCTTTTCATAGCCAGTGTTGACATGCTTGTAGCATTTATAAATGTAAAACATAGATGTGTCAAACAAAGCTGCCACTACAACAACATTGTTGAAAACATAAAATTTTGTCGCTGGGTCTGACTGAAAATCAATTACCTTTATCCCGATTTTTCGTATTTTACAAAAAAAAATATCTACCCCCACCCCTCCAATCAAAGAATTAAAATTTGATTTTCCCGCTTCCCCCTACTGTCATTTTTTAAAAACAAGGTTTTATATAATAAAAATTTTTTACCCCCCCCCCGATCCCCCTAAATCAAAAATACCCCGCCCGTCATTTTTTATTAAAAAAAATTAAAGAAACCTACCCACAAAGTAACATAAGACACGTTATTACTCCCATCGCTGTTCTGCCACGCCGTTGGGAGGGTCTTTGTATAATGACTAACACTGTGCTTTAGACCGTAATAAGCTGACACTGAGTATGACACACTTAAATATATACTTGGTATACTGAACAAAATGTATCTTCGAATAAAGTCACGACGAGTTGGGGGTCTGAAAAGATTTTTTAATATTATTAATTGTCAGAGCAAGCCCTACCCTAACTCATCTTGCCCTATTTATATTGCCTTGCCTGTGCCTTGCCTGTGCCTTGCCTGTGCCTTGCCTGTGCCTTGCCTGTGCCTTGACTGTGCCTTGTTTTGGCTTGGCTTACCTAATTTTATCTTGTTGTACCCGATCCCACCCTACTCTACTTTTTGTTATTATATATTACCCTACCTTCCCCTTATAATATTCTACCTTATTTACGCCACCCTACCCAAACAAAAGTTATCCATAAATTTTACAGTATATCCTTACCGTTCCTGCGAGATGATCAAGTAGCGATAACTATGTAAGGCAGCCTGCATTGTCATAACCTGTATCAATGCAAAGTAATGAGCACAAGACAATATCAATTTCAAATTTGAGCCCACATTTTGGTCGAAGCCATAGCTAATAATGTACATTATACCATCTGACTGGTATATTACCTAAAAATTTCAAAATTGACTTAAAATTAAAAAAAAATATTAAAAAACAAAAGTTTTAATTTTTAGAAAGCACTTACATGTTGTAGTAGCAGTTCAAACAAGCTGAACATCAAGTCATTCAAAGTTGAAGCCATCAAAATTAGATTTACTTGTTGATTACTTCTCCTTGTACATTTATAAATGACTAGAATCAGATATCCATTCAAAAGAACTCCAAGACTAGTAGATATTGTGTGATTGCTACAGTATACTTTGAGGAATGTGCTTTTCTAAAAGTAATGTAATTTAGAATAAGGTAAGGTAGGGTAGGGTAGGGTAGGGTAGAGTAGGGTAGGGTAGGGTAGGGTAGGGTAGGGTAGGGTAGGGTAGGGTAGGGTAGGGTAGGGTAGGGTAGGGTAGGGTAGGGTAGGGTAGGGTAGGGTAGGGTAGGGTAGGGAGGGTAGGGAGGGTAGGGGTAGGGTAGGGTAGGGTAGGGTAGGGAGGGTAGGGAGGGTAGGGTAGGGTAGGGTAGGGTAGGGTAGGGTAGGATAGGGTAGGGTAGGATAGGGTAGGGTAGGGTAGGGTAGGGTAGGGTAGGGTAGGGTAGGGTAGGGTAGGGTAGGGTAGGGTAGGGTAGGGTAGGGTAGGGTAGGGTAGGGTAGGGTAGGGTAGGGTAGGGTAGGGTAGGGTATGGTAGGGTAGGGTAGGGTAGGGTAGGGTAGGGTAGGGTAGGGTAGGGTAGGGTAAATTAGGGTAGGGCAGTTTGAAATATGGCAGATAAAGTGGTGGTACCTCGAGGAAAAATAGAGCCAAATCCCAGCACTCGCAGTCATTTGTTGGGTCGTTTTACACCGAGGCAAATATTATATAAAATTACAATATTACATCAGAAAAAGTTGCGTAATATCATTTCTTGCAATTTCTCTAAGGCTATCTAGTTATATCAGTCACATTATGTAATTCAGCATAACTTGCGCAAGCTTTTGCTTAAATTAAAACTGAGTAAAGAATATTTAGATATGGTGCCAGTACGTTTATTAATCTAGCTAGCCTTTTACAAAATATAGAATTCAAGCCGTTGATAAGGCTGCAGTTAGGCTGTAGAGATAGGCGCCAGAGCTAAGCGTTAGAACTAGGAATAGGGTTAAGCCTAGGATTAAGGCTAGGATTAGGACTAAAGCTAAGACTGACCAATGCTAAGGCTAAGGTTAAGGTTAAGGCTAAGGCCAGGAAAAAGTAGGACAAAAATTAAAAACAAAAAATAACTTACTTCAACTGTACTCGTACTGTTATTTTTATCCATCACACAGGCTTTAGACTAAAAAATTTTTAAATCTATACTTCTTGAAGCTCCTTTATTGATTGCAGCTCCAAGATTACAAAATGACAATAAGTCCTGAATTAAATAGGTCGCGTAAGCAAAGTAATAGTAGACAAAGAATGACAATATGTCAAAGCTGCAAAAACAATGGCAATAATCTAGAAAACAAACTAGTTCTGGCCTATATTAGCTCAGAAAAATAATTTTTTTAATTAAAAAAGCCATCAAAGATCAAACGACAAGAATTCTAAATGCAAACTTGTCACAAAGTAATGACAGAGTTAATTAACTACTTCATTATCCTTGTGTACACATATAAACTTACTAGACCCATCCTGAGGATGTAGGCTAGGGCTCTGGGCTAGGGATGAAGCAAGGTAAATAAAAGCTGATTCACCCTCTATCCCCTCCCTCCCCCTCCCCCCCCCCTCTCCCCCAGATCAGTACTAACAACTCCGACTCTACCCTTTCGTATGTAGTACATACATACTGTGTTCAACAACAATATCTTGCACTTGAGCTTACAACCTTGATATTGTCATTGTTTTTCATTAAAAATCCTTTATGATCACAATAATACTTTAGATTGCAGACATATTAATATGTCTGTAATAGAATGACTAATAAAAGTCGCAGCTTGTAAATACACTACGGTTATGAACTGCCTTTCCAAAGTTGTTGTTGTTGAGGTAAGGAACAAGCGTAGAAGGTGACTGAAGTACTTGGTAATAAATAAACTTATGAGTTGCACTTTTAATTTTTCTGGTTTTTGAGTTATAATAGGTTTACTGTGGTTAGCACCAAGCTATACAAATAGGAAGAATCCTACCTTACCCTACCCTACCCTACCCTACCCTACCCTACCCTACCCTACCCTACCCTACCCTACCCTATCCTACCCTACCCTATCATACTCTATTCTGACTACCCTACGCTATCTTACACTATTCATATTTTTTCCTATCCTACTCCTACTGCTTCTTATTTTCTTACATAGCCATGCCCCAGTCCTACCGTAGCTTACTCAATCATTAGCCTGTCCAAAAAACCCCAGCTCAATACCGCACCTATAGCAATTAGACCCGTGAAGAGGCTGATCCCAGTTTTTTAGTCCAGCCTCTTTTTTAATATGCTTTTTCCCATGTCCAAGCCGAAGAGCTCGAGGCCAAGCCTATTATATAGGATCCTTTCATATCGAATGACAATTTAGAACAAAGCCTTTACTTTTTCAAAATGCCTGAACTGTCCTTTTGTTAAAATTTTTATATTACCTTTTCACTGCTACAAATACAGTGTTCATAAACTTTTAAAATTTTCATAAATTAGGCATTTCTAAATCTTAAAACGTCATATATATAACCCAATATGCTTTTTCTAACCACAAAATGGATTGTAGATGACAGGATTTCTTTATTCAGCACTTGGGCGGGTTCTTTTCCAGCACATCTTTTAAAGTTTGGGGCACCTTTTCCCATTCCAAAGGCCCTACACCATGATTATCTTCAACTGGGAAGCCAAGGCAAGTGTTTGCTGTTAACACTGCTTTTTGAAGTTTTGCTGAAAATTTTAAAATTTAAATTTTTATGCCATTAGTGACGCGGAACCGTATTTTACCTTTAGAATATTTTGTTTGATTCGTCTTGAAATCAATTCGATATACAAAAGAATTTTTTTTGACAAACATACCTGGAAGTAAGTATTCTTGACCAACCTTCAACGAACTAATGCCACATGTAGCCGAATGTGATGGAGTTTGGAATTTGGTGTAGGTTCCATTGCCCTATAAAAATGTTTTACAATAGTAAGGTAGAGTAGAATATGATAGAGTAGGTTAGGGTAAGAAAGGGTAAGGGGGTAAGATAGGTTAGGGTACGGCTTGGGTAGGGTAGGGTAGGGTAAAGTAGGACTCAAGTAGGGCTCGGGTAGAGTAGGATTAACAGACCTTATACTTCTTGACTTCCTTGAATCCATAAATTATGTATGATTTGTCTTCAGATGATTTCATACTTGTGATCTTCACTCGACCAACTGAAAATATTAATTTTAAATTGGAAAAAGTAAAAATCAAAAAAAAATTTCAATTTTTTCGAATTCTGACTTAAAAAAATTAAAATCAACTTACTGTAATCAGCACTACAATAAGTAGTTTCAGTTGTCGGTGGTATACAGCGACAAGCCAATGAAATTGCAATAGAAACTGCTAACACAATCAATGATTTCATTTTCGTTCACTTTTAAAAAGTCAGCCTAAAAAAAAGACAGTTCATGAAAAAATAAAAATTTCATAAAAATTTGACAAAAGATAACTAAAAAAGCAAGAAAAAATCACAAAACATAACCAAAGACAAAAGAAAATGTGGCAAAAGATACCTGAAAAATCAAAAAATATCATAAAAAGTTATTAGGTCGTTCACTTAATTCTGCGCCCTTTTTAAGCAAATTTCTGGAGTTACGGAGCGCAGAATTAAGTAAACGATCTAATAATTCAATTCAAAGAAAATATGACAAAAAGTAGCAAAAATCAAGCCAATATCACAAAGCTCAATATCAAAAGTCTAAAATAATGAAAAATTTCAACAAAAGTTGGAATTATAAAGAAATAAGTATTATTCGTCTAACCTTTGATATGACTCATAAACTGACAAAAAACTATAATATATTTTGTTTGAATCGGAAATTGAGCGAACGAACAGTAAATAAACAAAACAATATTACAATGTATAACAAAAATATCTATAACGTTACAAAGACAAAAAGAATCGAATAAACTATTCTCTTAGGCTTTGCAATATTTTTGAAATTCAAAAGTTTTAAAAAAATGTTAATTTTGGCCAAATATAAGCGGAATAGGGAAAGGTAGAAGGAAAGTGAGAGGTAGACCTGTAAAAGAGCCGGGTCCAATTTCTCGACCCAGTCTATGGTTTGAGTTTTGCTTTGGATCCCGGTCCTCGGGTCCACAAGTGCCGACCTATTGACCTACAAAGAACACTTTCAAATTTAGAAAAAAAATTGACACCCCCCCCCCTAAAAAATCACCACCCCCATATCAAAAAAAAATTTTTTTACCAACAAGAGTGGCCATGTTAACGCTTATTAACAAATTTTTAACAATTAAAAAAAAATATTTTTCATCCACCCCTCCCCTGAAACAAATCACCACCCCCCCCATAAAAAAATTTGTTTTTTTAAACCAACGGGAAAAACACGTTAAAATAATACCTTCCTCTTCGCTATAACCCTCCCATCCAATATTAGTTCCTTTCTTAACATGACATCCACATACTATATCAAACCACAACTTTTTATATAAACCACGCCATTAGCTTCAATTTATTTCTCCAACTTTTGAATTTTAGCTTCTGAAACACTGCAAATTGGTGCTACACTCTGTCGTTTCGTTCCTCGTGGTGATAGGGCTGTGATGGCATCAGTTCTTGGTGCTGGCTTTACAATGAAGATGGATCGTCTTATTGCTGCTGGAACTAGCTGTTTTTCTCTTACTGGTCGTTTTTCTTCGTCTATCGTTTCTCTGAATATTCGTAGCTCTTCTTCTGAAGGCGGTTGGGCTTCTTGGCCATGGGATTTTCTAAACATAATGTTTGAAATGGCAAAATCTATATCCCCCTTTCCAACTTTTGCCTGCCTTATTTTACCTTTACTCTATACTACCCTACTTCACCCTACCATATCCTAAACCCATCTTACCTAGCCTACCTTACCCTACAGTAGCAAAAACTTACGAATACAGATAGATCAAAGTACTTGAAACAGCTTTTTCTACTGTAACGTCATCCTCGTCATCTTGTCCAACTAACACTCGCTTGCTCCAGCTTGATGGGTAAGCTGTAGATGGTACAACTTGATCTGCGGATGACTTACTTGAGCTGTTTTGTGATGATCTTTGCCTGAAAGTATAATTTTTAAGGCCTTTTTAGGTACATTGAGTTAAAATGGTCAAAAATAAGTAAAAATGATAGCAAAATCAGTAAAGTTGCTCAAAAAATCAGTAAAATTGATCAAAAAATAGCTAAAAAATAAAATTTAAGCGATATATTGTAGTAGAAATATTAATATAAGCCATATATTAAAGAAAAACACTATAAATTTACTATAAATCAACAAAAAACCTTATATAAACCTACAAATGTAAATACTTCTCTTCATTTTGCCTTATCATCTTAAACTCATCAATGCCAAAGTAATAACAACCAGTAACCGGGTCCCGATACCTTGCTTCTTTACCACTAACAACACATGTCCTCTCACTGACCGCCGGCTTCTTCCACTGCTTCAAATTATGCCTTAACAGATAAGTCTTCTCCTTGTCAGAGTAATATGATTCTTTTGGACCTTGTAGATATCGAGCTCTTGGCTTCAAACGTTGCTTCTCCTTCTCCTCACGCTGCTTCTTCAACATCTCCTCCAAAGACTTTCGATTCGCAGCCGCCACTTCTTTACACTCTTTTAGGCGTTGAGCTTGAGCTGAAGTTGATAAGGCATTCAGAGGTACCGAATCTTCGGCCATTTGAGACATTAACCATGATGGCTTCTTTTGAACTGTTGGTTTCTTTTTCTAAAATTTTAGTTAGAAGATTTACCAATAATTTTATGCATCAGAAATGTAAAAATAATCTATTCCGATCGTCAAAAATGCCTTTTAAACTTCAAGGTATAGCTGCTAGCTCCTAAGAAGCAAAAAATATATAAAGTAAAATCATTACCTTCTTTTTAGGTTCTGCCACGTCCTCCTCATGTTCTCCTTCCTTTTCATCATCAACATCTGTCTCTCCGCGCTTTTCTTCATCATCCAAATCCTTATTCTCTTCGTCACTACCTTCATCCGAATCTACTTCAAAGTTATCGTCATTTTCAACCTAAAAACAGCCTTTTATTTAGTCTAGAGTATTGCTTTATTCAACTAAAACAATATTACTTTATTTTAGGTTTGAAGTTGCCACTGGTGATCGTATTTTACAAACAAAACCTTGCTCACAATATATCTTATACCTAAAATCAAAAAGAATAATATAAAAAATCTCACCTCTTTAAATCCTCCATATAAAGTCTCATAAACTTCATCTCCTTCAGCTTTGTGCTCTTCTTCGGCCAAAACCTTCGTATACCTATTGCCAGCGTTCAATCTTCGACTTCTGTTTGGTGCTAAAGGTGGTGGGAGTTCTACAGACTCATCAGAAGAACTTTCGTCATCTGACTCCTCTTCTTCTTCTCCAGATTCTTCATCAGAAGCTTGTTCTTCGTCCGTTTCTTCATCTTCTTCTTTTCCTTCTTCGAAGCGAACCGTTTTCTCTTTGCTTTCAGTTGATGTAGATGGCTTATCCATTAAAATAGTTAAAAAGATGCCTTTTAAAATAAAATTAAGTTATTAATATTAAAAATTACAAGCTGCAAATAACCTTATTTGACTCGATTTCTGAAAAGGCAAGATTTTATAAAAAAACAATAAAAATAAGCGCGATCAGCGCCCGACTTTTGCATGTCGCGCTTTTGTTTTATACGCTGAAACTTTTGAGAAAAGAAACAAAAATATTCATCAAAAAAGAAATAAATTTATGCAAATTTTTAAAATCATCAAGATGTGATTCGTTTCTTCTTACAAAACCCTTTATTTCCAAAAATGCGTGTAACTTGGCTCGTTGTAGTTTTGTTTGCATTGGCTTCAGCATCCGACGATGATCAAGGAGTATGCACAGCTCCAACACCCTCATGTACAGAAGATCCGATAGATAATGAATTGGAACGACCAGTCAGTTATGAGCATGCTCACGTTGTGGCGAAAGACTTGGAGAATGTTGAGGAAGACGAATTGGATAATGAGGTAGAAAACAAGGTGAATATCGGGGAAGATCAATTGGAAACTGATGTTGAAGATGAAGATCGGGGTAATTTGGTAAGGTTTTATCGTTATTTGTTTGAATTTTTAGGTGACAAATACGTTTTTCAAAATTCGAGTTAAAAACCTTGTTTTTTCGAGAAATTTAGGTAATAAACTCAATTTCTAGGAGGAAGACATATGTTATAAGATGGAAAATGACTGCACTACCTTCCACGCTTCTTTCAAACATTCAGAAGTCCCAAAAGAATGGCACATTACGCTGGCTTTGCCTGAGTTTCCACTGGTAAGTTGGTTTTTGATGTTGTAAAGAAAGTCTTGGCCGTTTTATGTTGTGTAAAGAAAGTTCATGTAAACTTTTGCCCTGTAAAGAATATCCTTGCTATTCTTCGTCTTTTCACGGAAATTATGAAGTTTTATCTGTTGTAAAGAAAGTTATGGCCGTTTAACATCTTATAAACCTTGGTTTTTGCTAATTCTCCCATTGTAAACAAAGTTTTTGAATAAAAACACTATATTTCAGGACGAACCAGGTTGCCACAATGAAGTAACAGCCTTTACCACTCGATTCAAATGCAGTTCCGTATCAAAATCGGCTCAGTTTTATTCAGTACATCGCTATGAAGCTTCTTTATGTGATCAGATTGACGCATTTTTGAAACAAGGCATATTCTCAAAGGAATCTGTGATCACGGTGATTCAGAGTTCAATGACAAAGGATTGTAATTTGATGGTAAAGCTGAAGCAGTTTAAGATTCAGAAGGAACAGCTGCTGGTTTTGACGACAAACGGAGCTGCAGAAGAGGATCTACTGAAAGCTTTCTTGAACAGTGAAAACGTGTTGGATTTGGACAAGTTTGAAAGTAGGCTTAGGTTTTTACAGTTTAGTAGCTTGAGGAAGATCTCTTTTCTAACTTTTTATCAATCTATACTTTTATCACCTCATATAAAAGGCGTAACAAATCCTCAAAGCCAATTAATCATCAAGGATAACATAGTTTTTAACCAAAAACCTAACTAAAAGTCATATTTTCAGATGAAGACTCAAAGGTTGTGAACACTATTCGAAAGCTCGGCGAAATGGATAAGTTTTTCGAACCAGTATTATACACGGAATGGTTAAGATACGCCTTCAGTCCGTCCACATTGGCCATCAGCTACTGGTGCTTCTGTTTCTCCATCGTAATCGTTATTTGTATTGCTGTTTACCGAGTCATTGAAGTTGTTTGTGTAAGTTTTTTCTATCATTATACTGCGCAAGGACAGGTGCACTTTAATGGAGGGATTTAGTGCAGCGTGGTTGATAAGAGAGGACTGTTTCACAAAGTAATTTTTTATGATTTCAGGACCGATCAGATGAAAATGACGAAGCAGATGATAGTGACGGTGATGAAGAAGGGGCTCCATCAATTGACTTTAGCAAAAAAGAAGACTAGGGCTCTAATTTCATTACAAGACTACTAGAAGATCCACAATTACTAATTGATATTATTGTGTTTATTAAAAGATTTTTGATTTTAATAACATTAACGTTAATTCCTTAACAATTTCTATATAGATAGTCATGTTTTATTCATTAAAAGCCTAAATTGCAATATCAAAACTAACATTACATTGAACGATAGGTCCCACAACGAAAGCAATTGGTTGGCATCCCATCGCAAGCGGGATTTATTTTCTTTCGAATTTCGTAAAGTAACAAAAAGACGAGTTTTTTACAAGCCTTACTGCTTGTGTTGTCTAATTTATAAGTTGTTAATATCAAGCTGATACTTGTGCTAATTTTAAATAGGTTTAATTAGATCTGGGACGAAATGCAGTCCGGAAAACCCACGTTATCTATTAACCATTTGGGTATGAGGCTGGACACGGCTGAATCAGGTAAGTCCTGGTCGATTTCTTTGGGATTTTTTTGAGTTTAGGTGTTGAAAATGTAAAGGAGTTTGTAGGTAAGCTTTTGGGACAGTTGAAAGGGTTACTAACTTGAGATTCGGGGGCTAAAAGCATTAAAATAATATCCTTGCTTTTAGGAAAATTGATCAGTAACATGATTGACGCTGTGGCCAAGATCGATTGTTTGATTTTGTCAGGCAATACGTTAGGTGTAGATGCTTCTGAAGTTATTGCCCAGAGTTTGTCGAAACAATCCACATTGAAACAGGCGATTTTTGCAGATATGTTCACTGGAAGGTTAAAAACCGAAATTCCTAAAACTTTGGTGAGTAATTTTGTTATTTTTTGTTTATAGGGGTTGAAGAAGATGCAGAAGAAGCTTATACAAGAGTTTCATTTGATTCGGTTTTGATATAGGCATTCTATTCGCATTTTTCTTTGATTTAGCGTAGTCATGGATAGGATAAGATAATCTACTTTAATAAATAAATCTCTAATTATTCAGAAATTCTTGAGTGATGCGATGATAAAAGCTGATGTACATCTAGAAGAGTTGGATTTGAGTGATAACGCGATTGGGCCAATGGCAATGCCTGGAATAGAGGAGTTTTTGTCGTCTTCACCATGTTATTCGTTGAAGAAGTTGTACTTTAACAATTGTGGACTTGGTGTTGCTGGAATTACAGTTGCGAACAGGTTAATACAATGCAAAGAGAATGCTGCTAGAGCTGGTAAAAACTTTGAGCTTAAAGTTTTTATCGCCGGCAGGAATCGACAAGAGAATCCAGGAGCTTCAGCTTGGGCAAATTGCTTTAACGTGAGTTTTTTTGGTGACTTTCTTGTGTTTTGATATTTAGATTGGTTGGTGAGAGATGGACAATAGATTTTTCAATATATTTGTCGAAAAATATTTTAGAGAAACCATAAAATAATGAAGATATATTGAGGTAGGCTAAGAAAACCTCAAAATCTGCTTTAAATTTCTAAAAACTCGATTTAATCATTTAAAATTTAGACATTAGGAACACTGGAACGAGTAGAACTGGCTCAAAACGGGATCAAAAAGGAAGGATTTGTGGATTTGGCCAATGGACTACAAGGATGTCCAAACCTCAGGTATTTGAACCTGAATGACAACACTGCTGATGTCCTGGGAGCCAAAGCTCTAGCGAATGCCATTCCATCTTTACAGAACCTTGAGCATGTTGATATTGGAGATTGCTTGCTGAGACGGGGAGCGGTTGATGTTGTGGCCGCTTTGGCCGAAAATTGCTATGGCTTAACGGTAAGGGGTGGTTTTATATGGTTTTGGGGGGGGTTATAGTTTTTTTTGTGTTTTTTGGGCCGTTTTATAGACTTTTGATTGTGTTTTAGGGCAAGTTATGGCTTTTTGTTACGTAAAGATTAAAACATTTTGCATTATCTAACGGTTTAGATTACTCTTTTCAACATTTTCACCTAAAACAATATACTTCAGACGCTAGACCTCAGCGGAAGTGAACTAACACCACGTATCGCTGATGATATTATTGAGATTATTGCTGGAGCCGAAGACTTAGTCCAGCTACGACACGTCAAAATGGGCTTGAACTGTTTTGGAAGCGAATTCGATCGACTGGTTGAGGATACGGCTGACATGGGCATCTTCGATTTTGGTGACCCGGAAGACGATGATGGTGAATTGAGTGAGGATGACGATGACGACCTGGAAGAAGTTTGATACCGAATAATTATCTTTTACTTGTTAATGAAGACTGATACTGATTTTTGGATTTTTCTGTGGGTAACGTTATGTTATAGTAGGTTGATTGATGTTTTTGTGGTTTAACGTTATATTATAGTAGCTTTTTTAAAGTTTATATGTTTTAAAGTTATGTTATAGCAATTTATAAGTATTTGTCGTTGGGATTATTGTAGTACAAGCCAAAAAACACTTTAAGGAAACTATACCTACTACAATATCCGCATTTTTGTTATTGTAAACAAAATTTTCGATGTTTCAAGGATTTTATTAAAGCAAACATCAAAAAAATTTAAAATTTGTTAAAAAAATTCAATTTGAGTGTAAAGTCATCAGTCTCGTCATAATTATATTATGATCGACTAAAAGTACAATATTTTTTCTTTGTTATGGCATTCTTGAATATATTACTGTGGTGACAGTTCAGTGTAACATGATTAATGATAGTATAAATTGCTTTGATTGAATTAATCTGGTTTGTAAAGAAAGTTTTTGTCGTTTTTTAGTTTGTAAAGAAAGTTCTTGTTATTTTTTGCTTTGTAAAGAAAGTGTTAGCCTGTTTTGTAAAGAAAGTTCTTGCCATTTTTTATTTTGTAAAGAAAGTTCTTACCATTTTTTGTTTTGTAAAGAAAGTTTTTGCCACCTTGTGTTACAGTACTCATCAATCGTCATAGAACTCGACATTACACTCGGATGTGACGTTTATTATGACAATAACATAGTCTAGGTGATAAATGTTTTCGACCATATGCTTTCGAAGCCATTATTACTCTATCAAGTAGTCTATTACAACATGTGTTATATAAAATGACTGATATTCATTCCGATATTGTCTTTTTGTTTGTTTTGCTATGAAATTGTGGTTGATTGTGGTATTATTACTTGGCGTCGTAAATTTGGGGCTATCTTATCCTGTCGATGTTACTGTGAAGGCGCATTTAACTTTGAGGGAACCGCATGGTAAGTATATTACGTATTAATATTCTATGTTGCTGTTTTGAAATTTTTTTGTTTGTAAAGAAAGTTCTTACCATTTTTTTTGAATGGCACATTTTTCTGTTTTACAGCTTGCGGGTGACAAGTTATACGATGAATATGAAAATAGAGGCTTGTAAAGAAATTTCTTGCCAGTTTTTAGTTTGTAAAGAAAGTTATTGCCACTTTTTAGTTTGTAAAGAAAGTTCTTGTCATTTTTTGTTTTGGAAAGAAAGTAACTTCATTTTTCGTTTCAGAAAGGATAAAGCGTTTTCTCGGCTTCTACGGTTTCCACGACCGTGAAGCAGCTACAGAACGGAAGAGGACACGAAAAGACAACCGGAACCGAAAAGAGCGGTCGTTAAATAAACATGACACTTTCGACTTTAATTATTATTGACCAACTATTTATATATGAATAGACGACAATATATTTCATATATTGATGTATGTATAAAATGAATATTGAACTTATTTTTCAAATTACTATGTTTGGAATATGGTAGAGTAGGATTAGATCAAATAAAGCTTACGGTGAGGTATATTGTTATCATGGTAGAGTAGTGTAAGGTGTGATAAGAATAAAAGACAAGAACAGGCCGTGGTACGGTAGAATATCAATTAGAGTAAGGTATGAGAGAGAAAAACAGCTCTTATCAACCACTCGATTCATCACAAAGTAGACCAGCCACATATTTATTCATATTTACATATATAATTTATAAACCAGGTCATAACCCTATTTTAATCTGCTGGTTCTTTACTATATAAGCTAAAAACATCTATTATATTACACTTGATATAGAACGAAGTATCAAAATATGAAAGCCCTGATGGTATGCCTGTTCGTGGTTATTGTACTCTACACAGCTATGGTATTTGTCAATGCGGCAGCTTTGTATGAAGATATGAGACGAAATGCCAGAGATGAATCAGTTCAAACTGATCTGAATCAAAGCACCGACGATGAGGAAGGTAACGATGAAGGGGAGGAGCAGGGCTTTGCAAGTTTACACGGTGGCTTAAAGTAAGTGGCTTCTTTTAGTTTTATTTTAAAATTATAAGAGATTTTTTCGTATTGTACAATTTATTTTTTTGTTGTGTTAAAAACGCTTTTTTAATTAATTTTAAAAAATTTTATTGCCATAGAGCTAGAGTTATAGCTATTGCTAGCGCTAGGGCTAATGCTGAGTTTGAGCTAATAGAAAGACGGCTAGGACTAAAGCTAAAGTAAAACTTATTTTTCGAAGACATTTTCGAAACGTTTACTGCTTTTTTATTTTTATATTACTAATGATTTATAATGTTTAGGCAATGGCGTGTTGGGCGGAGTATTTCTAAGTTTAAAAAGAGAAGAGGGAAGAGAAAAGTAAAAATGAAGTTAAGGTCTAGTAAGGATTGAATATTGTAATACGGAGTTAAAATATAGTGTGCTACTGTTAGAGTAAAGCATGGTAAAGAGTATTACGGAAAACTTAGGGTAAGGTAGAACCTGAGCAAGAGAAGGTGAGCAAGCTATTAGAATAAAAGTAGAATCGGGTAAGGTAGGATAGGGTAGGATAGTGTAGAGTAGGGTAGGGTAGGGTAGGGTAGGGTAGGGTAGGGTAGGGTAGGGTAGGGTAGGGTAGGGTAGGGTAGGGTAATTTTTTGGGTAGGGTATTTAGAGTCTTAGAAACGTTATATTGATAACTGATACTCATTTTAGAAACTTTTCAAGGCGGAGACCAAAGACAGCGACGGCTCGTCAGAGCCGTTGATGGCCGATCGGACGCCACGAAAGCGAAGCTGGAGGATACTCGTTCCGTTCCTAGTCAAGGTTTGAATCAAATTAGGCGAGATGAAAGTGTACCACTACTTTCAAAGCCACATATGGAGTCTGAAGAAGTACCAAATTCTGTCTTTAGTACTGGTACTGAAAATGGTCTTTTTGGTACTGGTACCAAAAATGGTCTTTTTGGAAAATTTGGTACTAATACTATGTCTGATGCTCAATCAGGTACTAATATAATACCTAGTGCTCAATCGGATATCAATAATGTGCCTGGTACCAACGTCGACTACAATACCTTGTTTGATACTGAATATAAGACTAATAGTGTACCAAACACTGATGAGTACCAAAACTTGATCAAAAGAGAAATACGACCAAGTGCAATGGGCTTTGTACCTCATTATATGGCTGACGTTGATAAAAGAAGTGTAGCTGATAGTGGCTTTGATTCTTCATCTTTTGAAGAATCAGAAGCGCTACGAAGGCGACGATGGTTCTTCGGACTCTTTAGCGATGATTCAACTGATACGCCTGAAGAAATATCATCAAAAGCTGTGGAAGCGAGTGCTTAGATATAAGGGTTATAACCTCTTACTTACTTGTAGTATATTATAGTATATAAATTAATGTTATTGTATCATATCAAATTATTTATTTGGCTTTAATAAATTATTTAATTCTTAACTTTTAAGTGTTAAAGTAATTAATTTATTTAAAAAATAAGAAGCCAAACTAGCGCAAAAGCTAATTTTAGCTAGACTTGCAGCCGAAGACAAAACAAGAACAAGGGTAAGGTAAGGCCAACGTAGGATCAGCTATATCGTAAGGCTAAAAGTAAGGTAAAACCTTCAGTAGAAGTGTACAAGAGATATAGAAGGATAAAGCTACAGTAAGGTTAGAATTTAGCTAGAGTGAAGGCTAGAGTAGAAACTAAAACAAGGTTAGGCTGACAAGGAAAGGAAGACCAGGGTCTGGCTAGAGTAAGGCTAGATGTTGGCTAGAATTTTATGACTCGGTCTAAGGCTAGGTCTTGAATTAAGGCTAAAGCTAAACTAGGGCTCTGGGCTAAGGCTCTGGGCTAGGGCTCTGGGCTAGGGCTCTGGGCTAGGGCTCTGGGCTAGGGCACTGGGCTAGGGTTTTGAGTAAGGGCTGTGAACTAAGGCTCTGAGCTAAGGCTAGGGCTAAGGCTGCATGTACTACTAATTCTAAGTACTGTACGCTACAACAGACATCCGTACTAACTGCATGTTTCAAAATTTTTGTATTGTGTGGCATTTTAAACAAAACGCCTTAGAAACTGGAGTGGTAGCTTGGCAGCGCAAGTTTTTTAAGTAACAACAACCATTCGAATTGTCATGACTACAACACAACATAGTATTGTACTATGAGTTTGTGGTTTTTGGGCAGTTCAAGGAAGTGTTTTTTAGTTTTCTTGGTTATTTTGACCTATTTGTTACCTAATTACTCATATTTTAAAAACTTTTAATTAAATTTTAAAATTTAAAAAATTTTTTTTGAAATTTTGTTGTTACCGTTGTCACTTCCTTATATCTCTCTTATTCTGCCATTTCTCACTTCAATAAAAATACAAATTAGGTTACTCTTAAGAAGGCGATGAATAAAATATACTCAATTTGGGCTAATAACATGGTAACAGGTGTTGGCACAGGCTTTAATTAAGTTACAAACCAAAAGTTTGAAGCAAAAACGTGGGAATGGTTTAGTCGGCTTTACTCAACTACGGCGTGACATGGGTCATACGTTTCAGCATTAGTTTCATTTAGGTTTAGCTGTACTAAGGGTGAGACAATAGAGGTATACGAGGCTTATAGAGGTAAGAAGGAAGTTGGTGTACTTTAATTAGCAAGTCTGGAAAAAGTATTATAAGTTTATGCATTTCTGGCTCTTGTTTTAGTTAGTTCATATGTCGTAGCTATTGGAAGGATAGATTAGGGTTAGGTTAGAGACAAAGAAAGGCTAGTTTAGAGCAAGGATGACGCAATGGTAGTTCTAAGGCCAGATTTGGCTAGTGCTAGCGTGGATTTAGAGAACGCAGGTTAAAACAAAGCTAGGGTAGGGCTAGGATAGGTCGAGAATAAGCCTTCATTCTATAATACCTTTAACCCTATCCTGCCTTTAGCTTCACTTACTCTTTGCCTTATTACGTCTTTAATTCTACATTACTCTTGGACCTACTGTGTCTTTGGCTTTACTCTACCCTTGGCCTTACCTTGCTCTTTGCCTGCCCTACCGTTTGCCTTACCCAGCACTACCGTTGGCCCTACTTTGTCATACCGTGGATTCTACCGTGCCCTACCGTTCGTTCTACTCAGACCTACTGTTGCCCTTACCCAGCCCTACCGTTGGTTCTACTCTGCCCTACCGTTAGCCTTACTCTGCCACTGGACTTAATTTATTATGAGTCTTACTTTAATTCCGGCTCTAATTTCTCTCTGGCTTTACTTTACCCCTGACCTTGCCCTACTCGTGATATTAATTTACCTTACCTTATTCTACTTTACTCTACTTTTAGTTTTACTCTAGCGTCACTCCTGTATTAACCTTACCCTATTCTCATTCAGGGTTTACTGTATTATTATACAACTAATATATCATTCAAATTTGTAGCACAAAAACAGTAACATTACTTCTCTTGGCACTTGTTTCATTAAATTATATACTTTATACTATTAGCCTTTCAAACTCAATAATCATATGTGTTGTACACATATTACAACTCGTTATACTAATTACACTTTCCCAAATAAACGTTTCTTTCTCATTGTGTTTCTCACTCATTAGCCACGAGATGTATAATCTTACGAAGCCTTACAATTTCTTCTTGAATTTTACTTTCCTCACTAAATACGAAGTACAATTATGTGAAAAAACTTTGGCAGTGGGAAATAGGGCAAATAAGGAATCTCAGTTTTTTGAATGTACTTTTACGAAAAAAGTTTTTGTATTTTAGTTTTGGTTATGAGGCAAAAAAGTACAGTACTCTCTCTATATATAAGCAACTCGAAGGAACCGACATTTTGTGTTAACTATAGGGAATGTTGTCTTTACAGAGGAACTTTTTAGTGCAAATTGACTTGGCGGAGCCGACATAGGGTAGGGTAAAGTAGGGTAGGTCAAGCTTAAGGTATGTAGAGTAGAGTAAGCCATGATAAAGCAGGGTTGTATACGGTAGCATAGGGTAAAATTGAGTAGAGTAGAGAAAGGTAGGGTAGGGTAGAGTACTGTAGGGTAGGGTAGGGTAGGGTATTACTTTTTGCGTTTACTGTAATACTACATGTTTTGTGCTTACATTAGGTTTCGTTTTTTAGAAATTTCAATACTTAAAAACTTTATTCCACTAAAACCTCCACTTTGAGTAAAAAATGGCTCTACCTCTTCAACTGGTCGTACTAGTCGCTTTGGTCCCAGTAATTATGGCTATTCAATGTTACAATGGCAATCAAGGAGTGTATGTCAGTAACCCAAAGAGTTTGCCAACGGTCGATTGTGGCGCAGCTATTAATACTTGTGCAAAGACGGTCGATCTGACCGCTCAAATGGCTTATCGGACTTGTGGAAGCAGCTATACCTGCACTTATGTAAGTGGTACTTTAGATGCTATTTAGTACTAAAGCGTGAACTTTTATACTTTTTTGTTTTGTAAAGAAAGTTTTTGCCGTTTTTTTGTAAAGAAAGTTCTTGCCAGTTTTTGTTTTGTAAAGAAAGTTTTTGCAATTATATATTTTGTAAACAAAGTTCTTGCCCTTTCTTGTTCTGTAAACAAAGTTCTTGCCATTTCTCGTTCTGTAAACAAAGTTCTTGTCATTTTTTACTATATTTCTCAAAACTGCCATCCCTTTTTACACCTCCAATGTTATTGTAGGTGAACGGCACATCCTCTCCTCGTGGCTTCTGTTACAACGTCTCCACCGCCCAAACACAATGTTGTTGCTATGGCAATTTGTGTAACGCCGCAACGAGAACATCTTTCAACGTGCTGTACATTATCCTACCGTTACTAGCCGTGCTCGCCTTTCAAACACAAAAACTCGTGCTGTGAGAGCACGCGGTAACCGATTGTACATTGAATATTGTAGCACATACATATGATCTCTAAACAACTTTAACCAAAGCTTAAAACGTCATTTTTTTGAAATTTTTAAAAAATACCTTGAATTTTAGAAGTACAAAAGCCATTTTATAAATTTTTTTTAAATAAAAAAATAAATTTAAAAAATAATGAAACAAAGGCTATAAATAATCCATTTTACAACCTACATTTTGGTGCAATAATGTACAAAGTCCACCCTACCCTAACCCTACCCTACCGTACCCTACCGTACCCTACCCTACCCTACCCTACCCTACCCTACCCTACCCTACCCTACCCTACCCTACCCTACCCTACCCTACCCTACCCTACCCTACCCTACTCTACCCTACCCTACCCTACCCTACCCTCCCTACCCTACCCTACCCTACCCTACCTTATCCTACCGTATCCTACCCTACCCTACCCTACCTTATCCTACCGTATCCTAACGTACCCTACCTACCCTACCCTACCCTACACTATTCTACCCTACCCTACCTACCCTATTCTACCCTACCCAACCCTTACCCTACCTTATCTTACCCTACTCAACCCTATCCCGTTCTTTTCAACATTACCCTACTTTTTTATTAAAGCTTAGTATATAGTAGTTATTTTATTACTGTAGTTTTAGATATTACATAAAGATAAAAATAATAAAAAACACAATAAAAAATTGTGGCAGTTACAGTAAACGTTTTTTTAAATACGAAAAGTAGGCTACAAGAGGAAGATTTTAAGAGAAAAAAATTTTCTTTTACCCTTCCCCATGCAGGTCTTCGTCTATTAAAAAAATTTAAAAAGTCTGTCTACCCTCACTTTTCCAAACAACAGAATAACCTTCCCTCGATATTATGTTGAGCCAAAAGTAGCGGACAGTTTTTATTTATTTTTGAACTAAAAAGTGTCCCACTACTTTTGGTTCAACCTAATAAACGTTTACTGTCACTAGCTGCACAATAACAAAAAAAGTTTCATTTTGACCGTAAAATGATCCCAAATGACTAGAAAATATTAACCTTCATAAAGCTTTTCTAATTTGTTTTATAAAATAAGCTTTAGATATATAGAAGTAGAACTCATGCATAACGAACTCCTCTATAACACAAATGTTAGATTCCTGAGCGATTCGTTATAAGTTCTGTTGTCTGTTTTGTTAAATTTATAGTCTACATCTTTTAAAATCTACATAACTTTTAATTTTTTAAGTTTTCAATTTACTACACATTTAAAATGAATTGTTGTCAGCCAGTTTCTTATATTTCCTTCCTATTATTATGATGCTTTTCTACTTTTACCGATGATTTTTCGATTTTTTTGAGTAAATAAATAGTTTAACAAACATGTTATGGCCTTGCTCTTAGACTAGTAAAAAAGCTGGAGCTACGGCTAGACTAAAACTAAGGTTAAAGCTAGAACTCGAGTCCGTACCAGAGCTGAGCATCTTCAAAATCTATTTAAATTCTTAAAGTTTAGAATAATGACCAAAATTGCTAAAAAAAACCTAAGACAAGGTATAATTTGAATACAAAATTAAAATCAACAAAATTCAAAGTCAGAGTTTATTCGAAATCAGTCGTTTATGATCAGTCGTTTATCCGAAATCAGTTCTTTCCTTTGTCCAAGGCGGCCAAGCTCTGGTATTTCTTATGTAATATTGTAGTTTCATATAATATTTGCCTCGATGTAAAACGACCCAACAAATGACTGCGAGTGCTGAGACTTGGCTCTGATTTCCTTCGAGTACTGTTACATCAATATAAACAATGATAAACATTTGGATATTTAATATATGCATTTATTACAACCATTTCAATATCAATATAATTACACATTAGGATATATCTGTTGACCACCCACCGGTGGTTTAAACTCATGTCGACTATCACTATGTACAGGTGGGTAGCCAGTGAAGCCTCCAGGTGGTACCTGAAAGCCTTGGCCAGGGTATGCACCACCTTGTTGAACTTGTGAATAGCTTGGACTAAAGCCTGCCTGATTCTGCTGGATCATGACAGCATCTCGAGGATGATAGTGCTCACTGAGCACTTGGGTCAAGTACTTGTAGGCTTTTACTGCGATGTAAAAGAAGTATATGTTCAGGAACAAAAAGAGGATTCCAACACCCCCCAGAATGTAGAAATAAGTACCCCAGCCTTCGGAAAATTTTCTTTCTATTTCATGACTATCTTCGTATGTCCATTCACCACGGTAGATTTGCGTACCCCATATGAAGAGGAAGACGCACCATAGTAAGTTGCCTATTATCATCAAGGCTTGAGTCACGAAGTAGCACCAGTAAAGACAAGCCGTCTTGGTACACCGCCCAGTAGAAGGAGAAGGTTGCCCAAACCGGCCAACATTGGAAGGGGTAGGAATGGCCATAAGAAGCTGATTATAATGAAGATAAGGGCTCCACCACCGGATAACCAGCCGACAATGGCTATGGCTATAATGGCATTCTGAAAGTAGAGATTATTGTAGATAGAGTTCATTACAATAGACATAAGTTAAGCTAGAATATAGTCAGGGCAAGGCAATAGTAAGGCTGGTATTAGGATAGAGTACAGCTGGCATAGGATAGGGTTAAGTCAATCCCAGGGCCAGGCTTGGGTAGAAGAATGCTAAAGCCAAGGAGCGCCAGGTAGAGCCAAGACTAATGTTTGGACTAAAGTTTGCACAGCTAGGGCTCTGGGCTAGGGCTCTGGGCTAGGGCTCTGGGCTAGGGCTCTGGGCTAGGGCTCTGGGCTAGGGCTCTGGGCTAGGGCTCTGGGCTAGGGCTCTGGGCTAGGGCTCTGGGCTAGGGCTCTGGGCTAGGGCTCTGGGCTAGGGCTCTGGGCTAACTTACATGTACATGAGTGTTGCAACAACATTTGTATTGGCTGTCTGAGGCGGTCATTTCAGACCTGAAAATATGAAAAAATAAAAATCAAAAAAATTTTAAAATTAAATTTTCAAAATTTTAAAATTAAAAAAAAATTTTTGATAAACATATAAAACTTCAAATTCCACAGAAATTAATAATCAACTGAACTTACAAGAACAAACTTTGTCATTTTTATAAACGCTAACCGGCTTACAGCCTATCCCTTTGCCATAACAAAAAAGGAGCGGCGAAGAATCGTGGTGATAACATTAAAACCGGTCAACATTGAAAAATAGTTATCAGTTTAAGTCGCAAATATAAAAATAATAAACCTTTGTTGACTCATTGTCTTTAGCTAAAGTTCCTCAATTTACGTAGAATCGTATATAAACTGATAGTGATTGGCATCAAGAACAAATTTTTTAACAAAAATTACGTTTTGTTAATTAAAATAGCAGTTGTTAGGTTGAACCAAAAGTAGCGAGACACTTTTCACTAACTTTCCCTAACTAAAAAGTGTCCCGCTACTTTTGCTTCAACCTAATATTTAAAAAATAAGGTAAAAATAAGTGCTTAACCTGCCCCGCTCAGATCCAGCTCAAAATGTTTATATGAATTCCTTGTACTACCAATAGTACCTATAAAAACGTACACGCTTTTAAGTTTTAACTATGAATTATTCTTGTCTCTCGACATTTTGGCAAATTTGGCATTGTGTTTCAAGCACTGTTTTCGACTTTGCAGACAAGCTACGCTTACAAATTTGAAAATGTAGGTTCATTTTAAGGTATTCTAGGAGTATATCAAAGAAAAACAGTTAAAAGTAAAAAATGACAAAGTTATAAGCTTCAAACACAATGCCAATTCGGCGAGAACTTCACAACGTAACTCTTAATCCCAAATTTCTCAAGATTTCCTGTAAAGAGCAATTTACTACTTTGCTGAAAATTTTATATTTAACATGATTTTTCAATATAAAAAGTTTAAAGTCTATCAGAGCAAGACAAGGTATAATTTGAATACAAAATTAAAATCAAAAAAATTCAAAGTCAGAGTTTATTCGAAATCAGCCGTTTATGATCAGTCGTTTATCCGAAATCAGAAAATCAGTTCTTTCCTTTGTCCAAGGCGGCCAAGCTCTGATAGTTGTTCACAACTGGAGTGGGAGCAGGGATTGGGACCATGAGCTTGTTGTTGTGCTCAGCCACGATCGCTTGTGCACTGGCCTTCTCCTCGAACGAAACGTGACCGCGGGGCTCTTCACTGAAATTAAAAACTTTAAAAATTTGAAACATAGTGGTTTGTAAATTCTTACTTCAAAAGTTTGGAAACTAAATTTAAATTTAACTACCAGCCATGTTAACTCTAGTCAAGAACCTTTTTTAACCTACTCTTCCTTCAAAATGCTTTTCTGGGGTTTTGGATCGCGCTTCTTCAGCCTCTCAGATTGGACTTTGCATATGTCAATCACATCCGGTGCCAACGGAGGATCGACTTCGGTCTCGCTGCCTTTGTAGGCCATCAGAGCCTGCCGCACTTGAGCCTTCTGGATAGGACCTTCCGCCTGCTCGATGAGCAAGGTCACGTACGGCTTTTCTTGTGTAAGGTCCGCGATCTTCTGAGCATCATGCGAGCTGGAAATTTTTTCACCGTCCGCGTCGAGAATGGCGTCGCCCTCTTCCACGCAACGAGCGGCGCACGTAAACTCGTGGACGTTCAACACGTAGAGCCTATTGTTCCCAGGTACAAGCTGGAGACCCAATGGCCGTTTCCCGATCCTGTACAGAACGGCCAACTTGTACGAAAAGCCTTCTTGCCGCTGGTCCATGGGAAGACGCTTGGTGCCCAGAGGAAGGACGTTGACCGGACGGAGCAACGTGATCTTGCACTAAAATCACATTTTTTAGTTTTTTTAAAAAAATTTTAAAGAAACTTTACAAAAAAAACTTACGGTGAACCCTTTGGCCGCCAGCTTCTTGTACAAGCTCTGGAACTTGTTCAAGTTGGCCTTGGAGCCCTTCCACAAGCTTTCTCCGTTCAATGTCAAGAGAACGTCGCCGAACTCGATCTTGGTAACGCCAGCACCTTCCATTTCGAGTTTGATGACGGCCATGTTTTTGCGGTTCAAAGTGACGCCACACTAAAACAGAAATGAATTTAATTTTAGTCCCACCCATTCAAGCTCCAGCTCTGTAACAGCCCGAAATTAAAAAAATCAAATTTTAAACTTACACTTTGTCCCGGAGTCACTTGAAACTCGACATTGACCTCCTCGATCATGTCCTTCGGCAGTTCTTTGCCATAGGGCGCGCACTTGACGTTCTTGTCGTTGTCGACAGACTTGCTTGAGTGCGATGAGCGTGTTGAACGATGGCGAGCCATAGTTGCGGAAGTTCGAAAGGAAAGACTGCCTCCGACCACAGAAAACGCTGAAATTAGGGATTTCTCAAATCTCCACGCCTTTTATAGGGCTGGCTTATTCAAATTTTAAAGTTCAAAGCCAAAGCGAAATTTGATTCAAATTTCTGAGAATTCAAGCGAAAATTTGAAAAATTTATTAAATTTTACCAAATTTTATTGCAAATTTTTCGGTTTTTGTGAATTGGTTGGATGCCAGAGCTATCGAAAATAAAATGCGGTTTATGGACACTTGCAAATTTTTAAAAATTCTTTTTTAAATTTTTAGTCAATTTAGCTGTAGTATAGTACTAAAGTTTAAATTGGTACGCTTTTCATATTTTTTGGTACCAGATGGTACTAAAGCTTAAATTGGTACGGTTTTCATGTTTTGGCACCAGATGGTACTAAAGCTTAAATTGGTACGGTTTTCATATTTTTTGGTACCAGAAGGCATTAAAGTTTAAATTGGTACCGCACGTCAAATCGAAGTAAAACGCTATTCTGAGACACTTCGCAAACTTTGAAAAGGTAAACGAATCGCAACAACTAATATCAAAAAGTCAAACCAAACACATAGTACCATTACGCTAATTTCAGTACCAAAACCATTTTAAACCGCCCATAATCCATCCCGCCCATAAAACAGGGTAACCCGCCACGCTCTCCATTTAAAAAGGCGGATCGAAACAAACTGGGCAGAAACAACAGATGCACGAGTATGGCAAACCTAGATGAAAGTCTACACCATCACCAGTGCCTACAACATTTTACAATTGTAATATCAATGTATCAAACACAATTGTAATATCAATATAGAAAACACAATCGTAATATTAATATAGAAAACAACTGTAATATCAATATAGAATATTTAAAACCGTACAAAACACTGCCAAAAGATAAACAAGCAAAAATCAGTTCAAATACTTATTGACCAGTCGATATTGATCATTAAATAGCAAATCAGTCGGTTCTGCGGTCGTTTAGACACGTACGGATTCGTCGGACGAGTTTTTCGGAGAGTCAGCAAACTCTACCCTAAATCCTGTTTCTTCATGATGAGCAGGGATAACCTGCCCATTTGCGCCAACTTGTTCTGGAACAAACTTTTTGCCTGTGATAATTACTTTGCCCTTCTTCGGTTCTTCCTTCGGCGTTGGGCTCGGTCCTGGTATGTTCGATTTGTTGTCCGCTGGTGTGTTCGATGTTATGTTCGATATGTTGGACTTGATGTTTGACGATGTGTCCGACGATGTGTTTGACGTTTTCTTCTTTCTTTTCTTGCTCTTTTTGTGAGTTCTCTTGCCCATCATCTTGTAATACACTACAAGTGCAACCAGGATTCCGATGGAGATTCCAACAACAACGCAAATGAGACCAATCATCCAAGGATCTACAGATGCGGTGGAGGTGCTGAAACACAAATGTCAGAGTAAAACTAAAGTTAAATGTTTAATTCATGACAAAAAGTTTATATTCAAATGCTAGATTTTCATTTAAAAAAATTTAAAAAACAGTTAACTACTCCGTCTTAGCGTGAACTTTTCAAAACATAGACCAAAGAATGCCATAAACACTTACACTGATCCTTCAGTGGTTGAATTAGAAACGGCCGTTTCGGAGACCTCAGTGGTAGGCTCGAGCGTGGTGGTGGTGGTAACTGGCTTAGGCCTAAAAGAAAATGTTTTAAATCGGTTTCAGTTTAACAATTTGACACTAAAATATAAAACTGATTCCGAATGCAAAAACTAGGTAAAAACATAAAAAATTTTTCATAAAATCTCTAAAAAATCATCAAAAAAAATTATCATAGAAAAACTTACTTCAAGTAAAGCACTGCCAATGTTGTGTCGACTTCAACGTCAGGCAGTTCACCTTTCGCCGATGGAGCACGGTTCTTCAGAGCGGCCTAAAAACCAAAATTTTAAAAACCATCAAACCCTAAGACAGCCTGAAAGCATTTTAATCCACCCAAAAAAATTGCAAAAAATTGCTTAAACTCTTTTACAAATCAAAATTTAAAAAAACCTTAAAAATAAGACTCACCATGGTAAACACGAGCTTTTCTACCTTCGGACATGCCTCTGGTTTCAAACTGGCAGTTTGTCCCTCGACGACCAACTTCCGACACTTGCCCTCGCTTTCCCAAATCAGACCATCCGGGGTGTGACCAAAGGTCAATTTGCAAACGTCCAGTTGGTTCAGATTTAAGTTATTGAATTTTCCACCAGCGATGCTTGGCTTATAAGAACCTTCTCTAGTACTGCAATCTTGGTAGAACACATGCCCGTTGGAAGTGCTGGTTTGGAGTCCGCCGTCAGGTTTGCCAACAATCTCTAAAACCACTGGGTCACGTTTGCCTGTTATCAAAGTTAATGCTACTTGTGGCCGTGTCCTACAAAATGACAAAATTGTTTTGTAAACTTAGTTCTTAATTCTTTTAAAAATCATTCAAGTCTTAACAACTTTTTATCAATAAAATTTTTTTTGCTTGTTGCAAATTGACAAAAATTAGAGTGTTCAATACTCAAATATAAAACTTACCCATACAAGTGCTCACCAGCGTGAACCACAGTGTCAAATTCTGTATTTTGCGGCACAATAAAATTCTTTGTAAACGTCGAACCCTGAACAAGCTTGTACTCACTGAAAAACATTTTAAAATAAGAAAATTTGCATACAAAAAATTAGGCAGTAGAAAACTAGCAAAAATCTAGACAAAAGTAAAACAAAAGAACGCAAAAACTTCAAAAAGGCACCCAAACAAAGATTGACCAAGACAACTTACGCAAAATCCCACTGGACGGTTGAATTGTCTGGACAATGGATGTGCCTTGATGCATTGGCAGTGGAACCCTCTACCTTGAATCGGTAGAAGTCCACACATAGTTCCATACCATCGTCCACCGTGAGTATGGACACGGTGCTGATGGCCGCGTACGCGCTCGCCAAATCCATACCGACTGCCTCCGACCACAGAAACCGCTAAAATAAAGGATTTCTCGAATCTCAACGCCTGTTTTAGAGTTGACTTATTCAAATTTCAAAGAAAACGCAAAATTTTATTCAAATTTCTGATAATTCAAGCGAAAATTGTCAAAACTATCCAAATTTTACCAAATTTTATTTCAAATTTGTCGATTTTTGTGAATTGATTGGATGCCAAAACAATCGAACACTATTTTTGGCCAAAAATGTAAAATCCTACAAAAAATTAATTATCTAACCCAGAAGCACCTTCAGAACTAGCACCACCTTCATCTGCTTGCAGACCTGCTTCGATATTGTCCGTGAGCACCTTGAAACATGATTGCCTTTAATGAGTCAAATTCGATCTCGAATTTCGTAATTCTACTATAAATAAAACCATCTTTTGTCAAAGTAAGTACTTTCATCTATGCCAAATGAAAAGTACAATCTTTCTGACCTATGTTGTTGTAGCCTGAAAAACACCGATAATAGAAGCAAAAATAAGCCTAAAACTCTTAAAGAATTATATAAACCTACCAAAAAACGTTTAATAAACCTAAAATAACCTTTTCTAAGGCCCACCGACTCAAAAGTAATCCTTATAAGGTGCGATATTATCCATGAACACTTTGAAACGTATGATTGCGTTGAACGCGTGCAATTCGAGCCTGAAAATTGCTGAATGTCGCTTCATTCATCGAAAAGAGGATCCTAAACATTAAATGAATACAAGAAATGACAAACTTACTCTAACATTTACTATTCCATTCATTTTACATTGAAAAACATCGATGAAGCAGAGATTTTCAGAAAAATCCTGATTCCGTTCCACAATTCACTAAGGAAGCGAAGTGTCACAAAAATTATTAAAATTTTGATTTCTTTGGCTTTTTGTTAATCGAGACTCTTGGATAACATAATTTTACTTCATGAACAATTCAATGAAAGATTTAGCGAGGAAACCAATGTCTACTTTAACAACGGTTGGTTTAGTTTAGAACAAGGTTAATATTTTATGCGTTCCACACCTATGCTTCGCCAATAGAACAAAAGTTTATATCAATATAGAGTAAGTGAAAACAGCTAATACACGATTATACACATATTCTTGTAACAATAAAGATTTCAACTTTATTAACCCTATTTTACTCATGAATACTATTCAAAACAATGCTATCCTTAGAATATGGTGTTATTGCTGTCGATTCTTGGTCGTATACGATTGGCATCGTTTTCTTGAGAAATTGAAGCCGGTTGCATGTATTGGACTTGTTGCTGGCCCTCTTGATTTAAAACTTTGGGGAAAGTCGAGCTCGTCATTGCTAGAGTGATGCCATTGGCCCATTTCGAAACTGACATCTTGGAATTGGCAGCCTGAAAAAATAGCAAAATTAGGCCTAAATTAGGCTTGAAAATGAAAATTGGCTTAGAAATGAAATTTAGGCTTAGAAATAAAAATTTAGGCTTAAAATTAATTTTTAGGCTTAGTAATGAAATGTTAGACTTAAAAATGAATAAAAAACTTAATTTTCGTGATTGAATACCGAAGAAGTCCTGGAGGCTTTTGATCGCTTCGATCCCTTTCCCATAATTCGACCACCAGAAGACAAATTGACTGTTTTTAGAAGTAAATAAAATAAAAAATAAAATTTAAAAATAAATAATCATTTGTTTTTATGTTTATGATTTATTTCAAAGGCAAAAGTAGTAATCAAACAAGCCAACAAGATCATTCGGACGCAAAGAACCAAATCATCATCATGACTATTATCCACGGATGTCCGAGCAGAGTGGAAGCGCTGAAACAAAAATGTTAGTTTAAAAGTACATTTAAATCAGAATTTCAAAGTTATGGAAAAATTTTAAATTGAAAAAGCGAGATTTTCATGAAAAAAACCAAAAAATTTTAACTACTCCGTCCCAGCGTGAAATCTTCAAAGCATTGATCAGAAATGCCAAACACTTACCTAGAACTTGTTGTCGATTCTGAAAAAGCGGCTTCGGAAACCTCAGTGGTAGGCTCGAGCGTAGTGGTGATGGTAACTGGCTTAGCGCTAAAAGAAAAATGTTTTAAATCGGTTTCAGTTTAACAATTTGACACTAAAATATAAAACTGATTCCGAATGCAAAAACTAGGTAAACATAAAAAGTTTTTCATAAAATCTCTAAAAAATCTTCAAAAAATATAAATTAAAATAAATTGTAGAAAACTTACTTCAGGTAAAGCACCGCCAATGTTGTGTCAACTTCAGCGTCAAGCAGTTCACTTTTCGCCGATGGAGCACGGTTCTTCAGAGCGGCCTAAAAACCAAAATTATATAAACCATCAAACCCTAAAACAGCCTGAAGATGAATTTTAATTTACCCAGCTAAAATTTTAATTTATTATTTGAAAAAAAAGATAATTGCAAAAAAAGCAATTAAAAAGCTCCTTTACAGGTCAAAACTAAGAAAAATCCTTCAGAATAAGACTTACCATGGAAAACACGACCTTTTCGACCTTCGGACATGCCTCTGGTTTCAAACTGGCAGATTTTCCCTCGACGACCAACTTCCGACACTTGCCCTGGCTTTCCCAAATCAGACCATCTGAGGTGTGACCAAAAGTCAAGCCGCAGACTTGAAGTTCGTTCCGGTTCAAAGTCTCGAAACCAACGTTTGCTGACATTGGTGTATAGCGAGCCTTTCCACCATCTTTGCATTCTTGATAGAACACATGGCCGTTAGAAGTGCTGATCTGGATTACGCCAAGCGGTTTTGAAATAGAGTACAAAACCGCTGGGTCACGTTCGGCTGATATTAAAGTGAATGATAACAGTGTCTGCGACCTACAAAATAACAAAATCGTTTTGTACACTTTTGTAGTCTTCACAATCAGTAAAAATTTCTTGTTGCAAATTGACAAAATTAGAATTTTCAATACTCGAATATAAAACGTACATAACGAAGTGCTCGCCTGCGTGAAGGACAGTGTCAACTTTTGTATTTTGGGGCAAGATGAAATGCTTTGTAAACGTCGAACCCTGACCAAGCTTGTACACACTGAAAGACACACATTAAAAATTGGAACAGAATTTGCATACACAATTAGAACTAAAACTTGACGACAGTCAACTGGAGAAACTCAAAAACAAAAGATCGACCAAGACGACTTACGCAAAATCCCCCTGGACGGTTGAATTGTCTGGACAATGGATGTGCCTTGATGCTTTGGCAGGGCCCGATTTCACGCCAAATTCGTTTTCAAATTCATTTTCAAATTCAAATTTGGGTATAAAAGAGGGTGACTCACAATGTTAGAGCTCATTCAGAGCCAATTTTGCATATCCCGAGAGGTTGGGTGGTAACATTGGCTCTGATTTATTTTCTAAAGTTATTTTTCATGTTTGGTTGGGTTTGGCTTTGATTTACTGCCAAAACAACTATGGTGTAACAAGTTATTTATGCCTTCTACATCTTAGTTTTGGTTGTTTTTTAAAGTTTTAAATTATATTTGTTATCTTGTTATAGTAGGTATCAATTTTATGCTTTTTAGACTTAAAATAATAACATTTTTAGGTAGAAACTGTAAGTTTTATATAAAGTTTGTGTCATTGATTAATTTGATTTTTCAGAGTAGGAAAGGTACGTTTCTTTATATAATTTTATAATATTACCAATAATTTATAAAATTTGAAAGGTTCATACCTATAAGGTTTAGTATTTGTATTATTAATCTGATTTTTCAGGGAATAAAGGTATGTTTCTTTATATAATTTTACCATTTTTGATATTATATTGTGACAGTGAAAAGCGATCAAGGGATTCCGAGTTATTTTGTCGAATGATTCCTATTAGTGTAATGTTTACATTTTATTTTTTTTATTTTCAGGCAGCTTTGGATATTATTCATGATCTATAAGTTAGATTGATGTTAAACTAATATTTCTTCAGCTGATTCTTTAAAACCATACAAGCTGTTAAACCAACAGCTTCTTCCAATTCTGCTCAGATTTATATTGATTTAGGTAATAACTATATTCTGTGATGGTCTTTGATGTTGAGTAGCTTTCAGAAGGTTAAGAAGAGTAATATATTAATTATTTTAAACTAAGTTATACATAGGATATATTATAGTATATATTTATATGTATACGGTCGTATACACCTTTACATCTACATATATAGGTAACATACAAACATATACCCAAGATAAAGAAATGTATTTAATTTAGTTTTTAAACTACAATTTTTAAAAATTAGTGTAAAACTTATATCAATATAAAAAACTCAAAACAAGGCATTTTTGCCAAAAAAATGAGTAAAGATCTCAAATTTCAATTTTATCCATGCCACCTGTCGCAATCGAATAAATAAAACACCTTTTATGACTTTTAAAAAACTTTTAACGTCCAAGAAACATAGAAAAAAAATCTTAAAGTCTCTAACACACGTTTTGTATAAAAAACGTAAACATGTAAGACCAACTATCAATCATTTCAGCATTGATACTTAAAACCAAGAAAAAACAATAAAAACGTACCTCCTTATTGCCAGATTCAGTCTTTTCTGGCCGAGATCCGTCTTCAAATAATACACCTCGCTCGGCCGGGTTTGATTTATTCCAAATATGTTGTCATAATGACGGAATTTGTAGATCATTTTTTTCTCCACGTTTTTTTGTGGTGAAGACTTCGTTTGAGATTACTTGGAAGTTTGGTAAGATGTTATTATTATTTGTTTTGGAATTTAGGTAATAAAAACAACTTATTTATGGTTTGGCTTCGTTTGGGTGTTGTTTTATATGTCGAAGTAGAGTTGCTGACATATTTAAAGTAATTTCGCTTAATTATTTTGTTTAATATAATTTTCTTTAGACAATGTTTGGATTATCCGAAGAAAACGACTTTGACATCAACGAATTTATAGTCCAAGAGCCTATTGAGGAATCAAGAAAAAGACGCTATTCGTCAAGAAAACCAAATGAGGAGGTTGAACGTTTTTTCCAACTATTAGCGGAAAATTATGATGAATTATACATTGGGAGGAAGGGCAACAACTACAAAATCAAATGTGACGTTTCATGGACAAAGTTTCATTTGCTCCTAAATGAATATTGTCCATCATATGCGGATATGGAAGTAAAGTCTCTGAGAGACTATTGCCAAAGAGGGCTTAGCAATATAACAAAGAAAGGAGACGACAGGAAGTACAAAACTGGAAATGAACAAATTATCCTTAAACAGGTAATTTAAGTTTAGAAGCATCTTTTCCATTCATTATTATATGTTTATTTCCAAATGTAGAAATATAATTGAGTTTTTTAGTACGAAGAGCTACTATACAGCAAAATGAGCGAGCGGGGAATGAATGGGTTGGACGTTGCCTCAACCGATGATATGCCAACGTCGTCGCAAAGGTCTGGGATTGTGACGTCCTCAGAAGCTTCGTTGAAACGAAAGTTTAACCAAGTTGATCCATTTTGAAAGTATAAAATTACTAGAGGAAACGAAGAAGCTAAGGCTGGAAAACGAGTCACATCAGGAAACAATACATTTTAAACAAGCATGCACTGGATTATTAAACATGGCGACTGCAGCATTGAAAAAGTATTTTAATTTATAATAAAAGTGTTAAATTGGAAATGGTAATTTAGTTAACAGTTGAATATACAAATAGATATCTTTAATTGTCTCTTTTTATGGTAAACATTATTCTTTTTATATGTTACGAAGTCTGGCATTACGAACCGCTACAGACGAAAGTGTACCATTTGTACACATAATTCATAACCGAACGCTGACATCGCGCGAAACATATCAAAGATTAAGAATGTTTCCAGAACAAGTGGAAGCGTTGATTCAACATATAGGGCCGTTTTTAAAGCCATATCAGGTAGATACTTAAGTACTTTCGATCTTAAACTTATCTTTCACGACTGTGAATATTGTATGGTATCAAGTCTTTCCTTAAGCCATTTAAGTCTTTAGTTGTTATGTTCCTTCACTTTTCAAAACTTAAGGCGATTAATAGTTTTCTGTCATCATTACTTACAGAATGAGAGTGGCCGCTCCATCTTGTCCCCAACACTCCAAGTGATCATTGGCTTAAGATTTATGGCAGGAAACTGCTATTATTATGATCTCGGCGATTTGTATTCTTGTTCGGCTGCATCAGCTATGAGGGCCGTTAATTATTTCACAGAAGCTGTGTTGCAAGGTTTGAGAGGAGGAATCGGATGGCCACAATCTGATGAAGAAGCGAAATTAATTGGACAAAAATTTGCGATAAAAGGGGGAAACCGTTTCTTCGCGGGAGCTGTTGATGGTACACTTATTGAAGTTGTTGCTCCGTTACAAAGTCGGCTGACATTTGTGTAAGATTATTTTACATGAAAGTTTAAGAATAGGTATATATCTGAAATTTGGTTTTAAATCTCAAAGGTAAAATACTAAAACAATTTCTTCAGGACACGCCATCATACAACATGTATTAACGCTGTTATTGTTGCTGATACCGACATGGTAATTCGGTACTTTTGGGCCGGTGCAGGTGGATCCAAACATGACGATGCTGTACTAAGAATATCGTCGTTACAAAGAGCATTTGATGCAGGTTTTCGACCTTTTCCTGGGGCAGTACTGATTGCCGATTCTGGGTATGGTGATAGATCGTGGTTGCTAGCGTACCGTCAGAACCATCCTCCAGCTTACGAAAATTTGTACCAGTAAGATTATTAAATTAAGATGATAAGCAGAGTCGCTACGATTTATTTAGGGGAATACTGCAAACACGATATGTGGTTGAAACAACTATTGGCCTTCTGAAAACACGTTTCCAAGTCCTAGGGCCGGCCGGCCATATTCGTCGATATGGCCCTGTAAAGAGCTGTAGCATCGCCAATAGTTGCGCTTTACTACACAATTTTATAATGACGACAAAGCACCTGCTAAGCGACGAGGAAAACGTAAATGATATGAATTTCTAATTTTTTAGTATGTATATCCGATAGAGAACGGTATTGTGAAAATAAACAAATATATATATAATATATCCTATGTATAGCTTAATTTAACATAATTAATATAATACTCTTCTTAATCTTCTGAAAGCTACTCAACATCAAAGACCAAGAATATAGTTATTACCTAAATCAATAGAAATCAGAGCAGAACCGTTGGTTTAACAGCTTGTGATGGTGCCATTGCATGTTGGGATCCGCTCTTTTAGGTAATACTGTTTTTCCTCGTTTGGAGCCGCTGCTATCGCTCTATCACAATATTTTCTAAGAATCAAATAATTACAAGCCTAATTATACATTGATACACAATGATATATATAATTATATAAAGAACCTTTTCACTGTCACAATATAATATCAAAAATGGTAAAATTATATAAAGAAACATACCTTTATTCCCTGAAAAATCAGATTAATAATACAAATACTAAACCTTATAGGTATGAACCTTTCAAATTTTATAAATTATTGGTAATATTATAAAATTATATAAAGAAACGTACCTTTCCTACTCTGAAAAATCAAATTAATCAATGACACAAACTTTATATAAAACTTACAGTTTCTACCTAAAAATGTTATTATTTTAAGTCTAAAAAGCATAAAATTGATACCTACTATAACAAGATAACAAATATAATTTAAAACTTTAAAAAACAACCAAAACTAAGATGTAGAAGGCATAAATAACTTGTTACACCATAGTTGTTTTGGCAGTAAATCAAAGCCAAACCCAACCAAACATGAAAAATAACTTTAGAAAATAAATCAGAGCCAATGTTACCACCCAACCTCTCGGGATATGCAAAATTGGCTCTGAATGAGCTCTAACATTGTGAGTCACCCTCTTTTATACCCAAATTTGAATTTGAAAATGAATTTGAAAACGAATTTGGCGTGAAATCGGGCCCTGCCAAAGCATCAAGGCACATCCATTGTCCAGACAATTCAACCGTCCAGGGGGATTTTGCGTAAGTCGTCTTGGTCGATCTTTTGTTTTTGAGTTTCTCCAGTTGACTGTCGTCAAGTTTTTCGGGATATGCAAAATTGGCTCTGAATGAGCTCTAACATTGTGAGTCACCCTCTTTTATACCCAAATTTGAATTTGAAAATGAATTTGAAAACGAATTTGGCGTGAAATCGGGCCCTGCCTCCGACCACAGAAACCGTTGAAATAAAAGAATTTTTTTAAATCTCTTTTATAGGGCTGGCTTATTCAAATTTCAAAGTTCAAAGCAAATGCAAAATTTGATTCAAATTTCTGATAATTCAAGCGAAAATTATCAAAACTATTCATATTTTATTTCAAATTTGTCGATTTTTGTGAATTGGTTGGATGCCAAAACAATCGAACACTATTTTTGGCCAAAAAAATGTAAAATCCTATTAAAAACATTAATTATCTAACCCAGAAGCATCTTTAGAATTGGCACCGCCTTCATCTGCTTGCAGACCTGCTTCGATATTATCCATGAGCGCCTTGAAAGATGATTGTCTTGAATAAGTCAAATTCGATCTCGAATTTCGTAAGCCTACTCCAAATGAAACCATCTTTTGTCAAAGTCATTACCTTCATCCATACCAAATCAAAAACAAAATCTTTTTGACCGATATTGTTGTAGCCTAAAAATCACCGACAACAAAAGCACAAATAAGCCTAAAACTCTTAAAGAATTATATAAACCTATACATACATGCTTCATAAATCTAACGCAGCATTTTCGATTGTCAAACGACCCAAACGTAATCCTTATAAAGCGCGATATTATCCATGAAAACCTTGAAACGTGTGATTGCGTTGAGAGCGTGAAAGTTGAGCCTGAAAATTGCTGAATCTTACTCCATTTATCGAAAAGAATGTCCTAAACATTAAATAAATACAAGAAATGACAAACTTACTTTAACATTTACTATTCCATTCATTTTACATTGAAAAATATCTATGAAGCATTTCTATTTATTATCCATGAGCGCCGTGAAACATGATTGTATTGAAGGAGTCGAATTCGAGCCTGACGTTTCCAAGCTTACGTCAAATGTTGTCAAACTAATTACTTTCATCTCTGCCGGCGCAAAAATTCAATTTTTCAAGCCGATGTTGTTGTAGCCTGAAAACACCGGTAATAGAAGCAAAAATAAGATCATCTTGCTTGTTTAATGAACTAATTAACAGTTTGTTGAGAACCTTGAGCCACAAAATCGGAACATCCTATTATGGGCGGAAATTTGGACCTACCACGAGTAGACATGAGAAATGGGCCGGGCCGGCCCGGCCTTGAGCAAAATTTCGAACGGGCCGGGCCTGCAAAATGAGTCGGGCCCGGCCCGTTTCCCCGTAAAAAAAATTGCGTCCGGCCCGTTTTTCATGTCTAACCACGAGCGCACCATTATGGTCCCGCCACGACAACGAACAGCAATTGGCATTCCGCACCGCGCCAGCACGGTAAAAGGAAAGGACGCGGTCCCGTTTCACGGTGTTACACTCGTCTGTACTATTGTTGCTATTCTACTCCTGTTGTTATTGTTATTCTACCGTGGATCAACGCAACTATGCTCGCCATCGTTCATCGCGCTCATCCAGCAAGTCGGTCGACCGCGAAAAGAACGTCAAGTGCGCGCCCTATGGCAAAGAACTGCCGAAGAATATGATCGAGGAGGTCAAGGTCCAGTTTCTAGTGGCCCCGGGACAAAGTGTAAGTTTAAAATTTGAATTTTTTTAATTTTGGGCTGATGACGTCAAGCTGAACCGCAAGACAATGGTCGTGATCAAAGTCGAGATGGAGGGTGCTGGAGTTACCATCATCGAGTTCGGCGACGTTCTTCAGACATTGAACGGCGAAAGCTTGTGGAATGGCCAACATCAACAAGTTCCAGAGCTTGTACAAGAAGCTGGCGGCCAAAGGATTCACCGTAAGTTTTTTTGTAAGGTTTATAGTTTTTTTTAAAAAACGAAAAAAATGTAATTTTAGTGCGAAATCACGTTGCTCCGACCGGTCAACGTCCTTCCTCTGGACACCAAGAGTCTTCCCATGGACCAACGACAGGAAGGCTTCTCGTACATGTTGGCCGTTCTGTACCAAATTGAGGGACGGCCATTGAAACTTCACGTTGGAGCTTGGGGCAATAAAGTCTACGTGCTAACAAGGAAAGGTCCCCACCACGCATTGGACTGGTGAAAAACTGGTACATACAAATTGTAGAGCATGGTCAAATTAGTCAAAAACCGAAAAAAAATTTACCGCTCGTGGGGGTTTTTTAAAAAATTTTCTTATGTCAAAGTCTAAAAATATTAATTGCGCTCGCGCTAAACTCGGAAAAGAAGAGCAGTGAGTTCCGTGATGCAATAGCGCAGTGGTTGCGCTCTCGGCTAACGCTCAAAGCCCGTCGGTTCGGGTCGCGCCAAGGGCAAGCCCTTTTGTGCCCGGATTAACTTTTGTAAAAGTAAAAAAAAAATAATTTTTTTAGTCAAACTTTTTTTACAATTTGTTCGTTTTATTATTTTTTAAATAGTACTTTTATTTTGTTTTTATTTGTAATAATGGAGAATTGTTGTTCTGAGGTGATCTGATGAATAAGTATGTAGAGTTTTTTATATTAAAAACAAGCTTAATAACAGAAAAATTGATTCTTTGATGTAAACAAAACAAAATTTGACCAAAAAAAATAATTTTTTTTATTTTTAAAAATGTTAATCCAGGCACAAGAGAGATCGTCTCCGGCAGGACCCGAACCGACGGGCTTTGAGCGTTAGACAAGAGCGCAACCACTGCGCTATAGCAGCACGGCACTCTCGTCTTCTTTTCCGAGCCTAGCGCAAGCGCAATTAATATTTTAAACTTCAACATAAGAAAATTTTTTAAAAAACCCCCACGAGCGGTAAAATTTTTTTTTGTTTTTTGACTAATTTGACCATGCTCTACAATTTGTATGTACCAGTTTTTCACCAGTCCAATGCGCGGTGGGGACCTTTCCTTGTAAGTCTGCACGAGTTCACGTGCGCCGCTAGTTGCGTGGAAATGGGCGATGCAATTCTGGATGCGGATGGTGAAACCTTGTCTAACCCAAACGAAGCTTCGGAAAAGATCTCGGACCTTGCACAAGAAAAGCCATACGTGACTTTGCTCATCGAACCGGCGGAGGGTCCCATTCAAAAGGCTCAAGTGCGGCAGGTTCTGATGGCCTATAACCAGAGCGAAGCTGATCCGCCGGTGGCACCGGATGTGATCAAGCAGAATACGAAAAGCTGAAGATACGCGATCCGAAACCCAAGAAGAGCATTTTGAAGGAAACGTAGGTTAAAAAAGGTTCTTGACTAGAGTTAACATGGTTGGAAACTTGGTAGTTCAAATTAAACCTAGTTTCCAAACTTTTGAAGCAAAAGATTTTACAAACCACTATGTTTCAAATTTTTAAAGTTTTGAATTTTAGTACGGAGCCCCGCGGTCACGTTTCGTTCGAGGAGACGGCCAGTGCAAAAGCAATTGTGGCTGAGCACAACAACAAGCTCATGGTCCCAATCCCTGCTCCCACTCCAGTTGTCAACAACTATCAGAGCTTGGCTGCCTTAGACAAAGGAAAGAACTAGACTGATTTCGAATAATAATGACTTTGAATCCAAATAAAAGACCGACTTTAAATTTCGATTTTTTTATATTCAAATCATACCTTACCTTAGGTTTTTTAGCAATTTTTCAGCATTTCTTGGCCTAGCGCTGTTTTATGAAGATTTGAGTGACAATATTATTAGTAGTAAAACTCAAAAATTATGATGTGGAGAATTGTGTGAACAATATCTTATCATAAGTACCCTAATTTTACCAAATTTTGTTGCAAATTTTTCGATTTTTGTGAATTGGTTTGACGCCAAAACGGTCAATAACTTATTTTGACAAGCTGTACTGTTCTTTGAAAGCTAGTTTTATTTAGTTTTTACGTTTTTAGTTTTCAGCTGTCGAAATCAATCGAGAATGAGGGCCCATCAACGAACGGTTCATTCTCTCTTCTACATTACAAAGAACCGGCTGCAGTGTTGCGGAATACTTTCAACACTAACAGCTTCGCTTTATTGCCCAAATGGTTGATGTAGCACCGCCAGAGAGTCAGCGAAAAACCGCGTCTAGTCGAGAGTCAAATAACAAGCATCTATCTCCAAGCGAAGCCGAAAACAAAACATCTGTAAGTTATCTTCATGTTGCCGTTGTTGGATTTTTAGTTCTTGAGCTCGACGCTGAGTGAAGAATTATATTTTTAGGAATGTCTTGATGCTCAGCCGGTACGTTTGTCATGGAAGAACATCTGTGTGACACATCGGAAGTCCAATCGGACAATCCTGAGAGACGTTTGTGGGTTTGCCGAGCCGGGAGAGCTGGTCGCGCTGATGGGAGCTTCTGGAGCTGGAAAGACAACATTGTTGAACACTCTATTATGTCGCAATTTGAAGGGATTGGATGTGAGTTCATTGTTTATTATTTTTCTTTTGATTTTAGGTTGAACATTAAATTTTGAAGGTTTTGGAAGTTTTTAACAAGCTTTATGTTATCCATGGCCATTTTTATGTGTTAAAACGGAAAACTTTGATTAAAATTAGAAATTATAGCCAAAGAGAACAACATTGATACAGGTTTCATAAACATTTTTACAGATCTCCGGAAAGATTTTGGTCGACAATCACCAGCTTTACGACAGGATCACCAGGGTCAGTGGCTACGTGCAACAAGAGGAATTGTTTTGTACCCGATTGACTGTCGAGGAGCATCTTCGGATTCAAGCCACACTCAGGTTACCTAATCTGACCACTAGCAAGCGGCAGTCCCGGATCGACGAGGTAAGGTTGCGTGTTATTGTATTGTACTTGATGTTTTAGGTAACACTTTTTGACTTTGATTAAAACAGCTTGTAGGTTTGCTGTATAATGTGTTATTAATTGTTTTTGAGGAGTTGAAATGGTTTTCAAAGTTTTTTTGACTTGTTTAGAATGAAAATTTATGATTTTAGGTAACAAATTGAACAAAAAAGATTTTTTGTGTAATATTATTGTGAAAACATCTGTATTTGACTATGTTTCATCAACAAATGTTACGTTTTAGCTGCTACGACTTCTGGGCTTGATGAAATGCCGAAATTCAAAGATTGGCATAAGTGGAATAGATAAAGGAATCTCAGGAGGCGAAGCCAAGCGACTGATGTTTGCCAGCGAACTTCTCAACAATCCACCGCTGATGTTTTGCGATGAACCAACGACTGGACTGGACTCTGCGATGGCTGAAAGTGTTGTTATGTGTATGAAAGAGCTAGCTAAACATCAACATACGATTATATGCACCATCCACCAGCCATCTACTTCTGTTTTCAAGACTTTTGATAAGGTAAAGTTGATTTTTGAAATTTTTTATGTTTTTAGGTACGAAAGAGGTTAATGTCAAGATTATGCATCATCTACTAGTTATTAAATATCAGGTTTACCACATTTCAGGTCATTTTCCTAGCCAATGGCCGAGTCGCATATTATGGTAGCCCTGACACTTGTGTCGCCGCTTTTTCCGAGCTAGGTTATCCATGCCCAAAGAGCTATAACCCAGCTGATTTGATAATAGAAAAGCTGGCTGTAGAACCAGGTAATGAAGAGGAGTGCAAGAACCGAATCCGAAAGATCTGCGATGCCTTTGAGAGCTCAGAAGCCGGCCAGAACTTTCTTTCCCAATCGAAGGAGGTGTCAGAAGAGACAACGATCACTTACAATCGAAAAACGGCTCCAATGTACATGCAGGTATAGCTTTGACAGAATTATTTTTAAAAAAAATTTTTTGTGGGCGGGGTAAATTTTTTTTGGGTGGGGTGGATAGAAATTGAAATTTTGTTTTTCCGGGTTGAATAGAATTAGATTTTTTGAATGTAAATGGAAAAAAAGGGAAATTTTTTCAGAGCGGGGTAAAAATTTTTTTTGGTGTGTGTGGATAAAAATTGAAATTTTTTTTGTTAAATTTGCAAACAAATTATTCAAAAATAATATATATTTACAAATTTTAGTTGATAGGCTTTTTAAATTGACATATTTTAGTTCTTAGCCTTATTAAAACGCTGCTACATTGACACCTGGAGGAATCCAGCCCTTGCCAGGGCGAAGCTGATCCAAAAACATTCCTTGGCTTGTTTCTTGGCTTGATGTACTTCCAGACGGACTCAAATTCGCTAGTTGGAGTTCAGAACACAATGGGAGCACTATATTTTGTGGTAGCGGAGCTGACCTATTCGACTATGTTTGGTATCTTGGCCTTTATGCCAAATGACTTTCCATTGGTGTCACGGTTAGTATTTGATAAGCGTTTAAATGTCATTTTGATTGTTTTGTAAAAGATATGTACTCGACTGGTCGGAAGAGTTACTAGATTAATTTTTCGATATTTGTCAGGTATTTCTTACTGAGTATATTGTACAAAAAATTTTACGTTTTTAGATCGCATAGAAATGGCACAATGAATTTTTTGAAAAAAAAACATAATTTTTGAAATTTTTTTATTTTTTAAAATTTTTTAAAAATTTACTGTGCTATCTTACTGTGACGTAAAAGTTTGAAACTTGCAGCATAGGATGCTTGTAATGTGTGCTTTATATGTATTAAGTTTGGTGTTTTTAATAGCTTTAGTTTGTAAGATATGGCAGGTCAATGTGGGGTACCTACCTTGGTACAATTTTTTAAAAAATTTTTGAATTTAAAGTTGAAATTTTAAAACCAAGTTCAATTTCAGAGAGTACCACGATGGCCTGTACTACCCAATCAGCTACTATCTTTCGAAAGTTTGCTCATTTTTGCCACTGTTCACACTGGATGGCCTGATCATGATGACGATTTCCTTTGTCATGATCCTCTTCAATGGCTCAGTAAAAACGTTGATGCAGATCCTAGGATCGGGTGTGCTAATCGAATGGAGCGCAGCGGCATGTGGTGTGATGTTATCCACAATATTTCCATCGTATGCAATCGCCATGAGCGTAGCGGGCCCATTGATCACGGTATTATCATTGGTTGGTGGAATCTATGCCAATGTGGGACATTTGCCAGTGTATATTCGATGGATGCAGTACATTAGTTGGTTTAAGTAAGGAATTTTTGGGCTTATGATAGCGATTTCTTGGTTTAAACCGGAAATTTTTAGGCTTTTGATAAATAAATTATGTTCTTTTAGGTATGGATTTGAAGCCTTTTCTATATTCGAATGGCTGGAGGTGGAAGAAGATGGTTGTGTGGTACAGTTGAGAAATGTGGTGAGCTTTTGGCACTTTTAACCTTTATCTTGTCTCTTTCCACTTCAAAATTTGAATTTTGTTTTTTCCGCCAAATAATTAAAAGTTTTTAAATTATAAGGACACGTATTTGATTTTAAAAGCCAAAAAAATGAATTTAAGTTTAATCTTATCACTTTTGACATTGCAGAGTCACCTCGCCCTAGAAGGATCAGACCAACGAAACGTTACCTGCTTATCGGCCGATGACATTCTCGACCTGTATTCACTGAAAAGAGAGAATATCTACTTGGATATTGGTGTTCTACTCGGATTCATTGTGTTCTTCTACACGATCGGCCTCTTCTCACTCTATATTAGACTCAGATTGTCACGATAAATCGGAATTCATGTGGAATGTAGTTTGACTTTGTAGGTATAGGTATTGGCTTCCAATTATGCTCCGGCTTGTTTAGTGTTCGTTTCCAGATTGGGCTAGGTACCTAGTCGATGCGGGATTTAAACTGGGTTCATGGGGTCTTGATTTAGACTCGGCTTCGTGGTTTCTCAATCTGGTCCAGCCTGGCGTTTTTAATGTCTTTTAGTTTGGCTCGCTTTTAGTGTGCCTTTTTTAGATCTATGCGGTCTTCCGACTATGGATGAGCCGAAATCCTTAAAGTTGGGAGCTTTGAATGGCTCATCTATATTTTGACAATCTGATTCTTAAGAGCCGATGTTTTGGCGTCGAAACAACTAAATATCAGAAGAAGCTTCTAAGCTACACTTTTTCACGATTTATGTCATAATGAATCACCCTAGTCCATATTTCTATGTTACCTACATGTTGTTGACAACCTCTTGATCACTTTCCCATCAGAGTGCAGTTTTATTTTTAAAAAATTGGAGAGCAAAAAACAAAAAACGGCCGTTGAATCATTTTAACGATTTTGTTTATTTCTTCGACTTTTTCGGATCATAAATTAAGGGCCAGTTGGCGGTGCGGCGGGGGATAAATAAAGGACGGAAGCGAGGAGTTGTTGTTAGTGGGGAGTGGTGTTTTCTTCGATCACGTTGGCTTGGGAATCAAAGCGTACATGATACGGTAGACTTTGGGTGTTAGTAGTGTGGAAGACTAGCCCGTGTCTTAGCTTTAACTTTACCCATGCTTGAGTTCTAGCCCTGTCTTTAGCCTGAGTTCTTCCTCTCGTCTTAGACTAAGTTCTAGCTCTAGCCCGAGTTCTAGCTCTAGACTGAGTTCTAGCCCTGTCTTTAGCCTGAATGCTAGCTTTAGCCTGAGTTCTAGTCCTATCCTGAGTTCTAGCCTTAGCCTGAGTTCTAGCCTTAACCCTATCGTGAGTTCTAGCCCTGGCCTGAGTTTTAGCCCTGGGCTTAGCGTGAGGTCTAGCCTTTGCTCTAATTCTAGTCTGAGTTCTAACCCTAACCTTAGCCTTAGCATTTTACATTTTAAACTACAGCTGTTACGTTTAAGCCTGAAAACCTATTTTTTAAGCCAAAAATGCAGTTTATGAAGTTAAGGTTTGCATAGCTTAGTATTTTATGGTCAAGCCTAAAATTTCGTTTTTAACTTTAAAATTCTGTTTTTAAGCTTATAGTACAATTTTTCAACCTTGAATCAATTTTGAAGCCTATAGTTCTACTGTAAGCTTAAATTTCTAATCTCAAGCTTAAAATTTTGTTTCAAATATTAAATTGCACTTTTAAGCTTAAAAGTTTTAAATTAATAACATACCTTTATGCTTAAATCGAGTATTTCAGCCTGAATTTTATTTTTTAGCCGTTTTTTCATTGATAAAAATTGAAAAACCTTAATTTTTAGAATGAAAACCGTACTGATTTTGTGCTTGGCCCTGTTCGGCTCGGCTTTGGCCATGCGAAAGCAAGGAGTTGCTGTCAAAGGAAAATTGACCTGCAACGGAGTACCAGAAGTTGGTACAAAGGTCAAGACCTGGGATGTTGATCGCAGTAAGTGTACCCTTTCTTTAAAAACCAAAAAATAGCAAGAACTTTGTTTACAAAACAAGAAATGGCAAGCTTTCTTTACAAAACAAGAAATGGCAAGAACTTTGTTTACAAAACAAACAATGGCAAGAACTTTGTTTATAAAACAAAAAAAAGGCAAGAATTTTCTTTACAAGGCTAAAATTACCGAGTTTTAAAAAAAATTTCTTATAAAATTTTTTAGACCCCGGAGACAGTGATGACCAACTTGATGCTGGAGTCACCGACAAGTCTGGCTTCTTCTCATTGGACGGTACTACTCGTGAACTGACCACCATCGAGCCTGAATTGAGAGTTTACACTGACTGTAACGATGGCCCAGCTGTAAGTTTCCTACCCTACTATAATCTGTCATATCCTACTCTATCCTACCCTACCCTATCCTACCCTATCCTACCCTACCTTACCCTACCCTACCCTACCCTACCCTACCCTACCCTACCCTACCCTACCCTACCCTACCCTACCCTACCCTACCCTACCCTACCCTACCCTACCCTACCCTACCCTACCCTACCCTACCCCTACCCTACCCTACCTTACCTTACCCACCCTACCCTACTCTCCCCCCCACCCTACCCTAACTTACTTTACTTTACCTTACCCTACCCTAAAATATTTTTTTAATTCCAGCCCTGCCGCCGTGTACTGATCTTCCCAGTCCCAACCGAGTACATTCATTCTGGTACCGCCGAGAAGATCTACGACTTCGGAACGATTGAGTTGAAGGGAAAGACCGAAAACGAGCGTCGTACTTGTAAAGAAGACCAGTAAATACCAAATACTACTCATTTTTTAATGTCATTTTTCAAAAATACTAAAGTTTTAATTTTTTTAAAATTTTTACAATAAACTTTTTCAAAATTTTGTTAAAAAGCAGTTTATTTTGAAATTTCATTTTCAAGTATCAACAGTATTGTGCACAGTAGGTCAGTACGACTTATTCCTCGAACATAATCGGCTGTCTCAAACGTTGCAATACAATATCATCAAAATTGCAAAAGACCGTGAGCTGAATGATATCATCCTCCGTTCCGTAAGTCCAACGAGTATTCGATATGTCAAAGTTGCGATGTTGTGATAGGCCACGCAAGTCATTAATGAATTCAGTGTCTCGGCCACTATTCTAAAAATTACCCTTTATTGAATTTACAGAACCTACCCTACCCTACCTTGCTCTGTCTTACCGTACCCTACCCTATCTTGCTCTGTCTTACCGTACTCTATCGTACCTTACAATATTTTACACTACTGTATTGTACCGTAATTTCATATATAACAATAGCCCACCTATTATACCCTTACCGAAGCATATCTTTAGCTTGTCCTATCGTTGCTAGCCTCAAGTTGCCTTATTTTACAATGTTACAGTGACTCTTTATCACATCCAAGTTCCACGCTTACTGTAACATAGTTTTACCAAAGTTATCTTCTTGTCGTGTCTCCTAAAACCCAAAATGTTCCCTTTTCACCTCCCCCTCCCCCCCCCCTCTCCCTTCCTATCGTGCCTTCTAAAAACCCAGAAGCCCGCTTACCCTGCCCCTCTGCTATTCCTTCTCTTCACTTTGTAAAACACCTACCTCAACCGGTAGACTGATGATGACAGATCTAAAAAACTCAAGAAATACGAATTCTTCCTTCAGTTTCTTCATCTTGGCATACGCTTTGTACAGTTTTTTGAAAAAAAGGCTTCAGTTTGTCGTACTCAATACAGCTGACCAAGAGTCTAGCATAAAGTCCCACTTTCCCTACCTCAACTCGCGCAAAATCGACCAAAATTGTTCTGTAGTACTCGAACGTTGAGTCGTCGAACATGTCCATAAACTTGACATCACAGTAAAATTCAGTTTCTTTTGCGTTTGGTGATAACGACAAGTACTGGTAGAGTGTGAGAAAGTTGATACAATGCAAGTACATTTCATCGAAAGCGTGGTCGAAGAGCTCTGCCAGGTCTAAAATAGAATAAAGAAGGATGAGATAAGCCTAAAAGTATAAGAAGAAGTTTTAGTTAAGGCCAGATCTAGGGCTAAAATTTTAGCTTTAGACTTACGCTTAAAATAAGACTGAGCCTAAAACAATAAAAGAGTTAAGCACGTAAGTCCTAACTCTTGTTCTAGAGCTAAGACTAGTTGTTAGGGCAAAAGCTGTGGCTAAAGCTAAGGATATAGGTCGGTCTAGAAATAAGACTAAAACTAAGACGAGGTCGCTAAGACTAGGGCTAAGGCTAGGGCTAAAGCTAAGACTAGAGCTAAGGCTAGGGCTAAAGCTAAGACTAGGGCTAATCTGGGGCTAGGGCTAAGAGTCGAGCCAATTAATCCGAGTAATCCGGAGAAAAACTTACATCCTTCTTGAACAGCACAACCCGGCGGCCTAAAAAAAGCATGATAGACATGATCGAACAAGTAAAACTTTTTGCCTCTCCACAATTGTTGACCCCAATGTATCGTCGGCCTTTCCAGCGCTGGATTCTGTACGCTTGTCCCGTAGAATTTGTACTGATTTTTTTCATCGTCGCCGGCGTAAGTCAACTGCATGTTCAGGTCGGTCAGAACTTGTCGCACAACTCGACATACATTATTTCGGTCCACACACAATTTTACGTTCAGCTCTGAAGAAAAGATTTTTGAATATTAAAAAATTTTAAATTTTTAAAATATTTTAAAATTTCAAAAAAGTATGGGATTTTAAAACTTTAGGCTTCTTACTCTTTGCCCTGTAAACCATCTTCACCAAATATCTCTGTAAACATTTCTGCTTCAGGCTAGAGAGTATATTCACCTCCAAAGAAGGTTGAGCCGGAATGAGAGCTTTTACCACCACCATAACTTGAGTTTGGCTGGTAGTATAAATGGTCACCTCTTCGCCATGAAAAAGCACTCTCTCGTCACAGATTATACACGAAAACGGTTCAGATTCAGGCGTGAAACAACTCTTGAGCACTCGTTGGGATGTTAGCTAAAGAGCCTTCGTTGTGATGTTAGAAAGAAAAAGCATTAACATAACCAATATAAAGTTAGGTTAAGTAAAAATACAGAGTAAAGTAAAAATATAAAGTAAAGTAAAACATAACCCACCAACAACCGATAGACGTCTTTCGAAGTCTTGACAGCTTGAGGATGAAAACGACGATAACGAGTTTGATTCAGTACAGTAATGTAGAAAGCGTAGTAGTACAAACAAGTCTTGTTCAAAACAGTGGGTCCTTTTACAAGATTAGTATTACTGCGCGACAAAGCAGTATGAATTGGTATAATTTGCATAGAAGTTTAGGGTTAACGCTAAAGTTAGGATTAAGCTTAAGGTTTAGGGTTAAGCCTAAGGGTTAGGGTTAAGCCTAAGGTTTAGGGTTAAGCCTAAGGTTTAGGATTAAGGCTAAGGCAGATAATCAAAACTTGTAGTATCTAAGTATTGATTTTGAAAAGTTTCACAAGGACAATCAATCAATTGATCAGTAAAACAAAACAAAACGACCGAAAAATAGCCCAAATCATAAGTAAAATGGACGTTTTTTGATCAAAATCAAAGCTAAAATACGGGACGTGAACGACCCGGCAAAAACCAAACTCTGGTCAGACCAGGTATACTAAACTACGTAAAACTCTCCGATGAGATTAGCCCTAAGCCTAATATCAAAAAAAGGACTTTAAGCCTAAAAGCTGAAGCATAAATCGAATCAAGACAAAGGCCAGATTCAGGGCTAAACCAAGTACAAGACCTCGAACAAGAACCGGGCTAAGGATAAAGCTGAATAGAGCCAAGGCTAAGACTTGTTCATGAAGTAAGATTATGTTATTCTACAGTCTCAATTAACAAAAGCCAAAAGAAATCAAAATTTTAATAATTTTTGTGACACTTCGCTTTCTTATTGATTTTTGGAATAGAAAAGGGTTAACGAAGTAAGGTTACTAGTTTTTTATATTGTCCTTGATGTTTTAGGTAATACGATTTGATTTTGATTAAAGAAGCTTGTGGATGACTTTGATAATGTGTTGTGAAAGATTCCCGTGGAGATAAAATCCTTTTTAAAGTTTTCTGTCCAATTTAGAACGAAAAACCTCTGATTTTAGGTAACAAATTGCAAAAAGTTTTTTTCTTGGGTAATATTATTGTGGCCACACAATTGTGGTGGCCACCCATGGTGGTAGCACGTGTATTTGGCTACAATTTATCAATAAATGTTATGTTTGAGCTGCTGAGTATATACATTGCTTGGTTAAATATACATTACTTGGCTTGTGTGGGACATCTACAATATTAAAACTTGAGGGAAAACTGTTGTTATGGCCAACTTTTAGTTGAATACTCTCTTTATAGTCAACTGGGGGATTAACTTCAACTTTTTTCAGGTCTTGCAGCTTAAATCTTCTGATATTTATTGCTTAAAATTGTAGTTCAGGAGGTCAAAACGTGGTTTTGTGACAAAAGTTTATTGATTTCAAGTGATAATCAAGTCTTTTATCAAAAGTAAAGTTGTTTATTCATTTTTACAGATAAGGAAACATATAAAAGAAGAATCTGTACGACAATTAAAGTTAAATTTTCTTTACAGAACTCATTTTTTATATTGTTTTAGGCTTAAAACTGAATTATACTAGTATTAAATCCTCTTAAATTTAAAATTTTATTTTAATTATGAAATTGCACTTCATTTTAATATCTCTACTGATAATTATGACAACTTTGTCATCTAGTTCACCTCTTACTAACCCATTTCAATTAACATTGGCAGCTGATGGCAAAGTAGGCACTAAAGAAGTTAAAGATGAAATGTGTTATGTCAACCATTATTCTTGTAAGATGGTATGCTTCAAAACGTGTGTTTTATTGAATTACGTTTGCGAATCATTCGAGTGCATCAACGGTGAATGTAAAATACATTGTAAATAGTTGATTGTGCAAAGTAAATTTTAAAATTCGGAATTGAAAATTTTTTAAATAATTTAAAAGAAATATAAGTTAACTTCACTATGGCTAGGGCTAAGAGTGGGCTAGGACTAGAGCTAGCCTATAGCTAAGCCCAGAGCTGAGACTAGAGCAATGGTTAAGGCTATTCTAGAGCTAGGACTAAAAAAAGACTAGGCCTAAGGCTGGATTATGGCAAAGGCTAAATCTGGGCTAAGACTGGGCTAAAACTAGAGCGAAAGCTGGGCTAGAGGTATGGCGTGGACTACGACTAATGCCAAGGCTAAGGCTGGGCTAATGCATAGCCTAGAGATAAAACTGGGCTACGGCTAATGCCTTGGCTGGCACTATAGGGTATAGCTGGACTAGGGCTACTTGACCCTAAGTCTAGGGTTAAGGCTGAGCTATGGCTAAGACTAAGGCTAGTGCTAGGCTAGGTTCAAATCCAAGACTAGGACTAAGGCTGGGATATGGTTCACACTGGGCTTTATCAAATACTCAGGCTTTGCTAGGTTCGGGTTCATGGTTAGAGCTAAAGCTAAGGCTACAATTCGGACTAAAGCCAAGTCTGAGCTAAGCCTAAAGCTAGGGCTGAGACTATGGCTATTGCTGACGATGTGGTTTAAACTAGAACTGAAAATAAGGCTGAGTTAGGGCTAACTTTAAGTTTTTACAACGACAATACCTATGTGTATCCTTGCATCAATTTATTCAATCATATTGTTGACAATCGTATATGTCAAAGCAACTTCAAGTATCAAATAAATTTTAATCAAAATCACTTGCAATGAAGAGTGCACTCATCTCCAATGCATTCAAAGGCTTCACACTTCTTACGTTGCAGGAAGCACGTCTTCCAGCACAGTATATCACATGGGAAATTGTCTTTGTAACACATGTCTCGAGTCGGTAAGATGGCCTCAGCTAGACTATTCTTTGACGCCATAGCCAATTTATGGGGTGGACCGTTGACTACAGGTGAACTGGCTACAAATGTCAGAACGATGGCACAGATGAAAAGTAATACTGTGGTAGGGTTCATGGTGAATGAATAGGTCTAACAGTATTGGTTTCCCAAGTAAAAATTGTAGAGTAGTGTAAAGAACGGTGTAGAAGGTTATGAAAGCAAAGTTTATATAATAATGGCTTATCAGTAAGTCATCAGTCCTTAACAATTAAAACTTGGTCAATGATTTGGTTATCTGAAGCATAAAAAACAACATATTCTCACCGGAAGTACGAGTGCAGTATGGTAGGTAGAGTACGGTAGATCTTTGCAATGTAGGGTAGGGTATGGTAGACCTTTGCAAGGTAAGGCAGGGTATGGTAGATCTTTGCAAGGTAAGGTAAGGTAAAGTAGGATAAAGAAGAGCAGTGTATGGTATATTTTCAACAAGTACTGTAGGGTATGGTAGAGTTTTGTCAAATAGTGCAGGGTATAATAGATTTTTCAAGGCAGAGCAGACTAGGAAAGGTTAGGGACAGGTAGAGTAGGGTAGGATAGAACAATGTAGGTTAGGATGGCGTAGGGTACGGTAGGACAAAACAAGGTAAAGTAATGTAAAGTAAGGCAGGGTAGATAAATAGGGTAGGGAAAAGCAAGGCAAGGTAGGATATGATAGATTTTTGCCAGGTAAGGTAGGGTATGGTAGACTTTTGAAAAGTAGGGTAGGGTATTGTAGATTTTCACACAGTAAGTTAGAGTGTGGTAGATTTTTCAAAGCGAGCAAGCCAAAATAGATTATGGTAAGTTAGAGTAAGATAAGGTGAGACAGTATAGGGTAGAATGGCATGGGTAGAGCAGGGTAGGACAGGTTCAGAACAAAGCAGGTCAGGGTAGGATAAAATAAAGTAAAATGAGACAGAGTAGAGTCAAGTAAGGTAGGACAAAGCAGGGTAGAGAAGGTAGGGTAGGGTAGGGTAGGTAGGGTAGGGTAGGGTAGGGTAGGGTAGGGTAGGGTAGGGTAGGGTAGGGTAGGGTAGGGTAGGGTAGGGTAGGGTAGGGTAGGGTAGGGTAGGATAGGGTAGGGTAGGGATGGGTAGGGTAGGGTACGGTAGCGTAGGGTAGGACACATAATTTATCGGGTCTAAAAAACGATCAAAGATCATTTTTGTTACCTACAAAACACAAAAAATGACTTTTGTTTGTTTCTTTTTTGATAAAATGAAAAAAGAGTCACAGGAATCAGCGTGTTTTACTTTTATTTCTTTTAATATTATTGGTTATGTTTCAACCAAAATTGAGTTCAAATCACATAAGAACGGCCAGGAAGCTATGGATGAGGCCAATTTTTGATCAAAAAACTGTTAAAAATGTAGGTTAATATAGAAATTTTAAATTTTTTTAAAATTTTTTATTTAAAAAAACTTAAATTTTAAAAATTTTTTAAAATTAAAAGAGAAATTTTTAGAAATGTGAAGAAATTCAACCGAAATTTGAACAATTACTTGGAGGTAGTAATGTAACATCCGTTCACAGTAAATGTCAACAGTTTTCTTGTGATGAAGGACATTTTACGTGAGTTTTTTGACAAGAACTTTCTTTACACAGCATTAAATGGCAAGAACTTTCTTTACAAAACATTAAATGGCAAGAACTTTCTTTACAAACCAAAAAATGGCAAGGACTTTCTTTACAAACCAAAAAATGGCAAGAACTTTCTTTGCACAATAGAAAATGGCAAGGAATTTCTTTACAAATCACAAAATGCAAGGACTTTTTTTACAAAACGAAAAATGGCAAGAACTTTCTTTACAATCTTTAAAAAGTCATTTTTAATTTTCAGACTATCAGTACCATCCCTAGTACTATCACCATCATCCACAGATCAAGTATCAGCTATTGTAAGGTTATGCAATGAAAACAGAGTACCATTAGTACCAAGAGGCACTGGTACTGGGCTAGAAGGTGGGGCAATTCCAGTAGCTGGTGGTGTTGTTCTGGAGTTCAGTGGCATGAACAACGTATTGGAAGTGAATGAAGTGGACTTTGATTGCACTGTGCAGCCAGGAGTCAGCCGGCTGGCACTAAATCAGAGACTTCGCGATAGTGGATTGTTTTTTAGTGTGGGTATGGTAGTTTTTGAAAAATTGAGATTTTTTAAGGTTTTGTGTTTTGTAAAGAAAGTTCTTGCAATTTTTTGTTTTGTAAAGAAAGTTCTTTTCATTTAATGTTTTGTAAAGAAAGTTCTTGCTATTTCATGTTTTGTAAAGAAAGTTCTTGTCATTTTGATTGTATGAATGAATATTTAGAGGTTTAACAGTCAATTAAAAAAAAATTTATTATTTGACGAAATGTCACAATTATTATCGATTTTTTGACGAAGTGTCACAAAGCTGATTGGCTGTCGAAAATTGCAATTAAATTTTTTGCCATTTTTTTAAAAGAAAGTTCTTGCCAATTTTTAGTTTGTAAAGAAAGTTCTTGCCAATTTTCAGCTTGTAAAGAAAGTTCTTGCCAATTTTCAGCTTGTAAAGAAAGTTCTTGCCATTTCTGTTTTGTAAAGAAAGTTATTGCCATTTTTCGATTTGTAAAGAAAGTTCTTGCCATTTTTTGATTTGTTTATTTCAGACCCCGGTGCCGACGCCTCAGTCTGTGGTATGGTAGCAACTAGTGCCAGCGGTACCACCTCTCTCAAGTACGGAACAATGAAGCAGAACGTTAAGAATTTGGAAGTAGTTCTGGCCACCGGTCGTATTTTACATACCAAGGGCGCGGGTCGTCGACCATGGAAGTCGTCGGCCGGCTATAACTTGACTGAACTGTTTATTGGATCGGAAGGAACGTTGGGTGTGATTACGGAAGCCACTGTGAATTTACACCCACGGCCTCTGGCTGTTGGGGCTGTGGTTTGTGGATTTGAAAGGTTGGATGATGCTGTGGAAAGTGTGGTACAGCTGCGACAAATGGGACTTAGTTTGGCTAGATTGGGTAGGTTTGACGTTTTTTTTGGATTGTAAAAAAAGTTCTTGCCATTTTTTGCTATGTAAAGAAAGTTCTTGCTATTTTTTGATTTGTAAAGAAAGTTCTTGCCATTTTTTGTATTGTAAAGAAAGTTCTTGCAGCTTTTTGTATTTATTCGATCTGGCACCCTGCGGGTGACAAGTTATACGATGAATATATAAATTATGTTGTTATTCAAGTTGTAAAGAAAGTTTTTGCTATTTTTTGTTTGTAAAGAAATTTTTTGCCATTTTTTTTCAAATTTAAATTTTAGAATTTTTGGACAAAGCTCAAATGCAAAACTGCATTGACTATAGTAAACTGGATGACATGTTGCCATTACCAACTATCTTTTTGGAATTTCATTGTCAAACCGAAGAAGATGTACAAGGACAAATCAAGTTGGCTGGTAAGTAAAGGAAGGTTTAGTTGTAAGTGGACGTTCTTTTTTGATTGGGGTGGCTAGGGTGGTAAGAAGGCTAGGGTAGGGTAAGTCTGGGAGAGAAGGAGAGACGAGTAAGAAAGTATTTTTGCAAGGTAGGCAGGCTAACGCATAGAAGAACGGGCTATGTTTGGCTAGGGTAGAATAGCGTAGGCCACAAGAGAGCTGGGTAGGGGAGGGCAGGACAGGACAGGACAGGGTAGAGAAAAGCAGTGTTGAATAGTTGGGTAGGGTAATTTAATGTGGGCACGGTACGGTAGAATAGATTTAAGTAGGGTAGGGTAGGGTAGGGTAGGGTAGGGTAGGGTAGGGTAGGGTAGAGTACGGTGCGGTACGGTACGGTAGGGTAGAGTAAGGTAGGGTACGATACGGTACGGTAGAGTACAGTAGGAGTTCGGTTTCCAAAATTAAAGAAATTTTTAAATTCCAGAAGAAATTTGCATATCAAATTCCTCGTCAAACTTCAATTCATCTTCCTCTCACGATGAAATTCAGAAGCTATGGAAAGCACGTCACAATGCTTATTATGCAACATTGGCTAATCGTCCAGGTGCCAAAGGCTTTACAACTGACGTATGTGTACCATTAAGCAAACTGGTACAAGTTTTAAAAGAGACTGAGGTTAGGTTAGGACAACTGGGACTTAATGGTGCTATTGTTGGGCATGTTGGAGAAGGCAACTTTCATTGTATCATACCGACGTTTGAAGATAATAGAGAGGAACATACGGCAGTAATGCAGTTCTCAGATTGGCTGGTTCAGTGAGTTATTGAGTTTTTGGGTGTGGAAAGAAAGTTCTTGCCATTTTTTGTTTTGTAAATAAAGTTCTTGCAATTTTGATTGAAAAAATGAATTTTTTTAAGTTTTAGGGGTTCAACAGTCAAGAGAAAATAATTTTTCATCATTTGACGAAATGCCACAAAAATTATCGATTTTTTGACGAAGTGTCGCAAGGCTGATTGGCTGTCGAAAATTGCAATTTTATGTTTTTGTAACAAAAGTTCTTGCTATTTTTTGTTTTGTAAAGAAAGTTTTTGCCGTTTTATGCTTTGTAAAGAAAGTTTTAGCCCTTTTTTGTTTTGTAAAGAAAGTTCTTGCTATTTTTTGTTTTGTAAAGAAAGTTTTTGCCGTTTTATGCTTTGTAAAGAAAGTTTTAGCCCTTTTTTGTTTTGTAAAGAAAATTCTTGACATTTTTATCTTGTAAACAAAGTTCTTGTCATTTCAAGCCTTATAAACCAAGTTTCTGCCATTTCAGAACAGCTCTAGCAGTCGGCGGTACTTGTACTGGAGAGCACGGTATTGGATTGGGCAAAAAACGCTATATGGCCGACGAATTCGGCTCAGTAGGCTTGGATGTAATGAAGCTAATGAAGACATCCTTGGATCCCAACAATATTCTCAACCCAGGGAAAATATTTGAATAAATGTCAGAATTGATAAGAAAATTGATTTTTGAAATTTTGTAAAGAAATTTCTTGCCATTTCTTGTTTGTAAAAAAAGTTCTTGCTATTTTTTGTTTTGTAAAGAAAGTTCTTGCCATTTTTTGTTTTGTAAATAAAGTTCTTGCCATTTTTTGTTTTGTAAAGAAAGTTCTTGCCATTTCTTGTTTTGTAAAGAAAGTTCTTGCAACATTTTAGAAAAAATTTTTTTTTGGTTTGGTGACATTATATTTTATAACTTAGAACATTTTTTTTTATTTTAAAACTATTTTCTAAAGTTTTCCGATACAAAGTGAAAAGAAATGTCAACACATAAAAATAGCACGTTGTTATTTACGTCACGGCTCTTTTCTCTTCGGCCACAAATAAGCGCTTTTTCAGTAGTCTTAACAGAGACAATTCGCTTTTTCTCTCGAAATGCCGTAGGCAAAAAGCGGCGGTTGAAATTGTTTTACAACTTTATTTCGAAAATTTCAAAGGTTCTTGTTCGTTTCAAGTTTAAATCAAGTAGAACATAGTAAATAAAGTGGGTTTTTGAGTGTTTTTGGGTATGAAAAGAGCAGTTTTTTAGATTTTTTGGTTTTTGGCTAGTCTTTTAAAACTAAAAAGAGCTTAAGGCAACAATTGGGTTGATATTGCTTAAAACTGGGCTTATGATTAGGTTTGAGTTTATGCTCTGACTTAGGTCTGGAATTTGGCTTAGGTTTTGGCTTGGGATTGAACTTAGGCTTGGTCTTGGGATTAGGATTGGGCTTAAGCTTAGGCTTAAACTTAGGTGTGGGTCTAGGCTTGGATTAGGTCTTGCGGTTAGGCTTTAACTTATGGTTTGGGTTTGGGCTTGAGCTTGGATTTGGGGTACGGCTTAGGCTTTGTTTTGGGCTTTGCCTAAACTTGGGTTTGTAATAAGGCTCTGGGCTTGAACTCAAACATGGGGTTGGATTGTACTAGAGTTCCGGGCTAGGGCTCTGGGCTAGGGCTCTGGGCTAGGGCTCTGGGCTAGGGCTCTGGGCTAGGGCTCTGGGCTAGGGCTCTGGGCTAGGTCTCTGGGCTAGGGCTCTGGGCTAGGGCTCTGGGCTAGGGCTCTGGGCTAGGGCTCTGGGCTAGGGCTCTGGGCTAGGGCTCTGGGCTAAGGCTCTGTGCTAGGGCTGTGGGCTAAGACTCTAGGCTAGGGCTCTGGGCTAGGGCTCTGGGCTAGGTCTCTGGGCTAGGGTGTGGGGCTGGGGTGCGGGACTAGGACTAGGGCTCTGGGCTGGGACTAGAATTTTAAATTGTATTTTAAAACGTTTGAAATGTTCTTTCTTATGTTGTTGTAGCTTTTGAAAGAAAGAGAGAAAAAGGAAGAATATTTTTAGATGAACCTACTTTTCATACTCGTTTTTGCTGTTTCCACCTTTTCAAATGCGGTAGCAGTGAGCGTTGTTTTTGCCACAAGGGCAAAAAATAACTGTACTAATGGTCCTAATGGCATGGAAGGTCGATGGATGGGAAAGTATGTTTATTTTAATGAAAATTTAAAACTATTTTGATTTTATTTAAATCAAGTGTTTAGGCTTGGAAAATTAAAATTTATTTTTAAATTTTAAAATTTTTCGAAATAAAAATTAACTATAAAATTAATTTCAGAGCATGCAGCTACAGGAGCTTGGGAGGAACGGAACGTATTTTGCTGTTTATGAACAAGACCGAAAGGTTTGAAGCTTTGTAAGTTTTATATTATTATTTATTAAACAATGGGCATAAGGCAAGTTCTAGGATCAGGGTTAGTGCTGAGACTGGTACATAGTTGGGCTTAGGCTTAAACTTAGGCTAAGACTTAGGCTTAGGCTCAAGCTTAGGATTAGGCTTAGACTTAGGCTTAAGCTTAGGCTTAGGCTTAGGCTTAGGCTTAGGCTTAGGCTTAGGCTTAGGCTTAGGCTTAGGCTTAGGCTTAACCTTAGGCTTAGGCTTAGGCTTAGCCTTAAGCTTAGGATTAGCCTCAAGCTTAGGCTTACCCTTAAGCTTAGGCTTACCCTTAAGCTTAGGCTTACCCTTAAGCTCAAGCTTAAGTTCTAGCTCAAGCGCTGATTTTAACTCAAACACATGTTCAGGCTTAGACTGAAACTCTGACTGAGACTTACCGTTAGGCTTACACTCTCCCACAGGCTTAGGTTCCGATTTAAAATCACGCTCTGGCTTATGCTTAGACTAGGAATAGAAGAGCTTTCCTTGCATATCACTTTAATTGTGTTACTGAAGTTACGCTTGATCATGGCATGTTTGATAGTATGATAGTAAACGATATTTTTCAGACAATTATGTGCCAAAGAGCTTATGGCCGAATTAAGTAACGAAGAAATGATGGGTTTTAACACAGTCAACTTAACTCAATCACAGGCCGAAGAAAAGTGTCACCACGAGCAAAAAGTGAAAATATCTGAAAATACATTTTGGCTTGTAATCTGCGGTACCGGCATTGTATTGTTGCTCATTGCTATGACAAAGGCTTTGAGTATGGTGCGGCACATTAAAGTCTACTTCGTACCTAAAGAGCGTGTTATTGAACGCAAGAATAGTATCGAAGTACTAGATCCAAAGGTATGGCAAGAGATTTGTAGGGCCAATGTTCGGCGAATGAAGAAGGCAGAGATCATGCAGATCAAAGACATCGTGGAGAAGGCTAAAGCTACTGCAACATCGTCTACAGCTAGATTTGGATTGGGCTGTCCTTTGCAACAGACGCTACAGTATCCGTATGAGTTACCATCAAAGTTTGCTTCAATTACTGTTGATGATATTGTTGTTACTAAGCCGGAAAGGGATGATAATGGTGATGAAAGGGGTGGTGCAGACTTTTATGGATGTGATAGCAGAGGTTATGGTTATGACAATACGTATTGTGACCGTACCAGCTTTGGCTCAAGTTCTGGGTGTAAGAATCTACCCCTCCATCACAAAAATCATCAAAATCTACCCCTCCATTACAAAAATTGTCAAAATCTACCTATTCATTACCAAAATCATCATCATCATCTACACCATCATCACAAAGCCTACGATGATCATTACAATCATATTGGCTGCGTATTCCAACCAGAAACTGGCCTCAGGAAACGTGGAAATCAACTGGTAAACACGGAAAATCCATGGCCCATGCCCACTTTTTCTGGTATAAAAAACTTTTTGAAAGACAAATTTGAAGCCTTGAGGCAATCTTTTTATGTCACTGCCAAGAAGCAGGGCCACATGAGAATGGTGCAGAAACACGGATTTTTGTAAAATTTTTAAAAATTTTTAAATTTTTTTAAAAAAATTTTATGGTAGATCTCGTTTATTGTGTACAACTCTCAACTTATAGTAAACTCTCGTTAATGTTAATTATAAAATTTGGTCTTTTAGCTTGTTCTATAACTTAAGTATACATATATTATACTTATTATAACTGTATAACAATTTGACCTCTATTATGTATTTTTCAATTATAAGTAACTTTCTTTATTGTGAATTGTATACCTTAATCAATGTAATATTAATAAACTTGTAATAAATTTAGCTATTTGTGTTGTCTTGAAGCTAAGGTTTAGTGTGGTTAAAATTAATATTAGAAAGCATATAGCCATGGTTTATTAGGCTGAGGCTTAGTAAGCTTAAGCTTAGTAAGCTTAGTCTTAGTAAGCTTAGGCTTAGTAGGCTTAGTCTTAGTAAGCTTAGGCTTAGTAGGCTTAGGCTGAGTAATCTTAGGCTTAGTAGGCTTTTTTTAGTAAGCTCTGGCTTGGTAGGCCTAGGATTAGTAGTCTTAGGTTTAGTAGGCTTTAACTTAGTAGAATTAGACTTAGTAGGCATAGGCTTAGTAACCTGAAGCTTAGTGGTCTTAGGTTTAGTAGGCTTAGGCTTAGTAGGCTGAAACTTACTAGGCTTAAAATTAGAAAGCTCAAGGATGATAATCATAAAGACCACTAAGCCTAGAAGAGAGTGCAATGCTTTGACTAATAAAAAATCCCAAAAGATGTTTTAAGAATTAATGTCATAGTGACCGAAGAAATTCAGAGCCAAATCCCAGCACTCGCAGTCATTTGTTGGGTCGTTTTACACCGAGGCAAATATTATATAAAACTACGATATTACATAAGAAAAAGTTGCGTAATACCATTTCTCGCAATTTTTCTAAGGCTATCTTTTATCATATATCATTATATTAGGTCATTCCGCATAAGTTTTTAATATTTTTTTTGTTTAGAACAATTGACTTTAGGGCTAGGGTAGGGCTAATGAAGGCCGGGCGCGAAAGACCAAAAACCCTTGCCCCGACCCGGAAGGCTAGGGCTAACTGCAGCGTTGAATTAATGATTTTAAAACAGTTTGTTTGTTGAGTTTGAACAAACAAGCAAACCGTATTCAAACAAATGCTCATCTGATCTTCGAAACTACAAAATACGCATAATAAACCATATTAATTAAATTTATAAAAAGTAAAAAAATTATTTAAAAAAATAATTTTAAAAATGTTTTAGTTGTTTAACCATTTGATTTTCCAAGTAAGCTTTCTGAAATAGAGAAAAATTATAGCTTACAAACCCTGCACTACTTAAATAACAATTATGGTAAATATAAGGTTGAACCAGAAGTAGTAGGACACTTTTAGTTGAAAAATAAATTACAAGTGTCCCGCTACTTTTGATCTAACTTAATATTATCATAAAACTTACATTTTCACTTCTCTTTAAAGCGTCTATCGTCTTCTTGTAGATATAAAGGTTTGATGCAAAATGCTTGACGTCCTTTCTCTGAACACTCGATCTTTGTAATCATTGAGGTTTTGGTTCATTCCAATAGCATTTTCATCTAAAATTAGACTAGACTAAACTAGGATAAGACTATAGTATACTAGGCTATCCTAGGGTAGGTTAGGTTAGGGTAGAATAGGGTGGGGTCAAGTAAGTCGTTTCAAAAAATCTAAAAAAAAACTTACAATGACTGCAAAGAATAATCAACATAATAATAGTAATGTCTTCAGTCATTGACTTTGCCATCCGAAAGTATTGGACTAGCTCTACAAATGAGCCTAAACCTGAGCTTGAGCCTGAGCATGAGCATTAGCATGAGCATTAGCCTAAGCCTAAGCCTAAGCCTAAGCCTAAGCCTAAGCCTAAGCCTAAGCCTAAGCCTAAGCCTAAGCCTAAGCCTAAGCCTAAGCCTAAGCGTAAGCCTAAGCGTAAGCCTAAGCGTAAGCCTAAGCCTAAGCCTAAGCCTAAGCCTAAGCCTAAACCTAAGCCTAAGTCTAAGCCTAAGCCTAGGCCTAAGCCTAAGCCTAAGTCTAAGCTTAAGCCTAAGCCTAAGCCTAAGTCTAAGCTTAAACGTAAGGCTAACCGTAAACCTAAGTCTAAGCTTAAGCCTAAGCCTAAGCCTAAGTCTAAGCTTAAACGTAAGGCTAACCGTAAACCTAAGCCAACTATTTGTAAAAAAAACCTAAGCCTAAACTCAAGCCTAATTTTAAGCTGAATGTTTCTAAGCCAAACCTTAAGGCGCTATGCTGAAAATATAAGCTAGATTCTTATTTTCAATAAATTATTATGTTATGTGACAAAATCTTCTTATTTTTTTAGAGTTTGATCAAACAGACAGACCAAAGCGATAACTTTAAATTCCTTGATTCTAAATTTAGTTTTTAAAACATGTGGGCACGAAAAGTCAAGAACGCCAAACGTTTCACGACGTGATGGACATTTCTAATCGTTCCTCACGTCCATTCTTTTATCAGTAACAGTTGGACTTTGATAGCTATTATTAAACCTTAATTTGTCTTTCGTTCATTCTTTCAGACTCTTTTAAAACTAAAAAGTTTTAAAGTTTTTAGTTAGACTAGTGTGAGGCTTTGATAGGGTTAGGACATAAGGCTAGGATAAACCTAAAGTAAAGCTTTTTAATTTTTTTAAAAATTTTAACACTTGCAAATATTTAAATTTTTGAAATTGTAAAAAGTTCAAAAATCATAAGTCTAGACTAGAAACTGCACAAAATGGTGGGATTAGCCGTGTTTTGAAAGAAATAATTGTATGATGAGATATTAATTTGTAGTGTTGTTATCTCCAAATTAATTACATAGATTAAAAAACTAATACATTTTTTAAAGCTTCTTATAATTTATTAAAATTAACGTTTTGCGATTTTAAAATGTTGTTTTGAACTTAGTAATGAGAATTAAACTTGCAAAGTCAAGAAATTTAATTTATTTTTGAGTTTTGATTTAGACCTAGGCTTGGTGGAGTTAAGCTAAGTAGGCTAGGCTTACAGGCTTAGCTTTAACTGCCCGTGCCTTAGTTTCAATACGCTCGGTCTTTGGAAGCTTATGCTTAGTAGGCTTAGTATTAGTAGGCTTAGGCTTAGTAGGCTTAGGCTTAGTAGGCTTAGGCTTAGTAGGCTTAGGCTTAGTAGGCTTAGGCTTAGTAGGCTTAGGCTTAGTAGGCTTAGGCTTAGTAGGCTTAGGCTTAGTAGGCTTAGGCTTAGTAGGCTTAGACTTAGTAGGCTTAGGCTTAGTAGGCTTAGGCTTAGTAGGCTTAGGCTTAGTAGGCTTAGGCTTAGTAGGCTTAGGCTTAGTAGGCTTAGGCTTAGTAGGCTTAGGCTTAGTAGGCTTAGGCTTAGTAGGCTTAGGCTTAGTAGGCTTAGTCTCAGTAGGCTTAGGCTTAGCAAGCTTAGGCTTAGTAGGCTTAGGCTTAGTTGGCTTAGAATTACCAAGCTTAGGCTTGGCATGCTTTGCAAATATTATAAGCCTAAATTCATTAAAATTACCTAAAGTCATTCAAACTATAAGTTTTTGCAGAATAAAAATTTTAAGTATGTTTAACACGCAAAGCCTAGACGTTACAGCTCTACCTAAATACTGCACGTAAAGTTTGAAAAGTCATACTTTAATTGATGACATTTTATTTTGGCCGTATTTTTAAAAGTTCCCCTCTTTCGAGAAAACAATTGTTTCAGCGAACCAAAGATCGCTCGGTTTTATGGCCATATCAATAAGATCAAAAGGGTCTCGAAAGTTTGAGGGAAAAGGTTTGAAGCTAATTTTAGGAGGGGAATTAAGAAAAAAAGGTGTGGGTAGTAGAGTTATAGTAATGTTTGTAAAATGGTGTATAATATATTGTGTTAGAGACAAAAATTCTTAGACTTTGAAATTTAAACAATTTTTTTTATTTTTTAAAATGTAGGCTGTTTGGATCAAACTTGAAAAATCAAATGTTAGGCTAAGGCTATTTAAGTAGGCTTATACTTTGGATTGGCAACTTTAGGCAATTTAAGATTAGTTTGTTTTAGCTTTGTTTTAGTCCTACCCTGCTTTACATTCATTCTAACTTAAGCTTAAGTTTAACCTCATTGTAGTTCTGTCTTAGCCTTGTCCTAGCCTTAACCCTAGGTTTATCTTAACTCTAATTTTATTCGTGTCATAGCCTAGTTATAGCCCTAAGTCAGCCTACCTAGTTTTAACTAAATACTTAAATTAGCTTAGTTTTTAGTTGTACTTTAGTGTTGTTCTGGCCTTACCTTAAGCTAATTCTAGTTTTACTTCAGGGTTGCTGTAACAAAAATTTAAGCTTTTTATTAGCTTTTTTTAGCCGCGCTCTAGCTTTATTTATAGTCAAAACTTGAACCTTTATTGAAGCCCTACTCTACTCTGATTCGAGCTTTAACAGAATCCTCATCCTAGCCTTATTTTAGCTTCGCCGTACCTATTCTTTAGCCTTACCTTAGTCTTATCTTTTATTTTACCTTAAACTTGTTCTAGCTCTACTATAGTACGCACCTGTGCTTATTTGTAGGTTCAAGTTCAACACAAAACTTTTTTTTTAACTTTACTTTTTTCAAAATATTAAAACTGTATGTTCACTTTTCTAAATCTCAATAACCGTGTCACTCATTAATAAAATTTGTTGTTGACATTTACCTCAAAACACGATCAGTTTACGTACGTACCTGCATTGGTACGATAGGTAAACAAGGTTTGTTGTTCTGAACCTTTCGACTCGGGATTTGTTTTTTGTCTGACCTTTGTTTTAAAAACATAAAGTTTGGTGTTTTACGACTTTTCGTCTTTTATCAAAACAACAATTACTTTTTTAACTACTGCTTGTGTCGAGCGACGTAAGGCTTTAGGGTTTTTAAGGTTTTTTTGAAATTTTTAATCCTAGCTCAGAGCCCTAGTCCAGAGCCCTAGCCCAGAGCCCTAGCCCAGAGCCCTAGCCCAGAGCCCTAACCCAGAGCCCTAGCCCAGAGCCCTAGCCTAGAGC